TGCAGAAAGCTGCAGGGCCTCGAACCAAACGTCAAACGTCGAAACAGGTTTGTCATTCCGTTTCTCGTCCGGCGTGAACGAGCCACCAGCTTCTGCCCCGTTCTGTCAGATCGACTAATAGAAAAACACAGAACGTAGTCCGGCCCCGTCTGACAAACACTGCTGGAGGTGGGAGATCACCAAGCAAGCACGCAATTACGAATGAGGCTCGGGGCGGCAGTCGTAGGGCGGCAGGCGTTGACGACAGACTAGTCTGTTAGTTTTTCACTGTTGCTTGATACAGTTCTTTCTTTCTTTCTTTCTTTTTCTGTTCGCTCTTTTTAACTCCGTTTCTTCACTTCCCTTCTCATTCACCTCCAATGTTTTGGAGACCGTTTTGCTAGCTCGTCGTTTTCACAACGGCCACAACGACCCGCAATGTTGTGGGCTTTCTTGGCGTCATGATTTTTCGTCTACACATTGTTTTTGGATTTGTCCCCTCTCCGGCGGCGAAATTGGAAACACCTTCGATGCTCTGCAGTCCGTTTGGGGCCCAATGCTTAAAAATCGGCGCTGTAGAGCCAGTCGCCAAGACGAATGACAAACACAGCAACAGGCCGTTCTTCCGCAAAGAAAAAAAATTCAAAAGGAACAACATCGAATCCGCAAGTCGGAGGAGGGATGGCCGTATGCGTGTGTCGTATGTCGCGGGAGCAAGCCTGCAACGCCTGTAGCCCCAACAATAACAGTAAAAATGGGACCGCAACCTCGCAGGACAGCAGCGCTTTGTCATGCATGTTGAATGGTGCCGGCTGTCCTCCATCCAGGTGCGGCCTCTGCTGGTTACCGAGTCAGTGGCCCGTTCCAGCGAAGACAGAACATACCACACACACAAAACGTCGACTCAAAAGACACAATGCAGCCCAATGCGAGATGAGGTCAGCCTTCTTTTCCGATCGAAGATTGCTAACACTCGGGCGAGAGTCCGACCGAGTCGTGAGACGTCCCAAAACGGAGCCAACGGTGGGTTGGGACAGGCAGGCTCGCCCGATCCTCTACTTTTGCATTCTCTGCTTTGGGAATCATGTTGAGAGGGGGGTGGTGAGAACTACCGGTGCTAATGGCAGTTAAGCAAAGTGAACCGAGAGAGTGACGTCTGGCCTTCTCAACAGTTGGTGTGTGTTCTGGTGTGGTTGGAATCCTATCTTACTGGGCAGGCGCGATTTGTAATACGAGGGCGCTTACAAAGGAAGGCACGTTTGTTTTGGCGTGTGTAGACGGCAGGAGGGGGATCAGACAAAAATTTAGGTCAGGAACTAACACATGCTGTATTCTGTACGCTGCTACTACGGGGCTCTTTCCTTCTTTTTATGGGGCAAAACGGTGGACGGGACGGATGTGGCAGACAAAACGGTGGTTCTGCTAGCGCCAGCTCACCGACCCACTAATTCACCGTTTTGCGTGCACCCTTGACAAGCCTTTAACTCCGGTTGGACACGCGAATTGTATCATTCGTATTTTCTCGCTTTTTGTTGCCATTCAACGATGAGTCTGACTATTCCGTTTTCCCTTTCTTTCTGTCTATTTCCTTATCCCGTCACACGTGTGGTCGTTTTATGGTTGCTGTGTGGGGCCGCCGGAGCTCGCTTCTCTAGTTTGGTCGTCCGCCAAGCCGTAGTGACTCTTTTCTTACCAAACGACACTGGAGACGAGAGTCTGGAGACAGGAGACAAGACACGTAAATACGCATCTGTGCGTGGAACATTAAGGCACGACGTCAGCGGTGTTAGTGGCAGCGCTATCACCGCCTGCTCTGTCCCATTTTGTACTTCGTATAGCTTTTCACATTCAAGTCTTAGTCACTTACTGGCGTGGCAGTCAGCATAACGGTTTTGCGGTGTTTGTGTTGATGGAGTGAGATTGTTTTTTGGCAACGTAATTACGGCGTCCTAAGTTCAAATGATTGATTCTTTGCATTCGACCTTCACCTCAACTTCACCAATGGCGCTGTGGTGAGCTCACATGGGCCCATCGTCTCACGGCAGCTATCTCCCTTTTTCAAGTAGGATGCAAGTGGTGGATGGACCGGTGGGGTCGAGGCCCATGACGGCGTGGAAGCAGAAATTGACTTTCTTATTAAGGCTGCTGACTGTGTATAGTTTTGTTGGCAGGCTTGCATACGGCAGATCGGGTTCCACATCAGTACGGGGAATAGGTCATTCCTCGCGGAATGCTGTACGAGCGCGGAGACGGACAAGTGTTTTGTTTTCGTTTTGTTTTCTGTTCCTTGTTTGCAGCGGAGGTGCTTATCCGCCCCAACATTGCATCTCGCTCCTTTTTTTTCTCTATTTTTTTGGCCTTTCTTTTTCTGCATTCGATTTTAAAAGACGACCAGCTCCGAAGTGTCCTACGACACAAGCCGTAAGCACTTTGTAATTATTTGCTTCATAGCCGACGCTGCCGTGTCTCCGAGACGAAGGTGTTAGCATCCTGGAAATGTTATGCTGGCCGGGTGAGTCACTTATACACAGTGGAAAGCAAAAGGCAAAATTGGACGTGAAGTGTGGACGTGAAGTGCACGTTGTACGTTGTGGGGCATCGTGCCGTGATGTTTACAGGCAAAAAGCAAGAAGAAAATCACGCCCTTCAGCTAGTCAAAATCAGAAGCAAAACGAGTCCAAACTGCGCCGCAATGGTGGAGAAAGATCGGGCGAGACGTGAGAGGTGTAAAAAAAGTGAGATTGAAGGGCGTTTGAAAGGCGTGTGCTCGATGTCAAACCAAAATATACGGCGTGTAAAATGCAAGCCAAGCGGCCGGTCGTAGCAGGGCTGACTGAGGCGACTGCCAAACGATCGTCCGGCAAGCCATTGCTCCTTGCAGCGGCCCATCACATGAACACGCGTCCGCCTATTACTTCGCATATGCTTCACCGATAGCTCGCCGCGGGAATACTCAATACAGGGTGCAACGACATGAGATCCGCAAAACACCCGGAGCGGACAGAAAATAACACCTCGAAAAGGCCGACAGTCTCACCAACATGCTCAAAATGGGATGCAAGGACGCAACAGGACAAAACACCCAATGGCAAAGGAGGTGAAGCAACCGAAGCCGGGTTTGGTTGTAGTACGATGTAGCATAGTCCATCATGCTGCATCCCACTTAGCCGCGGTCCGACAGCCGCCAGGCCCACCCCAGAGCAGCAACGACAAGAGGAGCACGCCCTTTGTCATCAGCAGATCAGCCAGCTCCAAACGGGCGTGACTGGCGTGTGTGGAACCTGATTACGGGACCTGTCACTTCCTAGTGCTGTAAAATACTGTAAATACGACATACAGCATCTCTTTATACGCGTCTCCGTGAAACCGGCGGAAGCTGGCCAGGACGGGGCAGTGGGTACGATGTACAGAGATGGGTACATGAAACGGACAAAAGTACGAGATCCTCGTGCGTCGTACAGACAGATCTCTGGATGAATGAATGGAGGCAGGAATACACCCTGATACCATAACGGAGGACAACAAAAATCCATGGACACGGGTAAGGCGTTAGCTTCTCTGCGATCTGCTCCGTAGAGCAACTGGCGCTCGGTACTGCGCCGGAGAGCACTACCAAGTCCCCAGTCCGATATTCCGGCGGAGGTTTAGCACAAACGACTAAATGTGCCCGCTGTTTCTGACCGTATCGACTGACGCTACCGGGAAAAGGGGGCTACGGATGGCTCACTTATATTCCATTCTTACAGCAGCCATTTCCCATTTTAGGAAGTCGCTGACCTCAGCTCAACAAAAGGATTGAAAATCAGGGTGACCCGGCCAAACGAATACGTAAGATGCCGCAAGACCGTGGTAAAAAGAGAACCCGAGAGATTTGATGCGGCCGTGCGCGACAAAGCTATCTGAGATATCCAAGATTCCAAATTTCCACAGCGGAGAACAGGGAACGGAGAACGGAGAATAGCGAACGGAAACCAAAAATTGTCGACTGTTTGCTCCAACGGAGCAGAAATCGCGTCGACTACCGTCGAAGCCGCCAAACCATTGAGAGCTGAGCCTGGCCAGAAACACAGCCGTCAAAAGCCAAACGTGTTCCCTCTTCCCTGCTCCGTAGTCCTTCGTCGTCTGCCCATCTTTGACGGATGCCTTGCCATGTCCCTGTCCTCCCTTCCCCGTACCTTCTGTGAGATGATCGTTTGCAGTGCTTTTATCATCTTCACTGACGTGACAGAAATAAACTCTGTGTCCGCATGTCCTCGTGCTGGCCGTCACACCAATTCCCGGCCTTTTGCCCGCGTTTGGTCCGGTCCGTGGCTAGTCCGTTGTTTCGTCCGAGTATATGTGTCCGGCACGCAGCAGACACGGCCGTTCTGTCCTTTGCCGTCAATTGTTACATACGACCTAAGATCTCTGGCAGCTAGCTGCCTTGTTCCATCACATGTGGTTAAAGGTGAAGCAAAAAAATAAATAAATAAATAAATAAAACGAGGGCAACCACTATGTGTCATCACATTTGTTTGCTGTCATTCAAGCTGCACAAATGCCTTCTCGATGCAAATTCCGGTCCTTCTCAGATACGAATATGTTTCCAGACTTGCCACGGCAAAAGGAACGATGGCAACATGACGATACGATGATGAAGAGGACGATATCGTCGCCGCATTTTACGTTGTAGTTGTCAATGCTGAATAAGTGGGGCATCTCTTTCACCCAAATCAGCAGGAACGAAAACGACGCTAGTGAGCTTTCACAGTGACGCGCCAATGGCACAAAACGTACTTTGTCCGATGTCACACAGTAATACGCGTCCAGAGACACGACCACAACGCCCATTGCGATCTACGGCGTCCTCGGCTTCACCGGCATCAATGTGAAGGTCTGTCGTCCGTCACGACGCCAGAGCAAACACGAAGATGGTGCGCCAGCGACGTCAACCAGCCCTCGACTCGACTCCTCCTTCCAGGGCCACAACGAAACTGACAGAACCAACAAGAACGTCCGCCTCCTCCTCGCCGCGCCGCGCAATGCAGGATGAGTCGGCTGCCGAGCTGCGCACCCTGTCGGAGCGTGATGGCGTCGACAGCATCGCCGGCGGATACCGTGATGTCCCAGATACATCCTCGCCCGCGTCGCAGTCACCTGCATCACCAGCATCACCAGCATCACCAGCACCTGCGCTGCCCGCCAAGACCACCTGGCTGCAGCGCAACCAATGGATCGCCCTGGCCCTCGCCAGCGGTGCCTGCGCCGCCTTCAACGGTGTTTTTGCGAAGCTGTATGTTGCTGCGGCCTCTGCGCCCGACACCATGCCGAGCGTTCACCTTTTCACTGTGCTAATCTCGTATCCGCGTCCAGGACCACCACCGAGCTGACCACGCGCCTGTCGCAGGCCGTCGCCGGTGCCCTCGGCCTGGATGCTGCCGAATCGGCCGTCGAGGTGGTCGTCAGAGGCGTATGTTACTACGTCACTCTTTGTTGTGTCTCTTCCTCCGGCTAACCTGCGGTTCCTATGTGCATCGTCTAGACCTTTTTTGCCCTCAATCTCGTGTTTAACGGTGTGGTGCGTTTCCCCTCCCCCGTTCCCCATCTCGAACAAGTACCTCCGACTCACCGATAGCAGATGTGGACCCTCTTCACTCGCGCCCTCGCGCGCGGCCTCTCCGCCACCCAGGTCTCCATTATGAACACCTCGGCCAACTTTGTCCTGACCGCGCTGCTGGGCCTTGCCATCTTTTCCGAGGCTCTGCCGCCGTTGTGGTGGGTGGGTGCGGCCATGCTGGTGGCCGGCAACGTCATCATCGGGCGCAAGGACGAGGGCAAGGACGAGGGCAAGGCCGATGCGGCGGCGGCGGCGGCAACCACAGCCGAGGGAGATGCAGACGACACAGACGCCACCACCACCAGCCACCCGGACACGAAACTGGACGAGGGTCGCCGGCGCTCGTCACGGCGGCTGGCAGCACAGCGTCGAGGAAATGCGTCCGGCACGAAGACGTCGCCGGCGTCAACGCCTACCAGTCGGTACAAAGACGACGAAAGTAGCGGTGACGAAGACTTTGCCCAGATCTAACCAACATGGCTCATGACCTGACGTTGGTTAGCAGTCGCAACGCATCTGTCTCTTGTAGTCGATGTCATACATGAGTAGTACATGTCAAACCAAAACCAAATCAGTATACAGTCATCGCTATTTACGCGTGGTCTACATTACGTGGGCATGGTTGAACTTTTGTTCATTCAATTTGGCTGGCGGGTTTCATTTCAACAACCGCTTTCTTTTGTGACTCCTTATTTCTCTCGTTGGGACAGCCACTTATTTCTCTCGTTTCCAAAAGCCAACCAAATCATGGAATTCTAACTGGTAATGTGCCGCGACAAATGTGACAAAAGAAATTCAATGAATGCAAATCAACGCCCTGGGGAATAAAACTGTTGTCGTCGTATGAAACAGACCAGTTGGTACACCAAACAAAGAAGAACCAAAGATGCACACGGGGACGGTGTTGCCGCCTAAAACGAGACAAAATGACAAAAATAAAGGGGAAAAAAAATAAGAGAATTACAAAAGTTTGTGGAGGATGGCCAAATAAGAGAAATTGTTGTTTCGGGTGCAAAGAGCGAAGGAGCGGATAGTCTCAGTGATGTTGAATAGTATAAGAAACGTAGTATCGAGAGAGATGGTGCACGCCGACAGCCAGGTCCATGGTGCCTGTTCCTGTCTGGTCGTGCGCGGAGAGCGGATCCATTACAATATACAATATACAATATCGTACACGCAAACCATGCAGCGCAAACGGGGAATATGTTTACGCAGGGTACCCTACCAAGATGTTAGCAAAAGAAAAGACGATAAACAACACGCATGCGACAAAACTTACACCATGAGCAAACAGCAATGATGCAGTACAAGCACATCAGCAGCATGCCCTCGAGCCAATGGCTCTTGCCGTCACCAATCAGATAGTTGACCAGCAGCACCGAGACGAAGAGAACGGCGACCTGGAAAATATCAAAGCTGAGCGACATGTCGTCGAGATCCATGCCCCAGCCAATGACAACCAGCAGCGGAATCAGGAACAGCGCAACCTGCATGCTAGAACCAACAGCGACACCAATGGCAAGATCCATTTTGTCCTTGACAGCGACAGTCACAGCGGTGGCGTGCTCGGCAGCGTTGCCGACGATCGGCAGCAGAATCAGACCCAAAAACTCCTTGCTGATGTGGCCCTTGGTCGTAACGTAGTCAATGCTGTCCACAAGGAACTCAGCGCAGAAGGCAATCACCACCGTCGAGCCCGCAAGCACACCGAGCGCGACAAAAAAGTGCAGCTGCGGCTCCTCGCCCTCATCGTCGTCCTCGGGTCCGTTCACAATCAGGTCGTTGACCCGCTGGCGCTCCTCGTTCGACTCGTGGATGCCGTTCATCTTGGCAACGTTGGCCGACCGAATGATGGCGCCCTTGACGGCACCCTTTTGGATCGAGTGTTTAAAAGGCTTCGCAGGTACCTTCTTGCTCTCCTCGCTAAAGACAGCCTGGTGCGTCTTGAGCTGGAAGAAGAGGTAGGCCGCGTACACAACAAGCAGGATAATGGCCGTGCCGCGCGACAACATGGCGACGTCCTTGGTCGAAGTAATACTGGCGGCGTCAAACACAGTCGGAACAATGACACCGGCGACGGCCATGGCCAGCAGACTGGCCGCCGTCTGCGCCACAGTCGTGTTGAAGTACTGTTCCTGGCGACGCAAGCCACCAAAGAAGAAGCACATGCCCATCACAAGCAGCAAGTTGGACAGAATGCTGCCAATCAGGGACGTCTGCACAATGACAACCTCGTTCTTGATCAGCGCCATGATGGCGACAATCAGCTCGACGGCGTTGCCGAACGTCGCGTTCAACAGACCGCCGAGCGTCTCGCCCGTGCGAAGGGCGATTTCCTCCGTCGCGGAACTCAGCATAGCAGCAAGCGGGATGATGGCGATAAAGTTGACGACAAAGATCGCAATGGGATCGACAGACGTGAAGTGGAGGGCGATACCGACGGGCGCAGCCAGGAGGAGAAGATTAACGTAGGAGTTCAAAAACGTGCGCTGCAGCTGGTTGGCGACCGTAAACGGCTCCTTCGGCTGGACATTCTTGAACATGGCGTGCTCCTTCTTCGGCTTCTTGTCCTTGTCGTTCTTGTGCGAGTCATCAGGCTCGTCGGCGCCGTCCGAGCCGGGCCGATCGCTCCCGCGGCTGCGGTTCTTCAGGCCCTCGGGCGCGGCTGTGTTGGATGAGCCGAGCGAGGCTTCGCCAATCTTTTCGTTGGGGGGGATGCCCTCCTCGTCGCCTTCTGTCAGGACACCGCCGACAGGTGCTTGTGCGCTCGCTGTGATGTTGTAATCGCTGTTGAGGCGGCTCCGTGAGTTGTAGGATGCGGATGATGGTGCCGGTGCGGTCATAGCGTGTCCAACGGGTACACCAATCGGTTCGATTTCGCGGTTGCCTCCGCCGAGGCCAGCCTCAACATCGACATCGTCGTTTGCGGCGCCAGGCACTATTGCGGGGGACGTGTTTCTCCGTTTGACCCAGATGTGGGCGAATGGGTTGAAAGTGTCGCCTGTCTTGCGACTTTCTCTGTGCGCCTCCCTCTTGACACGAAATGCGTCGACTATGTGATTGGGCATATTAGCAATGCTATTCTGGCGTTGTGCGCCGAAGCCTGCCTCGAGAGGCGAGTGGAAAAAAACGCTGCTTCCGGAGGGATCATCAATGAAGACGGTGCCTGGTTGCAGTCGGGAAAAAAGAGTGCTGAAAGAAACGAGATTGGGTGCAGTGAATGGAATTCGGTGGACAGGTCAAACAGGCTGGTGCCGAATCAGGAATAAACACGAGATTGCAAAGACAGGGGGCCGCGCGTTGCTAGGAAAACGATAGGAGAGTGATGAACAACGAGCCTGCTACGTCGCTGGAAAATGGTGATAAAAAGGCATCAACGCAACAAATGGCACCTTGTGAGGTAAAGACAAAAAGTGGGCGAGGGAGACTGCGATTAAAAGCAAGAAACAAAAATGTTTCAGAAACAAGACAATTGGGAATGGTTGTGTGAGAGTGTGTGAGTTGGCGGTTGAACCGGAAGGCAAGTGAAGAAAAGGAGTGCAAGTAAGGCCCGTAGGTCAAGTGGGCAGCAAGGCAAAATTGTGCCTAAAATGGTGAAAACCAACAATGGAACCCGGTGCATGCATTTTGGAGGAGCCAGGTGCAGCCAAGGTGCAGCCAAAGTGCAGACAGGTGCAGACAAGGTGCAAGCCAAGTCCAAGGAGCAGTAAGAATGCGTACCTAGTGCTTTGCAAGGGCAGTCACCGAGCACCGCACGGCCAGCGCAAAGCCTAGTAAAAATCTAGGGGTCCCGCAGAATCGGCCTAGTGCACCGAGGTGGCTCAGGGTGGGTATGAAAGGAGGGTATGGTGTGAAGTAAAAAAGGGGGCGCAGCATGGGGCAGAAGGTCGAGAAGGAGAAAGGAAAGAAAAGTGCAGGGACGAGGAAAATAGTGCGATTTTGCGATGGGGCCCTTGGGGATCGGGGTCAAACGGGGTCAGAATCTTACACGACATGGTTGCTTCGATTTCGAAGATAGGATTGTCAGTCGACAATAGACAATAGGTTTCGAATAGTGCGCAAATTCTGATGTGGTCGTCGAGGTTGCAACTCGGTGCTGATGCTTGTAATGCGACTACAAGTCTAACCTGGGCGCGTCCTCTGCGAAAGATCCGGTATATCGAGAGATAGTTTCGATAACGGACCAAAACAGTGAACAGGCTGAATCGGGGATCGGGAATGAAAAGGACGGTCCGTAGTAGAGAGTGTGTTGTTTGGGCTGTGATGATGCGGTGAGAGATGGCACTGTTGTGGAAGTGTGTTAGTGTGTTGCAGGCCGGCGCGAAGGAAGCAGGGTTTGGTAAGTCTCCGAGTCTCGTACAAGCAGGGCAGCAAAGGTGGACGGCGCTGTATTTGAAGCTGGGCACGGCGCCAAGAGTTCCGCCAGGCGAGGTCAGGCCTCCCAAGCAAAAACTGAAGCTAGAGCGTAGAACGTGCGAGACGAGGCCACGAATGCGACAATTGACAATAAGGCGACAGGAACAAGGACTAGGAAGGCGTCGTAAGGGTTGCTGCGGACGGCCAAACAAGGTGGAAACCAAACACGAGTCCGATGGCGAGAGGTAGCGGGCGAGTACAACACGTCGAAATCGTGGCTTGTGGTGTGTTGCGTAGACTGGCAGGCAAGAAGGCGGAGCGTTTGCCGGTAATTATCTGTCAAAAATGCCCTGGTAATGAATGGCAATGCCGGGCTAGGTGGTGGAGCTAGACTGAGCCTGAGCTTTGTGGCGCCGGAGAGCCTGAAGAGATTTGGCAACGGTAAGTATGAGATATCGGCGGCTGTTGGCAAACGAGGTCAGCCTTGTGCGGTGCAAGGCAGAGGGCGAGGTGGAATTGGGGGTAACCAAGACGACGACCGGACTTGTGAGGCGCATAAATAGTGGACGTACTAGTCGTGAAAATGGAAAGTCTTTTCCAAATCGAAATCGGAATCAAAAGGCTCTGAAATTAGGTTTCTGGAAAGTCGTTAACACGGAGAGCCCTAAGCGTGAGGCGCGATTGGCCAGTCGAAAGGAACGGAGCTGGGCGCGTAGGGCAAAATAAAGGCGGATGGCAGTCGCTTCGAATGGGCGCTTGCGGTCAAAACTAGCCAACATCACAGACGACCGAAAATCGAGAATAGAACAAGGACAAAGAGGTGAAGGGATTCAGGAGCGCGGGATAGAGCAAAATAAAGAAAGGGGCAGAGATGAGAGGCAAGAAGCAAGAAAGGGGCATACAGCGAGACAAAATAGGAAGTCGCCCTGTTGTGCACGCGCGCGAGGAAGGAGCATATCAATGAAAGAAGGAGCGACGTCGCTGCCCGTTTGCGTGTCGTGCGACAAGCGACAGGCTCTTTCCTTGCATCACTTTGTTTTGTTTGCCGGTCCAACGTACCTTGTCAAGTGAGTCCGTAGATTGTGTGTAGGTTGCTCCTTTGTTCTCGCCGCGAGGTGGCAAGAGCGGCCGCAAGGGAGGTCCGCTGAGGTGTGAAGGAAGAAGGAGCGATGCACATGTAAATCTGAGCGAAAGGGGTAGCTGCCAGAAAACTAGCAAAGGCAGCTCTCGAGGAAGGAAAGAGGTGTGCAAGCAGGAAGGCGCGATAAGGAGGAGGACAACAAGAAGGAGAACAAGAAACGAGTTGGCGACGATGTCCAGCGAATAAATGGAACCAGAAACAAAAAAGGACCAAAAAGATGGGAGATGAACTACTGGGCGCGCGGGTGTCGGTTGAGATCCTCGTTGGCCCCAAAATGCCAAGACCACAACACAGCGAACAGATTTTGGTCTCGATCTGGTCGATTGGGGCCCCGTTTCAGAGTAATGCAATGTTGTTCCAGCGCCGGTCGCACCTGCACTACGCACTACGCGACGGCAGCGCAAAGCCAAGTCCAAAGCTAAAGCCAATAAATAGCCAAGCGCAAAACAAGCAATTCTAGGTCTTGGAAGGAGCGATCAAGGGCCTAGAACTGATAGATAGCGTGCGAGTGTGCATTCTTCACGCCGGGCGCCAGTAATTACACCGTAAGCTACGGGGGCAATCGAGACGGCATGACAATAATACTCGCCACGTCACAACACGGCCAGACATGCGCAAATGTAGACAACAGAACACCGATTATCCCACACAGGCCCGATGCATTTTCCTTTCAATTGCGCTTTCCTTCGAACTGCGCATGCTGCTAAACGGCAGGACCAAAGAGGTCAAGAAAAGAGAAAGAGGGAAAGCGCGATGGAGGCCACAGCGGACAAAACGCGCAAAACAAACCTGAAAAAAGGTGACCGAATTAGGCGGTCTTGGCACACGACACGCCGTGTCAGCTGTCGCACAGTCAGCCAGGGACTGCACTTAGGCCTGTAGGGGCGCCGTCCACGCCCAGGGAAGGAGCAGTGCAGTGCATCGGCCGCAGACGTCATTGACAGACCGCTCCGTCTTGTGCAGCGCAGGATGGAAGGAGCACTAGAGGAGTAATTAAGCAATCTCTTTGCTCCTTCCCTTTCACACAGGTATTAGGCTCAAAAACAAAAACAGCATTGTACTATAAAAAATGAAGAATATAAAGAATATAAAGAATATTGAAAATGCGACAGACGAAGCATGCTGAGCGCACTGTAACAACAATCTGCCATCACCGTCGCCGTGCTACGCGCAGAGGTCATAAACATACGGAGGCCTCTGGTTGTTCGCAAATTAACACTGGGGCCAGCAACTATTGCTTTGCGGAGACGATTCAACCGAGCAGCAAACGAATCAGAGGACCCCAAAATCAGGGCAAACACCAGCCACGTCGACAAGCTGACTTGACAACGCCAATTGTCGACGACAGAGGAACATACTTACTTCGTATGACGGCGGCGCAACGGGAGATGCTGATGCTTGGGCTGACTTGATACTAGGCCAGTATTGAGCGTATTTGAATTCGGCGTGAGGAAGTCCACACGGACGAATAATACCTCACGTTGGATTCGCTTTTTGTTTCTCAATTGGTCTTCATCCCCTGCTGACAACCACTGTACCACGTATTGTGACCGGGACACCGTCTCGGGGAAGGGTGGCGGCTCACCGCATGTTTTGCTGCGTTGTCAACTCAGCCGATTTGGCAGAGATCAACCTAGCGGCTTGAAAGGGCTCCCTAGACACTGACGAAACAAGGAAAAATAAAATTAGGTGCCCCTGAACACGGGACCGTGTTGTTTGATATGTCGCGACGTGTCCTCCGTTCTTATGTTTTGGTTTATTTACATTCCCTTTTTCTATTTTGATTTTGATTTTGGACGAGGTTAAATACTCAAAACAACTTCTCATTATCCAAAAATATACACAAGGCAATAAATGCTTTTAATAAAACAAGAATAAAAACACATTAGATAACACCTCTCAAAGGATATCCAATACGTGCTAGATCACAAGGCCACAACACAAAGTCAAACGTTTTCCAAACTCCAGAAGTACTTCTGTAAATGTTACAGAAATAGAGTGACTCCAATTTTTTCGAGTGTTTCACCGCGTTGCACCATCATTAACCCTGCTGGCCAAACAAACCAGGGCTTCCTTGGGCAGCCCCACCACTACCGTTGCCGTCCTCGGCTGGCGGCCGTTGTAGACCAATGTCGTCCACGCTGCTGCGTCGCAGGAATAGACGCGATGCCAAGAATCCGGGACTCGTCGTCCGGATCGGCGTCAGGGGGGTAGGCTGGATGAACTGGTTCTGGTTCTGGTTCTGGTTCTGGTTGTGGTTGTGGCTCTGGGTGCTGCCCAATCCGCCCGACGCACCGGCAGGTGACCGGAGGCTGCCACTGGTGCTGGATGGCGGCGCCAGCGGGCTGCTGTCACCGCCCCCGCCGCCGCTCACATGACTGCTGCCGCTGCTACCGCTTGTAACCCGCGTGCTGCTGTTCAGCAGACCCGGAGGCAGGCCGAGCGTCGGGATGTTTGTGTCGGGCACTTCGGCCGTGGCGCGCGCGGCCGCAGACGACAGCAGCGACGATGAGTTGTGCGCGGCGTGTGATACAGGGCGGCTGGTCGAGGTGGGCGTACCGGCTGTGGAGCTCGTGCTGTCGCTCGACGGCGGGACCATGTGCGGGTGGCTGCCCGATAGACGCGGTGTATTCAGACTACCGCCGGCCGCGGCGGCTACCGTCGAGGCGCTGCGCTTCTCGAGAAGCTCCGTGTAAAAGGCCTCGAGGGCCACGGGGTCCTGGCTAAACGCCTCAAGCTCGTCCATGACGCTTTCTGGATCTTCGCCCGGCGGCAGGTCGGCTGTCGAGATGGAGAAGAGCACGGCGCTCGCGGCGTTGGGCACCATGCCGACGTTGTTGCTGCTGCCGGGGATCGCAGGCGCTGCGCCGACCGAGGTGCTGGTCACGATCGGGCTGGGGCCGGGAACGCTGTTCTTATTCAGCAGACCCGACATGGTCGTTGCGCTGCCCTTTTGGCTCAGTGCTTCGAGACCAGTGGGACGGAGCCGCGGCGAGTTGAACAGCCCCGACTTGACCATGGGCGACTGGAGCGGTGTTGGCTCACTGGGTTCACCGCCCTGCGGCGGCGGCTGCTGTTGCTGCTGCTGCTGCTGCTGCTGCTGCTGGTCCGTTGGCCGCATATCCCGCGCAGACGGCGCCGTGGACCGGTTGCTGAACAAACGGTTGACGAGAAGCAAGAAGTCGCCTTCGTCGTCAATTTGCGCCAAGATGATGCCGGATCGGTGGATGTACTGCGTGTACTTGAAAAAGGGACGGCCCCACGAGTATTGCACGTCGACGCTGGGCGGAAAGTTGGACGCCGCCTCCGTGTCGAGCACAAACCCAAACTTGCGCAGGATCGCACTCTGATAAAAGTGGCGACCGGGCTGGGCCTGAGCGGCCAGCAGATTGGGATCGTAGAACGTGGCCGGTCGCTGCGTCGGTGGCGCCAGTGCCAGGCGGACCTTGTATGGCCGTCGGAAGGGGTTGCCCTCGCTGATGGACGACGCCTCGGCAATCGGCACCTCGACGAGGCGAAGGCCATGCTGGTAGGCCTCGCGCGCCCAGACCTCGACGGCGTCCTCAATGAGCTTGGCCGTGGCGTTCATCCATTCGATGCGGATGTGGTAGCAGTTGTCCGGGTTGTGCAGGCGGTCGTAGTGCAGGTCGATGCGCTCGGGGCGGTATGAGCGCTTGCGGTGGTCGACGTCGTATTTCATCATCTTGCTGAGCAGCACACGGGGCCTCTTCTTGTTTGCATGGGCATTGTTTCCGTTGCCGCCGCTCTCACTCGTGTTGCTGCCACCTGTCGTGGTGGTGTGGTTGTTGTTGCTGGTGCTATTGCTGCCGGTGCCGGAGATTGCCCCGAGGATCGGCGTGGAGGCAGCCGATGCTGGCGCCTTGCCAAAATCGCTGTCCTCGTGGACAGACACCGGCCGGGACGCAGGCTGTCTTGACCCGTCACCTGACCCGCCGCCACCACCACCACTGCCGCTGCCGCCGTCGCCGCCACCACTCTGCAAATCAGCCGCCGTGGGTATGGCTGCCACCGACGCCTTGCGTGTGTTGAACCAGCCGCCCGTGTTGTGCGGCTTGGCATACTCGCTGCTGATTTGGTAAAAGTACTGGCCGTCGCGGAACGCGTGGCGCTTCTCGACGTGGACAAAGATGCCCTGGTGCTTGACCTCGCGGGGGCCGACGGCCGGTGTTGCACCGCCTCCACCACCAGCTCCAGTGGACGCTGCAGCCGCAGTGCTTGCTGTTCCACTGCTGCCGTCAGCCGTTGCAGTGTGTCCGCCGCCCGGGGCAGCACCGGCGGTGTTGCCTTCGCGATCCTTCTTGTCGGATGCATCCTTCTCGGACGCGTCGCTGGAGGCCTCTTTATTCTTGTACAGGTAGTCACGGTCGCGGTCGCGGTCCGAGACCATGAGCATGTTCCCCAAGGCTTCGGCCTCCTGGCGACTCTCGAGGTCCTCGACGTTGTCGAGCAGCCAGCTCGTCATGTCTGAGCCAATAAAGCAGTTGTAGTGCAGCCGCAAATGCCAGCGCCGGTTTTGCATGCGCACACCGCCCTGCTCGACAGGCTGTTGCATCGCCTCGGCCAGTGCCGCCAGGTTGAGGTTGCTCTTGCGGAAGGGATCGCGGTCGGTCACAAGCTGGCCCTTGCGGGGCAGCGGCTGCTGTGGCGCCTGTCCAGCGGCACCCCCAGCTGCTGTGCCTGTGCCTGTGCCTGCGCCTGCGCCTGCACCACCCAGAAGCGGCAGGGTTGATTCGAGCTCGGCGGCGATGACCAGCGACGGATCTTCGGTCTTATAGACGACGTCGAGCGGGTTCTGGTTGGTGTCGCGCGTGCGCCGGTGGCGGCTCGAGAGCGTCTGCAAAAAGTGGCGCTCGGACGCGGGGATGACGCGGTGCTTCTGCCACAGCTGGCCGAGTTTCCGGATGCCCTCGATGCGGACCTCTTCGTCGTTGTCGACGGGATTCGGGTTCGAGTTGGCATTTGCATTGGCATTGGCATTTGCACTTGCATTTGCATTTGCATTTGCACTCGCGGCGCCAGAGATGCTACCTGTTGTAGACGCAACGGAGCCGGCACGGTGCGGAAGCACCATGGGGATCAGCACGAAACGCGCACGCCAGAAGCGTAGGTTCTCGGTGAGCTGCTCGTCGTGGCCTGCGACGTGCGAGTCGATGTAGTTCCAGTTGCGCTCAGAGCGAGGCGCGGAGACGTCGATTGTACTCGTCAGGTAGTCGTGGTCCAGGAGCGTGCGGATGGCCGGTCGGTACAGCGGCGCAGGGTTCGATGCAGCGCTGGCGCCGGCGCCGGCACCACCACCGGCGCTGCCGCTGCCGCTGCCAAACTCGTCCGTCTTGCGATGGTAAATGTTGACCTGCACCTCGGCATCGTTGGCAAACGACAGCTGGTGGATGGTGTTGCCAATGGACATGAAGATGCTCGTGCCGTCTTCAAAGGGCTGCTGGTCCGTCGAGAAGATGTCGGCAATCTTCATCTGCTTCTGGCCAAAGGCCTTGGCCACGACGGGGCCGATGACGACCTGGAAGCCTTGCGACAGCCGCAAGCTAATCAGCTCACGCAGCAGGTTGTCGCGGGTCTGCGGCACCTCGGGCAGCTCGTCGTCGGCGTCCTGAGAGACGCTGTAGGGCTGCTGCACGTACTCGCTTTCAAACTGCGCCTTGGTGGGGAAGTACTCGGTCGTCAGCGGCACAGACGCGGGCGAGCACAGCGTCTTCCAGCGCATGACACGGATCTCGCCGGGGCGGGGGAAGACGTGCTGCCAGCGGCTGTTAAACGTGGCAGAATCGATCTTGTTCGCCTCGGGCTTGGAAGGGTTGATCATCATGAGCCAGGGTGCCATGGCGGCGGTGGGTGACAGGGCCTTGGTGGTCTCAGGCACGGCCTCGGCGAGCAGCTTGGAGTTGTAGACGCGCTGCGCGTCATCAGCACGCAAAGTGCTGGAGTAGTGGGGGTCGCGGTCGTCACGGGGGCGCGGGGGCTCGGTGCGCCCGGCACGACCGGCACCGAGGAACGAGCCGGCAGCTAGCTGTGTCGACGAGTCGCCGGAGCGGATCACGATGGGGCGCGTTGGCGTTTCCGGCGGCGCAAGGCGGCCTCGGCTGCGCTGGTCCGTGGAGCTGGCGCCGCCGACCATCCGCCCAAGCCCTGTTCGGCTGCCGGACGCTGCTCGGTCGGCTGATGAGAGGCCGTGCGTGTTCGGGTGGGGCAGGTTCATACGGTCGTCGCCTGTCGAAAAGACAGCGGATGCTTTTGGCGTGCTTGGGAGTGCCCCGTGTGCGTGTGCCGTGGCCGACGTCGTGGCCGCGGTGGCAGGCGCCGTAGCCAAGGAGAGGTTCACGGTCGGCGCAGACGGCAGATTGGACGCCGCAACGGTCTCTGCGCTGACTTCTGCCACGGCCGCCTTGGGTGCCGCAATGCCGAACCCTCGCTGGCCCAGACTGATCTGCCGTATCGCTTTCGGCACCTTGGACGAGGAGGAGCGCGAGCTCTTGATGCTCTTGATGCTATCCTTGTCGAAGCTGACAGACCTCGTGTTGTCGCGCATATTTCTGTAATCGAGACCGCGACTCGATAGGAGTGCAGAGCTTGCCGGTGTCGCCGCCGTGGAGGACGAGACCGGTCGGTAGCTGGATGCCGACGTCGTGGCAAGGCTACTGTTTGCCCCGGTCGTGGACATGAAGCTGGCCGTCGATGGTCGCCGGTCGGTTTGTGCATGTGCAGAGCTTGTGTCCGCACCGCCCGAGCCGCCTTCACCGAGGAAATGTGTCTTTCGCCGTGTGCGGGGCCCCGAGAGAGCCAATGCCGAGCTGGACAGGGCCGCCGTGCTGTCGTCTGGCTCGCGCTCACGCCTGTAGCTGCTGCTGGTGGCTCCGCTGTGATGGCCCTTGCGGCGTGTGGGCAGTTTCTGGCGGCTGCCGTCGTACTCTTGCAGCTGCCGCCACAGCGACTTGCTGTTCTGCTTGGCCAGCTTGTCGGCGGCAAACTTTTGGAAGCCGTAGACCTGGTCGAACAGGACGTTGGCGGCGAGCTTGTTCTGGACGACGAGGACACCGCCGTGCTCGACGGGCGAGGTGGACAGCGAGTCGGACGAGGGCTTGAAAGCACTGCGCGGGAACAGCGGGTCGGCGTGGAGCGGGGTGGTCTCGATCTCGTTTGTCTCGAGCACGCCGCGCATCTGGAGGTCGTACATGCGGCAGCGGACGGCAAACTCCTCGAGATGCTTGCCCGGGCGGGTGCCCTCGAGAGGAAGCGGCGGCAAGGGCACGCCCTGGCGCATAAGCAGCTCGTTGGGCTCGCTGGCCCAATACGAAACATGCAGCCACTGGGGTAGAGCGTAAAACCAGCTGTCGTTGAAGCGGTCGGCGCCCATGGCCTCAAAGGTCCGCTGCTGCGGCGTGTCAGCAGACCCGGCACCGGCACCCTTGCTCGGCGACAACGAGTGGGCGCCGACGCTCGAGTAGCTGCCGTAGAGGGGTGTGTTCTGTTTAGGCGTGCTGCCGCTCATGTGGGCAAAATGAGTGCCAACGCCTTTGGTGTGGCTCTGACTGTGGCTGTTGCTTTGGCTGTTCCCCTGGCTATTTGCCTGGCTGTTGTTGCTGTATGTCCGGGACTTTTGAAAGTCCCGGTCGAGGTGGTGTGGGTGGCGGAAGCGAAACAGTGGCGCATAGTGGAGAGGGACCTTGGGGATGCAGATGAGGTCGATGCCGATGCCGTTGCCGATGAGGGCCTCGGTGGTGCGGCGCAGGGCGTCGTACTCGACCTCAAAGACGCCGGAGCCGGGCGAGATGACGACGACAGAGATGCCGGTGCGCATGAGATCGCGGTCCACATAGTCGTGGGAGAAGAGAGTGGAGGCCATGTTGACGGCTTCGAGGACGTTGCCGTACATGGCGGACGACGACTCGGCCTGGATGTGGTGCTGGAACTTTTGGTTCAGCGGCGGCTTCTTGGACGGATCGGGATCGCCCGTCGCATCGCCGCCGCCCGCCGCATCGTCCGACACAGACAGCGCGCCCGGAGGCAGAGACGCAGCCGTGTCGGGGCGCAGGTGGGCGAGGTGGTGCAGGCTGATGTCCCGGCGGAAGAGGTTGAACTCGCGCTTGAGCTGGTAGAGGATGCGGGTCCACTCGTTGCTGGACATTTCGCTGACGACAACGCGGTAAAAGTCCTTGTACGGGCGGCGGTTGCCGGACGACTGGACGCCCGTATAGTAGTCGTGCTGCACCGATGCCTCGGACAGGTCGACGGCCAGGCCGGTGTCGTACTCGACGCGCGCAAAGAGCACGATGGTGACCAGATGCTTGACCTTGCGCGCGGCCCATTTCTTGAACAGCGTGGGCAGCAGGCCGTTGACGACCTTGCTGAACAGGATCTCGCCGGAGCCGTCCGAGTCAAAGTCCCACATCTCGCGAGCCATCTGGATGAAGAGGACGAAGCGCGCCGACTCGCTGCGGAAGATGGGCCGCGTGTTCTTGCCGAAAAAGGCCGACGGCACGCGCTTGCCGTCGACAAAGACGTGGGTCACCTGGGCCTTGATGGTGCTCATAAACAGGACCATCTGGCCGCGGTAGACGGTGCGTTCGGCGAGCTCGGAGACGGCGAGGCGCCACATGTCGGCGCGCGACAGGTACTGGTCCTTGAAGACGAGCTCGACGTGCGAGGCTTCGATGGCCGGGTTGCTGGCGTCGACAGGGGTCAGCAGGACGGTCGAGCCCTTTTTCATGCCAAAGACGTCGGCGATGCGCTTGGCAACGTAGATTTCGACCGTGGGGTGGCGCGCCTTGAGCTCTTTGGGCATGTCTTTGACGATAAACAGATACCGGCGGCCGGCGTCCGCCTCGCCGTCGGGGGCTTGCCCGGCTGCACCGCCTGTTGCTGTTCCTGAGCCCGTGCCCGTGTCTGTGCTTGTGCCGTCTTCCGTTCCTCCCGTTCCTCCGGATTCTCCTGGTGTCCCCCCTGCGGACCCTGTTGTTCCAGAGGCCTGGTCGTCTTTGCGTCCGGCCGCCGGGTTGGGACGGCGGACGGTATTGTTGTTGCTGTTGGTGCCGCTGCCCCCGGTGCCCGTGCTGCCAAACCCCGGCCGCTGCTCGGGCAGCACATCAATGGCCATGAGCTGGCCCAGCTGCACGCCGTCGTCAAAGTGGTCGAGGTTCATGAGCACCTCGTCGCGGGCAAACGATTCATTGACGGTGACGGTGCAGGTGCGTTCAAATGCGGGCTGTGGGCCTTTGGCAGGGCTGGCCTCGCGGATGGTGGAGTTGCTCGACATGGTGTCGGGGGACCGGGCGCGGCGTGGGGGTGTCGACGAACGGGGACGGCTGTGCTGGAGGAGATGGTGATGGAACGATGGTGGCGGATGGGTTGGTGGGTGGGTTGGTTGCGGGCTGCCCGTCGGCAGGACGGGCCCACCGCTCAGCGAGGCATCGGTGGGCACGGATTCGGCACTGTTGCGGCTCAGCTGGCGAAGGTGCGAGGCCCAGCGAGGCGGCCCGGCCTTGCGCGAGTGCGCCGGCGAGAATCCGTTGCGAGACATTGTCGCGTCAGCGGCGGGCAAAGGCGCGATCAGGACGTCATCGGCAGCGGGCGTGTGCGCAGGCTGCCGGAATGGTATGTGGCATGGTATGTGGCCGCGTCACATGTGTCGTTTGCCAAGGCACGGTGGTACGTGTGGCCAATCGTGGATGAGATACAGCTGGGAGCTCGACGCTGCTGTGAAGGGGCAAGCAGGTGCGTGATGGCGGCAGAATGTAGATGCTGGCGGGCTATTGGATGGCTGACTCACCGCCTTCCTATTTTGTAATTACAGCTTGAATGGCAGGTGCAATCGGCGCATCGACAGCATGTCGCCCAGTATGCGAATTGGCCGTTGAGCGACGGAGATACGTTTGCATATTGCAAATTCAACCAACACATGCACAAGATGACATTTCTGGCTGAAGAACTCGGTACTGTTGTCTTATTTCCAGTCGTTCAACATGACACACTTGTCTTGTGCCACGCAGCTGTCAGAGCAAGGCGGACGGCCAGCGCTAGAATTCTCCGACTGTCTACCAATTGTGAGTGAAATACACGAAAGCAGGCAACGCCAACGCGATATCGCGCTTGCTCTTCAAAAGACGGATACGGCGAGCCCATCCATGATGGCACAAGGACGCACAGGCCAGCACACAGTGCACGGACAACGGTGGGACGAGCTGCTCGCAGCCGAGAGCGGCCCCCCGGTGAAGAGCAAGGTCGATGGATTTAATCAGTTGCGTCGGGCAATTGGGTGTGCGCCCAACACACGAGGCACCGTGCCAAGCCTGGATCGAGTTAGGTGCTGGTGGTCGTGCTGGCTCATGTGTAAGATACACAATCATTGTGGCGCCTCTGTGTTGGCTGTCGGTGGGTCGGCTGTCTGCATTTCCGCATCATGACGCAGTGACGGTCCTGGACCTCGGAGATATCTGGTCGTTTCTACACTTTGAACGAAATGAAACAGCTCGGACGTGACAAAACCCGCAAAAACAATAATGGAATAACGCTGGAACCGAGAATGTGGAAGCCTAAGAAGAAACCGGCCGAAACGTCGTAGGCTGGTGCCGTGGCAAATGGACGTTCGAGTTGCGCTCGCCGGCCCCAAAGTGCGCCTAACGCGGGAGCCAGTGACGCACGAACGAACAAACACCAAAGAACTACCGACCAGTCGCAAATTCGGCGGTTTCTGTTTCAACTTCTCGACGTCTCCGGATCCGCCGATCAAGTGACGCCAACGCATCCTGGTGTGTTTTGTTCCCTTCCATGCGTTCTCCTGCGTCACATGAATATCTCGTGTACTCCATCTCGTCTTTCGTACGCGCGCTGCGTGTTTCTCTTGATACGTGCTCTCTTCTCGCTGCTCTCTTCATTGAAGCCTCTTCGTAACCCCATATACGCCTTTCTCCATCGCCAGGTTGTCCTGCAGTTGCCACTGGTCGAGCCTTCCTGCTGCAAACACCTCCTCACTCTTCCGCTCCTGCCCTTCAAGTCCGGTTGGCCAATCAGCCGAACGTGATCGATCGCCCTGATTTACGTTTTGAACGGGGGTGGGCAGCATTGTCGCATTCGTGTCGCGGTACTCTTTTAAAGGCGTTCTCCTGTCTTCTTGTTCTTCCCTTCCATCTGTTTGGGTTTTTTCATTTCGTCTCATTGTCCAGTCCAACTCGAGGTGACTTCGCTTTCGCCTCGCCTTGTTCCTTCCAGATTCGTCTACTGGCAAGTGAAAGGGACCCACCTTCCTCTTTCATTGTCAACTGCTTCTTGCCTCGCTTCGCAACTTTTCCAACTCCATCGCGATCAAGACACATTCTCGTTTTTCAGCTTCACATCTACCTCGCTTCGACTGCCCGCCCGCCGCCATGGCCTTCCATCTCACGCCCAAGAAGCGCCTTATGGCGACCATTGCGATCTCATTCTCGTTCTTTGTCGCCGAAATCATTGGTATGCATGCTTGAACAAGCATCCCTGCCTTTTGTCATTTTGGCGCTCTTTCTGACCTTTTTACGTTTTCAGTTGCTTTCATGACAAAATCATTGGCTCTTCTTGCAGATGCCTTCCATTATGTAAATGGTCCACCGAAACAAAACGTGCCGGTCTGGCGTGTATCGACGGCTGACACAGTTCGCCCAGATGAACGACCTGATAGGATTTATTGTTGCGCTGGTTGCTATCGTTGTAAGTCCCATCACATACCACAGCCAGCAAATTCCAATGTCAGGTATGGGGAGATTGCTAACTCCATCAGATATCGGAACGGTCAGACTTCCCGCAAGACTTGTCGTTTGGCTGGCAGCGTGCCCGGCTTCTTGGTGCCTTCTTCAACGGCGTCTTCCTCTTGGCTCTTGGCGTTAGCATCTTTCTCCAGTCCATTGAGAGATTCATTACACTTCAAAGTACATTCCCTTTGGATACAATATCAGCTTTTGTTTTATTTTTATTTATTTATGCTTTTGAAAAAAAGAATCCACATGTGCTAATACATCACTCTTCTCACAGAGGTCGAAAACCCAAAGCTCGTTCTGATTATGGGCTGTGTCGGGTTTGGCCTGAATGTCATCTCGGCCGTCTTTTTGCACGAACACGACCACGACCACGGCGACGGCAGCGGCAGCGGCGGCCACAGCCACAATCATGCGCCCAACGAAGAGTCCGAGCACGGCCACGTTCACGTCGACGACGACGACCAGCTGCACGAGTCCCACGCCGAGCACCGCCACCTGACCGTCCAGACCAAGGGCTCCGGCCGCGATCTCAACATGCTCGGCGCCATGGTACACGTCCTGGGTGACGCCGCCAACAACGTTGGCGTCATTATTGCCGCTGTCATCATCTGGAAGACGCACTATGCGGGCCGCTACTACGCCGACCCGGGCGTCAGTATGGGCATTGCCCTCATGATCCTGCTGTCGTCCATCCCGCTCGTCAAGAACAGCGGCACCATCTTGCTCGAGAGCGCACCGCGCGGTGTCGACATCCAGGATGTCAAGCACGACCTTGAAAAGATCCCGGGCATCGAGTCGGTGCACGAGCTGCACATTTGGCGGCTGGACCAGAAAAAGGCCATTGCCTCGGCACACGTGGTCGTCTCGGACCAGACGGTGTCGAGCTTCATGGAGAAGGCACGCACGGTTAGCGAGTGCCTGCATGCCTACGGTGTACACTCGGCTACGCTGCAGCCCGAGCTGTCGTACTCGTCGCAAGTATCCCTGGCCGGCCAGAACGGCGGCAACATGGACGGCGTCGCGTCTCTAGAGCCTGGGGGCGGTAAAGGTGATCTCACTCTGTCCAAGATTGCCGTTGTTTTGTCCAAGGGTGACAGTGTCGTCGTGAACGATGATGGGGTTGCCGGAGCTACTGCAGGAAGCAGCAGTAGCAAGAGCCACGGTGTCTACAATGAAGCGGGCTCTCAAGGTTCAAACGGTGCCAGCAGCAGCAGCAACAGCAGCAACAACAATAACAACGGCAGCACCAGCAGCGATTCCGCACGGAGACGGCCATCGAACGCAGTCTCAGTCATCCGTAGGAGGCGGACCGAGGCGAGCGGTTGCCAGATCCCGTGTGGCACACTTTGTGAGAGCCTCATGTGCTGTAAGTAAGTAGCTGAGGAAAGGCCAAACAAGATAAAACCGGCCTGGCTCGATCGGTGCTTGCAGAAGAGACGCGGTTGGTACAACACTACGACATAAGGCTTCAGGCAGGCAATGCAGGAGGGTGATTATCATGCAAGGAAATGCCTCCGTGCATGGAGCTGCTGTCAGTGCAACGTATTACTCAGGCGACCTGATCTAGAATGGACATAGCTTGCTTGTGAGTGGTCGTGTAGTCAATGGATTGTACCATTATACGGAGTATAGGCCTGACCTGTGAATGGGAGGGCAATACAACATCGACTTGATATGTTCTGCGATAAGAATATAGCATCGGTAATTTTTCACCAACTCTGTTGCTAGCTCTCTGGTACATGTCATGCTCCGCAACAAGGCTACTATATCAATACGGCCAATAATGATGTCTGCAAATGATATAACTACAATATTACAAAAACAAGAACTTTAGAATGAACGAGTTTATATAATGAGGCCGAGAAGGTGGTACAGCAGCAGAGTTGCATGTTTATTAATACAGCAGTAAAAATATAAAAAGGATAGAATATGGATTAAGAGCGTGCAGAGACCGAGGTAGCACAAGAACGCAAATGATGTGCTGCAAGGAGCATCTTTTTCTATCTTTATTGTGCATGTCTTTGACGTAACAGCTCCTGACGAAGATTAAGGAGTCGTAGAAACAACGGGTATCGTGGGTATCGTGGGTATCATGACGTGGCTAACCTTCCCCCCTCTCCTTCACGGCGCACTCTCAACCAACGTCCGTAGTCTCTCTCGCACCGCGACCAGACTCCTGCCCAGATGGTTCTTGCCCCAGTATTTCCGGTACTGCATTGGCCGTTGCTTGATGCCGTAGCCGATGCCCCAGTAGGAGTCGCGGCCCGCGGCCTCGACGAGCTGCCGGTCGCCGGTGTCCAGCAGCTGGCGGCCAATGTCCGGAAGCAGCTGCGCTCGCGCCTCGCGCCCGAGCCAGTCACCGCCGTCGTCAATCACGTGCTGAAGGTGTGCTCCGCCAAATTTGTGCCAGAGCGCGTCGGCCATGACGCGCAGCGGGCGGTCGTTGCGGCTCCAGACGGCGGCATCGAAGCCGCGGACGGTCCGGGCGATGTCTTTGCAGTCACTGGCCTTGGTAGCAGCCAGGATGCGCTGGCAGGCAGCGGCGTCTCCAAAGCAGGCAGCTTTGCAGTACATGTAGTACTGCTCGGAGTGCTGGAATTCGATGGTGGGCGCATCTTGGGGCGGCGTTGCATCTGCATCGTTGTTGTCTGCGGTTCGAGGAGAGGCCAGCAGCCAGGAGGCACAAGCAATGGCCGGGTCCGGCGCGGAAAACCTGGCCGGCTTGTAGTTTGACATGTAGCCGTAGTCTTCCCATTCCTTGTGAAAGAAAATGGGCATTTGCTCGTCGTCTTGCGGCCCCAAGCTGGCGTCGCTCTGGTTCTTCTTGTGCTTTGGCGGCATCTTGTTCCAAAGGTATATTATGCGCTCGTCTTCGCTCGATTTCGCTTGTGTCAAGAGAACCAGCCACCAAGTCTTCAGATCCTATAGGTGACAAAGCGTACCATTTATAAGAACAGCCACATCGTTGAGAATTTCAATTAAAGTTCTACTGGCGATGATCAGGCGTGTGATACCAATTGCTGAATCATGAGCAGCTGCAACGATAAAAGGTGGCAAAAGCCGATATGGGCACATGACGAGCCAGCGTACAGTGGGCGAACCATAGTGTCAAAACTCATAGGCGGAACATAGTAGGGCACCACGGGCACGTAGGGGCCACCTGGGGCATTCAGGTCTTAGGGCCTTGTGCTATTAAATCCTCATCACTCTCACTTATACGGGACCAGCCGAAGTCTGCCACATTATCTTGAGGTCTCTATCACGTATACATTGCACGTGCCTCAATGTATGATTAAAGTTCATCGACCTCGTCACTCATGTCATGACAAGGTGAGCCCAACGTAAGCGATAGAAACGCCAACGACGTAGACATTCCTTTGCTCTCAAAAGGCCGCTGCTTTCCTCTCAATTTCCAAACGTCTTTCGTTCTCTTCTCTCATTTACATCACCAACCACGACATGCTCTTCACCAGGAGCTTCGCACTCCATCTCGACATCAACAAAATCGACAGGCCGAGAAATCCGCTCTCTTCCCTTCCCATTCTTCTCCATTCTCAAACACGCCCCGCCGTCACCATGTCTGACCAGAGGCCAATCCTCGTACCACTTGACCTCTCTAATTTGTTGGAGAGTGGGCTCGCTAGCCAGGCGCATGGCGGCGTCAGAAAGCTGCACCGACGCCGCACCCATGCCTCGAGCGATGACGAGTATCGCAACCTACCACTCGACGCAACGCCGACGGCCGCCAGCTCTCACGACAACAATTTTGTCGAGGTGCCTGAGCACCTAATCTCCAGAGCAACGCTGACGTACGTCGGTTATACTGACGGCAAGGCTGACGAGCTTTGGTACCGCTGGACCCATTGGCCCGCCGACGGTCCTCGGCGAGAGGTGGACAATGTCAGCGGCGAATTGTACATGACATTCAAAGACTTTATCACAAGTCACATCGGCATCTCAGACAGCTTCCCAGACAATACCTGGGGAGATCAGACCCATCGCTGGATCCAGTGTCTCCGGCGCTATGGCATCAACGAGGACACGATCTCGGCCATCCTCGAACCTTATTTTGAAAACATTCGACGGACAAAAACTTGTGCCTTTTGGGCAAAAGACACGGTCAATATCCGCTATGCAGGCATTGAGGAGATGAGCCGGGAGTCTCACAGAAGAGCGGCAGACCATGACAGCAGCACCCGGCGCGGCCACACGACGCGCCTCTCTGTCCATCAGGCGACGTCCTCGCCAGCTGCTGCCGCGTCCTCTGACCCCACGACAACTGGCTCTGGTGCAACGGCGATTCGGGTCGCCATAGACTTGGCCGCCCGGAACGCACCAGGTTACACCCTCCTCTATAGGGGGATGGACAAGGCTCTCACGCGCGGCTTGTTCAGAGACGACGGCACTGTTCGCAGCTTCAAGCAGCTCGTGAGCGGCCCGCCGACCGACTTCAGTGGAAACGTGTCAAAGTACTACTTTACGCCACAGTTCCAGGTCGCGGAAACCGACGCAGCGTACACCAAGAACCGCGGCGGCTGCGTGGCCGTGGTCATTGTCGCCATCAGGGTTCCAAACCAAGCAATCCAAACCCTCCAGCACCCTGCCATCCAGCGCCTGCACTGGCCCAACCCCGACTGGGCCAACTTTGTCTGGCATTCGCGTCGGAACGAGACTCTTCCAAAACACCTCAGAACATACCGCACAGCGCGCCTTTTGATCGGCCACATCGCGACACACCCTAACCAGGTGTATGAGAGGATGGAGTCCCCGTCCGCAATCTCAGACGCAGACATCTTGCGCGTGGAGGGCCGCAAAGGGACAACCAAGGCCATCCAGTTTGTCTATTCTGACGACGACGACACCCGCGAGTGGCTTTGGGAAAACGGTGCCCAGACCACCAAACTATTTGAATTTAAACAAGAAGATTTGGAGGCTGTCGAGAAGGCGATGTCTAGCGGCGAAGGATACGAGTTGTAAACGAGGATGCTGGAATTTTTAAGAGCTACCCTCAACGAGAAATAGGGGAAAGAGAAGTACTGGGAAGGTGGAAGTTGAAGAGTTAAGACTAGCAACATAGTTAGTAAAATGTCAATACAAGTGGCTTGCATTCAAAGGTATGGCTCTTTGCCATCCACAACTTACCATATGTCGCCAACATGTAGCAAAATGCAACGAGGTTGGACACCACGTTTCTCTGCGTTGAAAGATACATTACCTCGTGGCGGTAGGATCTGCCGCCATCATTGCATATGCCCACTCTTGGCTTCCTTCCCGCACAACACAAGAGTCTCACGCAAGCACCCGCACGTTTTTTCTTCTTCTTCTCGGTCAGCTTACCATTGCGAGCCAACGTTTGAGTGCTGCCGTTCGAGCTTCCACCTAATTCGTATTCTTTTGTAGATTGTCTGCGATGGTACCCTAGAAACCTGGAAAAGGACGCGCATTAGTAAGTTGTGTGTACAGAATATTTGGGTTCCAAAAGCTTTCCACACACATCGGCCAGTTGTCGATGGCTGTCCAGATTGGTTGAAGTTGAGCACCGGCCATGACTGGATCGATAGTGCCACCCAAACTCATTTGCAGCCAATTCACCAACGATTCATCTTTCCAATCCTTGCAACCGTTGGTAGTCAACACTTGGCGAGCAAGAGGCACGTCCAACGGTAAATCCCTATTTTATAAGCCATTCCTGACCATAGCTTCCCCAAGATTGCAAGGCTACCTCACGAGCCAATGCAAACACAGGCAAAGATAGCACACAAAGTAAAAAAGCATTCCGTAACCAGAGCTCGTCTTCGCACTCGGCATCGTCAGCACGCGCTGCGCCATATGTACCCATGCTCTCACGATTCTTCAGTGTCTCCTGTCAACCTTCCATGGCAAATAAACGGTATTCTTCGGGCATACTTTGTCGCAAATTAGTGTGCCTTCGAGCCAGTGCGTCATAATTGCGCCGCCGAGATTGCTGCCGCGCCAAGTTGCTCCGCTCGGTTACTTCTTCGCAGTTCTCACCGCTTCTCGTGCTGCCATATCCTGGTCTTGGCCCTGCCACTTTCTTCCTTTCTAGAAGACCGAAGTGCTGATTTGGGGAGTAATCTCACTTTATCCAACCATGGTCTGGCCGGGTCCTGCCCAAGCGCTCGGTGCCCCCCCAGCGGTACAGAACCCCATATCTAATGCTGCAGTACTCCAAAATGCCCCAGCACAAAAGTCCCAGAAAGCGTCACGCCTGCCCCCCGCAACGTGGCCGAGGCCTGGTCCTGGGGCAACAGGGGACACGATCCATGGCTGATAGAGGTCTGGAGATGCAATTTCACTGGTGAAATGAGCAGGGTAATATCAGGGACAGCGCCCAGACCACCACAGGTTTGTATGGCGGTCCCCTCTTTTCTTGATGGTGAGGCTGGGGAGAAGGAACAGCTACGAAGTAAGTTAGTTGACAGTTGGCGCGGAAGCGGTTGCGCACAAGCACAAGCTGTCGGCTGGCATGTTGAAACGGTCAACGGCGCGCCGGTCGATGTGTTTTCCAAACACGTTTTCGATTCGCTAAATGATCAGACCCGAATAAGTCGTATATTGGGCGGCGCAGTGTGCCGGTATTTCCATACGCAGTACGTAGTAGTGATCCTTTCGGCAGCAGGGGTGGTGTTATTGTCCGCTAAAAGGTTGAGTCGGTGTTCTTTTGTTGTGCATGGGAAGACGAAGAAGTCGAAGACGACGAAGAAGACAGAAGAAGCAAAAATGTTTGCTTCGGGACCGCCAGTGAGATTATGCTCCTTCCCTGCAAAATGACTGCATATGAGACATTGACGGCGGCAGCTGCACGAGTAGCGACTGCCTAATTTGTCCGTGCTAGCATGCAGACACTTGCCTGCCCCATTTGTTACCTGGGGCCTGGCCCTGGCCAGGCCTGCCGCTCCTTCCCTCGAATGTCTTCTCCACCCATCCCACCTTCAGAGCCGGTGCCCACCCCACCAACGTGGCAATTGCTCTTTCCCGCCCTTCGATGTGGCTTGCACACCGCCGGAATGGTCAAGGCAGAAGGAGCAGAGTGTGCGAATCCAGCCGTGCCTGCCATTTCACAACGGGGAAAGCAAGAAGGGAGGGAGAGCGAAAAAGGGAAAGGGGGTGGGGGAGAGGTGAAAGAATCTTGTTTCTTCCAAAATCCCAGACCGCTTCGAGAAACAAACAAAAAAAGAAAGCAGAACATCACGAGCGCGACGCTGCCGCTCCAAGACACGCCCCCCATCAGAGCTCTTGTATCGGCAGCGCTCTTGGAATGCGCCAATGCGCCCAGAGCACCGGAACGCAGCGTGCGGCATGCAGCTACATACAGTAAATGCAGCAACTTTCATGCGAGACTCTTTAGTCAACAAGGCATACAATAACAGCACACACTTTGTGCCTTTTTCAGGGCGGTGTATCCCTGGCTTGACGGAGAGAAAAGAGTCTGCTACTTTGTTACACAACACACCCCAAGAGCTAGAAGCTAGCTTCGGAAAAGAAAGGTCCAAAAATAAGAAAATCGACCGGCCATTTCTCGTTCGGAGCCAGACGAAGCACGCCGCTACTTTGGCCTTTCTTCGCCCTGGTCCAACGTCGTCGTCGCCGGCCAATCGACTGCTTTGCTTTTCTGCTTCCTTTTGTTCGTCCTTTTTCCGAGCTGCTTCCTCTTTCTGCGTCGTTTTCTGTGCAACCCGCCTCTCCCCCATAGAGCCGGGTCTGGTTGCCGCATTTGTCGATTTGCGACAACCAGTCATCGGTCATCGTCAGTTCTGCCTGTTTTCTCTTCCATCTTCTCTCTCGTTGCCTTGCTCTCTCGCCTCTCTCCCTCCTCTGGTTATTCGGTCGACTCGGCTGCGCTCACCGTCTTCGCCACAACCGTCATACTCGACGACCCAGAAACGTCACACATAACGCCCCAAAAAGTGGCATTACGGAGCGGCATCTGGCGGCATCTGGGGATCTTCAGCTGCCCCATCCCTCTGTTCCAACCAATCGCCCGCATCTCATTTCCCGCCCTGGCCTGGTTGTTCCATATTTACATCATTCCGCCAGCCGCGCCCGTCTTCCGTGACTCTGTCCCTTAGCAAGGAATAACTATCTTGCTTTTCTTGTTTCTTTGTCTTGTCCTATTCTACCGACCTTACCATCTCCTCCCATTTACAGGCAACGCTTGTGGTCTTCCATCACTCTCTTCTTGCCCCCTGGCGACTTCGCGAGTCACCCTCCCGCGTCACCAAAAACCGTCTGATATAAATCACCGGCCAACCAACAAGCTATCCAACTACCAGCCGGAAGAGACGCAGCGGTGCCTGGCCATATCACCAGTCAAGCGGCACCTTTGGGCTACCAGAAAATGCTGAGACCCTCTTGATGCGCCACTATTTGCCTTTTTCGGCCTACGACGCCTACACGAGACTCCAGTTCTGCCGCCTCTACGACATACTGATCTAGCAAAAGCCAAGGCCTTGTTCTGTTGCCTGCCCGCCCGCTGCCATTACTCACGCGTCACCAAATATTAGGGCAGCGCTGGCCACACGAGTCCCGCGTTTGCATGCATGCGACGCAATCGTTACGGCCATATTCAACGGACCCCCAAGGACGAGCCATTGCTCAGCTCCAGGACAAGCTCACGGCAGGACCAGATAAGAAAATCCGACACCACGGAACGACTTTTTTCTGCTGTACGGCATCTGTGGTGGCAAAAGAAATCGAGCGGAAGACGATTCGAAGAATCGCCAGCTGCATATGTGCTTGACACAACGCTTCGTGACTCCTTCTGCCGTCTCTGAACTAATATCCGAGGCGGTCAGGTGTCGTCCAACAGTATCGAGCAGCACAGTAAAGAAGCGCGGCTCGACGGATACGAACGACCTACCCTGTTCGTTTCGTGTTGGACAAGAAAGAACACCGCTGTCTCTGTTCTCATAGGCTCTGCTTGTGGCTTTTTGAGGACCAACCAGAGAGCAGACACCACCGTATGCTGGTCCTCTGAAGCCTCTCACTAGCTAATTACACCATCGTCCTCCTGCCTGGGCACCTCGTGTCAGCAGGTAGCCTTTTTTTGCCTGCAAGGGCTTCGTTCGTTTCCTCACCGCTGCAGTCACCAAACCGTATGATTCTGTCCGGCTACGAGATTCCTTGTTTCCTTGTCCTGATATCGTCCTGTTGTTTTGTTTCACTCAGTCTCGTTCCATCAACCTCCTTTTCGAGTTTCGAAGTTTTCCTTCTTACATGGTTTTATGGCTGCCCGCATTACCAGCCCTGCAGACAAGCAAATGGACTTCACCAGACAGCACTTACACAGCTTCTCGTTCCGACCCCCGCTGTAAAGCGTACCACCCTCAAAAAGCAACAGCCCAAAGCACTCCGCACAAGAGATCCGCTGGGCTGGACACTGTGTCCAGCACTCTCTTTGGACGGCCATGTTGGGAAAGCTTTTCAACCTGACGACTGGCGCAGGCGCCGGTTCGGTCCCCTCTTCCCACGCCGACCAGCCATCCGCGCCACCCGAGCCAGTCTCTTCACTCGAGTCTGTCCAAGAAGACTTGCACACTCGAAGTCTTCTCTACCCTGATGCGCAGACGCTGTTCCGGGGCCACCAGGATCAGGTCTTTCCACTGCCCAACAGCCCACATCTCCCGGCCGCTGCGCTGGCGTCTGCGTTTGACTACGATGGCGACCTCGACCTCGACATGCGCGACGTTCGCGTTCTCATCATGCAAGATGGAATCAGCTCTGTGCCGGCAAGCCTGCTTTACGACTCACAGCCTGCACCGCCGCCGCCGACCCCAACTATGCCCGACCGGCCGTCAACCATGGGCGGCATGGCGCATCTAAGTCACGGTTTGCAGGATGCCTCGAGGCGGATGCCCACTTCCCCGCGCAAACCGAGCCTAAGTCACACAACTCGGCCCCTGGTGATACAACCAGATAACCCACAACTGCGCCAGAGCGCCACCTTCGACCGGCGGCCGTCTCTTCACAGCCGCAGCCACTCGCGGCTCGAGACCGATGCACAGCGCGCACACCGCGAATACGCCGAGGAAATCTCGGTATTCTCGAGCTGCATCTTCGGCAACTCGGAGCTCCTCGCCTATCGTGGCACGTCTACGAAGGTACATGTACTCCCATCCGAGCAGCGTGCGCCAGATTTGTCGTCGTTGGCGCTTCACGATGGCCGCGGCTCCCTTGGCCGCTCCAGTATGCGCTCCAGCAAGCTGTCGCAGTCTTTCTCTTCGGAATCTGCCGCCATGTTTCCACCGCCGACATCATCCTCGTCATCACTCGCCGCTGGCTCTCGAACTGCCGACCGAAAGAAGGTGCTCATCACACGACTCTTCCCCGTTACGCTTCCGAATGACGATGATGTCAGCACCACCATGACGCCGCACAGCCGGTTTTCGGAAGAAAGCGGAAGCAGTGGCTACCCCTTTCCTCCCACTTACAGCGAAGATACGCATTTCCAAAAGAAAAAGAAAAAGGCCCAGCTCAAGCAAAAGCGAACTCCCATGTACGCGGTTGCTCTGATTGTGAATCTGCCCCAACCTCCACCGCCCCTGACCCAGGCCACTTCAGCCTCGCGAAGCACCTTCCGTGGCCCGGGGTCGTACTCGGAACAAGATTCGTTCCCGTCGTCGTATGGGTCCGGTCGCCGCGTGGGCTGGGCCCTTGCCACGGCTGCTGTTGGTGGACACAGTGGGAACGGCAGCGGTAGCGGCAGCGGCGGTGGCAGTGGAAACGGCCTTGGCATTGATGTCGCGATGGGCGAAACAGCACTTGGTGGCGGCACGCTTCCCAGCGGAGTCATTGGCACAACGACCGATCTTGAGGAACGAATGGATCCCATCACCCAGCACTGGGATATTGTTATGCGTGCACTCACCCAGATGCAAACAGTTGCCTCGGCCGCGATTCTTACCCTTCTACGGGCGTCTGATGTGGCCTCCCCCGAGCCCTATCCTCCATCAGCCTCGGCCTACGCGCGCACAGCCACGTTCAGCGGGCGGCAAGATGCGCTCGGTGGCCCCATGAAGATGCCCAAGACGAATGCCAAGCTGATCACACTCTTGCCAAACGCGCTCATGGACATGGAGCGGATCATACGTGAGGTAGACAGTGCGAAGACCCGGATTGCCGTCGGTCTTCGCGCGCTGCGGGTTGTTACGGGCCAAAATCGCTGGGGGATCTGGCGTGAGGAGGCTCGGTGGGTGTCCCGCTGGGCATCCTCTGTTCGTGAAAGGAAGTTGCAGCCGACGGCGCAGGCACAAGCCCTCCCACTGCATTTGCAGCCACCGCCTCTGTTGCCGCTGTCGTCTCAGCAAGGCCAAGATCCTTTCTTGTATAATCTTTTGACGGCGTTCCTCTCGACCCATACCGATTGGCTGCAGGCTCTAAGTCCTGCACGCTACCGCAAGCGGCACCTCATGCTGCAGTCTTCCAAGAGCAACGACGATACTGTGTCCGCCCGGACCATTATTGTCTCCAGAGACAAGATTGCAGCCCGGCGCCTCGTGTTTCTCTTATCCGCTTTCCTTCCAGCGGGCCAAAGTGTCACCAACTCGGTGCGGGTCCATCGCCCTAGCACGTCCATGTCCTGGGGTGCTCTGTCCCAGTCGCCCCCGGCCTCGTTTGTTGTACCCATCATCAAAGAGCAGTCGTTGCGCCGGAAGATCAACCGCCGCGGCCCTGGCGGGAGTGGCCGGCGATCGTCGCATTCACGCAATCTCAGTCTCCAGGGACAAGCCATCCCTGGCGGCATTCCAGCGCGATCCGCATCCATGTCTGTGACCGGTGTGCCCGCCCCCCTTGCACACTTGAACCTGCACAGAGGCCAGCACGAGCGACGGCCGTCTGATACCGCCTCCATTCGCACGGCCAATTTCCCGTTCACCGGAAACGACTTCGCCACACGAAAGAGCAGTGCGGCGACCATGACCACAGTCACGTCAGACGCCACTGTGCCACACTTTGCAACCATGCAACGCTCCGACTCCACGTTCTCGGTGAGGCCCGACAGCAGCGCCAGCAGCGCTGCGGCAGATGATCTAAAGCGCACGCTGCAGCGGGGCGACAGCACCACGAGCCAGCAAGGCAGTGGTGCCCTTTCGGGTGCCTTTTCGGCTCTCCAGCAGCAGCAGGGCCTTACCTCCCCGGCCTGGATTCAGACACCCGCAACCAGAGCCTTCGCTGGGGCAGCATGCTGACTGGCTTTCTCAGTGGCCGCCGCCGCGACTCCACGTCAAGCAACACTGGCGGCGGCGGCGGCGGCGGCGGCGGCGGCGGCGGTAGGCACAGTCGGAACTCGTCGATCACGTCCTGGGACCCACTCGGCAGAAGAAATAGCCTGTTGCCGCCGCCGTCTCCGAGAAAGCCACAGCAGGATACGGCATCCCGGCAAGGAAAGGTCACGACAGGCCAACATGCCAGCCATGGTGTGTCCGGAACAGGGCCACACGCCGAGGAGGCTGTCGACCCGCATACACCCCGGCTCTCACACGACAGCCCGAACCTCGTTGGTAGCACGTTTGCTGGCATCGACTCGTTCCGGCGGGCGCCTGAACCGGACGCCGGTTTTGATTCGCCAGTGAAAGCAACGGCCAGCGCGGACGACGGTGTTATTGACGTGGACATTGCGTTCCCAGACTACATCCGGTCGTTTGAGACTGCCGTTAGCTCGCCATCGAGCAGCGGATTTTTGTCGACGCCTGGATTTGGAAGCGGCCTGGATGCGTTCGAGCAGTCATGCCGCGTATCCGTGGACGGCGATCTCCCTGCCAACGTGGCCGGTTGGCTCCAGAACTACCACCCGGATTTCTGTCTGCAGGCTCTCCCGCCACAGGGAAATCTCATGGCGCAAATCAAGGAGTCGATGCGGACCGAACCCTCGCCGTCTGGCTATGCCTTTGAGCCCGAAACTGGCGGCCAGCCATCGACGGCGCACCTCGGCGAACGCTGGGCAGACATTTCGAGCGCCATTGTTGTGGATGCCACAAAGCTCACGATTACGCGTGTGAGCTACAGCCGGCTGGTGCGGCCCAAGGTGACGCCGGACGTGTCGACGCCGAACAGTGCCAACAGCCCTCCGACACCTGTCACCGCGTCGGTGCCAACGACGGTGCCATCGCAGGAGATGGAGCAGCTGGACGAGCGCTTTGTCGAAACGCCGATTGTCTCGACGGACAGCGTCTTGACCAAGGCCATTGAGCGCGTCATTGCACAGGGCGTCGCAGGTAGCGGGGCAAGTGCTGTTGGCGCCGGCGGCGGCGTGAGCAGCGTCGGAGGTGCTGGTGTCGGAGGTAGCTTTGAGCACGTCAACATCCACAGCGGGGAGAGCACAGTCGACAGCAGCGGCATCAGCACAGACAACTCGGCGCGGTCGTCGCGGTCGGCGAGCATCCGGCGTGGGCGACGTGACAGCTCGTCGGTCGGGCCGGACGAACCGTACCCACCCGCACGTCCACGCTATGTGAATCCGTCACCCGCGGCAGCCTTCTCGCCTCTGACGCCGCTCGGGCTGGAGGAGGTGCCCCGTGCAGAGTGCAAGACGGTGATCCTGTCGGCGCTTGAAGAGATTGTGCGCGACGTTGTGCAGAGCAAGGACAGGGACGACCAGGCCGACGACGGACTCCGCGACCACCCGGCCACATCCTCCAAGGACAATGGCGACAAAGAAGCCCCCAGCGTCTTGCGCAGTGCCGTGCAGTCGTGGCTGGAAAACGTCGACATGGGAGAAGTCTGAGGGCCGGTCGCAGGCGCTGTCTCTTCCCATTTTCTTCTACGTTTTTAAACGGTTTTACATTTTATCTTTTTATTTGATTTTCTCATCATTGCCCCCTTATGATACCACATTCTCCATTTCACTTGTTACGACCGCCTTGCGATAATCAGAGCACGCGTGCACGGTGTTGCTGTTTTCACCTTTGTTTTTTCTTCTTCTACTTTCTTTCTGCTTTCGAACCATTTACATGCATCACAAGCGACTTACATCTCATTTTAATGTCATTTTAATTAATACTTTGAGCTTACTTCTTCCAGTCTGGACAGACGCTTTGATAGATTGAGAATATTGAGCAGCGATAGATAGGCAACGATCCAGTCTACGTCTACAGCACATGGACGTACTTGACAGCTGAGAAACATGATGGGCCTATTTATTTACTCGAGATAAAAAATGTGCCGTGCGACGTACTGCCCTTCAAGAAGGGGATGCATAATTATGAGAAGTAAATACTGAAGCAAATGCGGTGCAGAGAGCCCTTCAATTGCTGGCCATGGCCCTCACTGAAGAGTAGCTTCTTATAGAAGGCTCAGTAAGATAGGTAGGCCAATAACGGGGCCCCGCACTCCACTGGTCGCTACTGCTGTTTCTTCGTACTCAGGCACTCTCTGTTTGCTTTAGCGGGTCGTCTACCGTGCGCCAGAAAGGGAAGGAGCTGCCTGCGCCTAGACCTACACAGAAATTCATTACCAATAGCGCAAGAGCCATCGACACGCGGTATGCTCGCTGCCATCGCCAACGGCCAAAGGTGCAATCCCACAATCAACCGCAAACAACAACACAAGCGGGAGCTTTGCACGACCTCCCCCCTCCCCCCCCCCCCCCCCACGCAGTCCCCGCCTGCTCGCTCGACGGCGCAACCCCCAGGACGAAGTGAGCAGCGTCAGCCCCGACTTGTTTTCGCTTTCGCATATTTTGCAAATGTCGAGGACGTGTTGCGCCAGGGGGATGACCCGCAGACAATAGACGATTTCGACGACAACAACACGAAACGACAGACAAGACGAAGAGGATTGCCACTTTGACGACAGCGATACACGATGGAGGCGCTCCTGAGGGAGGCGGGCGAAGGCCTCGGGCACGGGCGCGGTGACAGCGGCAGCAACACGTGTCGGTCCGTCGACGAGCTCAAGACGCGGATCACGGCACTGTTCGCGGGCAAAGTGTCGGAGACGCACGCAGAGCACGTCTCGGCGTCGTTTGACATTCCAGCGGAGGTGGTGCTGAACCTGGGCGACGCGCTGGCGTCCCAGCCGCAGCAACAGGCAGACGAACAGCAGCAGCAGCAGCAGCAGCAGCAGCAACAACAGCAACAACAAAACGGCGGGTCAGACAACGACCCCGTGGTAGCAGCAATACGGGGTGGCGCACTGGTGGGCGGCGTGCTGCGCAACGTTGTGACGGTGCGTGAGGTGGTCATGAGCCAACCGGAGGTCAACCCGCTGCTGCAGCGGGCGGTGGCGGCGTTCCTGATCATCCAGGTGCGGCAGGCGGACGGCAGCACGTGGACGGCGCAGGAGCCGACAAAGGCGACGCAAGGGTGGACAATACCGTACGTGTGCCAAAACTCCATGGCCTGCTGGCACCAGGCACACAAACGGTCGCGCGTCGTGGGGCAGTCGGCGCTGGAGGACATGCAGGACCCGCTGAGCCTGTCCCGCCCGGCGTACGACTGCCGCGGCGTCGTCATGTTTTCGTTTTCGCGCTTCAGCCGGTCGGTTGTCGTCACGTATGAGCACACCAACTTCCACCGCAGCGTGTCGCAGTTGGCAGCGCTGTTTCCGCCTCCACGACCGCCATCGCCGATCAACCTGGCCCTTGCGACGCCCGGCTCGGCGAACAAGCGCCAGAAGACGATGGCGACGACGACGACGAGCGGCGAGCCCAAGAAGAAGCGGCAGAAGAAGGCACCGGCAAATGGTGCTGCGGCAGACGGGCCCGTTCCGGAAGGTCAGGAGCTGACGGCCAGCGGGGCTCCCAAGAAGCCAAAGAAGCCGAGGAAGCCGTCGGAAAAGAAGAAGAAGGGCAAAGAAGGCGAAGCCGGCCAGGCAGCCGTTGTCGGCGGCACTGCAGGCGATGGAGCAAGCGCGGCAGCCGTTGGCGGGGCGGAGGGCGTCTCATCCATTGCATCTGCGGCGACGGATATGATGATGGACCTGGGCATCGATGTTGGCCACGATACCGATCTGAACGAGAGCCAGATGGCGGATGCGTTGCTGCGACATCTGAACGACTACCCGGAAGACAACACGGAGACAGCAGCAGCCATGATGGATGCCCTTGTCGAGCACAGCGCCGCGTCGGGCTCGGCAGCAGGGCCGCGTGGAACCGACAATGCCGAGACAACAGCACCACCAGCACAACCACCAACAGAACCGGCCACGGATGCATCGGCCACTACGACAAACACGCGCAAGGCACCGTATCAGACGGTCACGGACGCCGAGGTGTCGGCGATACGCAAGCTGTCAGCCATCAGGCTGCTCACACGCCGCAATGTCGATCCGGGCACGCTGACGCACGACCAGTTCTGCACATTTGCGAACCAGGCCCCTGCCCTCCAGAAGGAGTCGTTGGAGCTTCTGGCGCACTATGGTGCCGAGCGCCTGGCCATTGTGCCGGCGGACAAGAACGCCAACAAGACACAGTCTCCCTCGCCTGCTCCGGCAGCGGCTGCAACATCGACCGCAGTCCCAGTCCCAGTCCCGGTTCCAGTCCCAGTCCCAGTCCCAGCCCTAGTTCCAGCCCCAGTTCCAGCCCCAGTCGCGGATGCTACAAAGACAAAGAAGTCGCCTGGCAAGAAGCCGGCAGCCAAGAAGAAACAGACCGAGGACGGCGGCGCGGTAAATAGCGCGACTGCCACGCCCACAACAGGCGTCGCTCTACCTGGCCTCCGCAGCACGGACGGCAATGCGTCCGCCTCGAGCTGGCAGCCGCCACAACACCAAACAGCCATACCACTTCCACAGACAGCCACGCCAGCAACACCGGCCGCCAAGCCAACGCCACGGCGGCGAAAGTCGACCGCGAACAAGGCTCTCCAGAACACTGCCGCCGTCGTAGAAAGTGCAAGCGCCCAGACGCCAGCACAGTCATATGTGGCTCCGACAAACGTGTCACCAGTGCCTCTACCTCTCACGGCTTACCCGCAGGCGGCTGTGGCCACCATGGCCTCTACCTCAGCAGCAGCAGAAGCAGCAGCAGGAGCAGCAGATGCGCCGACAAAGGGGTCGGCAAAGAAGCCGCGTGCATCCCGGAAAAAGAAGGACGCCACGCCAGCGCCGGCAGCAAAGCCAAGTGTCCAAAGCGCCCAGTCAACAATGGCACACGACGCGGGCACCGGGGATCAGCAGTCCAGCAATTACTACAGTGCCTACCAGCAGACGACACAGCCACAGCAGCCGCCGCAGCAACAATACAGCCACACGTCGAGCAGTGCAAATATGCAGCGGAACCAACACGCCGCATCCGTCTTGTCGCCGCCCCTGATCAACACGCAGCAGGCCAGTCCCAGCCTATCAGCTTATCACAACAGAAACAACAGAAACAACGGCAACAACGGCAACAACGGCAACAACGGCAACAACGGCAACAACGGCAACAACGGCAACAACGGCAACAACGGCAACAACGGCAACAACGGCAACAACGGCAACAACGGCAACAACGGCAACAACAAGACAACCGCACCGTACAGCACACAAGCGCCCAACGGGGCCGCTGGTCAGACGGCGGACACTTCAACGGGCTACAACCAATACGGCGACTTTGGACGGAACAACGGCAGCAGTACGTCCGGAACTGGTGCCGTTGTGACGACAACAGCGGCCACAAAGAACAACAGCAGCAGCGGCAACGGCCAAAACACAGTGGCCAACACGCACATCGCGTATGACAACTACCTGGGCGACTACGGCCGCCGGACGGACTCGCCCGCGTACAATGCCAGCCAATGGCCTGCAGCATCGACGAACAACGGCACGACGGCCGACCCGAACGCGTATGCTGCGTCGACCACACTACAACAACAACAGCAGCAGCAGCAGCAGCAGCGGACCACCACACCCGGTGCATACAACAGCCTGCCACGCCCAGCAGAAATGCCTAGTATGCCCTCCATGCCAACATCCAATATGTCTTATGCCCACCTGCTTCAGCGCCAGCAGCACCAACAGCAGCAGCGGCAACAAAGCTACCCACAGGGCCACCAGCGGCAGCAGTCTGCTCCCCGCCAGCCTCCACCGCAGCACCAGTCCGCACAGCACCACCAGGACACGGCTGCGCAGCAAGCCGCCTGGTCCCATTATGGAACATCCACAATGGCACAACAGCACCAACAGCAGCCGCAGAGCCAGAGACACTCGCCCGTCGCAGCCTATGGAGCCGCTACCCAACAGACATACAGCAGCAACGACAACAACAACAACAACAATAATAATAATACTGCTGCTGCTGCTGCTGGCGCTGCCATCCGGTCCGGAACGCGCACGCCTTCCGGTGCTGCCAATAGCGCTGGCTATGGGCATACTGCCGCCGGCGGTACCGGTGGTTACCAGCAGCCGCAGACCCAGCAGAACATGCGCAACCACTTACCGCAGCATCACCAGTACCAACAGCCCCCACAGCAGCAGCAGCAGCAGCAGCAGCAGCAGCAGCAGCAACATCACGCACGCTCCAACATGGGCCACAGTGCATATGGCAACAACCAAGTGATGAACGAGGACCTCTACGACATTCTGCGTAGGGCGCAGGGCTAGGCAAGGACAACGCTGAGTAGGGCTGGATCAGGCGTCGGTTGTTGTCTTTCATAAACCTTTGATAGGACAGCCCAGGCTTGTTTGTATTTTATTTCTGCCCCTCGTCCCCAATTCACTCTTTGCACAAGTTTCCCATTTTGCGACGCCTCATTTGTTATAGCTTTGATATCCCTGGAAGGAAGGCGTTGTGTTACCATGGCATGGTCCATTGTTGCAATTAAAACGTCATACTGCAATGACTAAAGGATATTCTCGTTGATGGTACTTTTAATTTTGGCAGATTCATTCAGTGAAGATATTCGCTTGTACATCTCGATAGTCTGCAGCAATCGCACGAAATATATGTGTGCGTCTGCATTGTACGTTGTTTCTTCTTTCAGTCAGTAGTATAGATTCTCGTCTATGGAATGAAGTGTCGTGATATCCGCAGTTTGCGGGTCGTCAAATGGTTTAATGATACAGGTCAACCCCAATGCTTCTCTGGCCTCAAATATGAGCAAGACGTCTCCAAAGTAGATCTCAAAATAAGACCAAATGTAAATCCAAGAACATCAATGTCATAAAGATAAAAGTTAACAGTAAGGGATAAAACACCGGGCCAATCCAGGAGCCTCATGCAAAACCAAAAGTAGACAGTATATGGGATATATATATAAATGTTTTCGCCGCCGGCAATTTCAAAGCCGTGAAAAATAGTGAGGCGAAAACAACAAGAGAGAACAAAGAGGCAGAAAGAGCAAACCAATGAAACAATCAAATCACACGCAGATAGTGCGCCCAGAGTAATGCAGCTGCATCACGGATTGAGTACGCTGTCGGAATCTTTGCCAGGTGGCTCATTACCAACAAACTCCATCCAATCTGCTACGCGGTCCATACCACGGCCAGGGCCGGCAAGGCCAGCCATTTCAGACCTGCGCGCTTCCTGTGCGTGCGAGGCCTCCTCGTCCCGGCGCCGGTTGCGACGTCCGCCCGCACCAGAACTGAAGACGTGCTCATCTTCCACGGGATAACTAGAAAACGGAACCTGCTCAAACGACCGTCCACGTTGCAGCGGCTCGTGGCCCATTAACATGCCCTCTTCCATCGGGTATCTCCGCATCATTGGTATTTCTGGCATCATACTCGGGTGGGGAATGGGTGCCATGGACATTATTGGCATGGAGCCCATAAGTGGTGGCGGCATCAGCGGCGGGGGTGGCCCCTGCATCGACATCATAGGAGGCAAGGGTGCCATAGGGCCATTTGGAGACATCGGGCCCATCGGCATAACTCCCATGCCGCCACCTGGCCCCATTGGCACGCCATGAGGCAGACCTGTCGCCATGGGCGGTCCGGTAAGAGCCGGTGGTGCCTTTGGTCGATGCATCGGGCCAGACCTGGACTCTGTGTTGAAGCGGTCTGCTAGTCGGCCCACCTCTGAGTCTGTGGTAACAGCACGGGTACGGCTTAACCCGCTTGTGTAGAAGTCCATCGACGCGGCAGGACGGTCATAAGTTGTAGCGGGATACTGTGAAGGCGGTGGTGGCGCTCGTTGATGTTGTTCGAGTTGCTCATGTAGTTCATATAGATCATGTTGCGGGTGAATCGGGTGAAGTGGCTGGTGCTGTTGAAGTGATGGATGTGGCGGGTGAGGCGGGTGAGTCTGCTGGAGCTGCTGGTGCTGGTAGCGATGCTGTGCGGGTTGAGCTTGAGCTTGTGCCTGTTGCTGTGGCGGAGTCGGGGGAGCAGGTGGAGGATGCGGTGCGGAGGGAAGAATGTCCGCCGCTGCCCGAGCAGAGTAGTCGCGGTCGTCGTTTTCGTCGCGGTCGTAATCGTTGTCTTCCATAAAACTTCTTCTACGATGGACGTGGGCACCTGCGTCGTCGTTGGCATGCCGCCTCGCATAGCGATCAAGCCGTGCCTTTTTGATAGCTGAGCTGAAGGCATCCATCGTGTCGTCATCATCCCCGAGTCCCCCGAGTGCCTCCATGCGCCGGGCCAGGTCGTTGTCCCGGTAGGCATCAGCTCGATAGTCGTCGCGATACGAACGAGCACGCGATTTGTCTTCGTAGCTGCTCTGCGGGCGGGACCGCATACCTTCGCCTGCTGAATAGGGCCGGCTCCCACCAGAATTGCTGGGACGGAAATCCCTAGTGGCAATCGCCGGTGCTGAGCCAAACCGATCATACCGAGAACCATTGGTGGGCGTATATGGAAGATGTCCGTATCCAACACGATCTGTTTCAACATCGAATACTTGGCAGTCACAATGCCCCCATTTTGCTCCGCAGATCATGCATGATTCAGCACCGCACTGGCTATCCCGTTGGAAATAAGAGCGACGTCAGTAGAGGCTTCACAAAGGCAAATCGTATAGAACCAAGAAAAACATCAAGTGTAAGCAACGTTAACGTACCAAATCATATGGTTCTGGCCCTCTTCAAGCTCCACTTCCGACTTGCATCTGTTGCAGGTCTGGCGGCCCTCAACTTTGGCCAGAAAGCGTATCGTCCTCTCGTCACGCGGGCAATCGCGTGATGCATGTGCCTTGTTATTGCACAAACAACAGACGCTTGTCCGACAACGGCCACAGACGGCCGTCTGCCGGCCGTCCTCTCCGCGAAACAAGTTTTCGTCCTTGATCCACTGGCCACAACTCGGTGACGGGCAGTAAATGCGCCTCTCCACCGAGACCTCACGGAACTTGTGGTTCCAGGCCAGCTTGAAGCCAGTGTCAAACAACTTTTCGACATGCTTGAGCGCAATGGCATCCATGGTGCAGCACCGCGGCGGCATTTGCCGCTTATCGGATATGGAGGCCTTGAATTTCTTCTTCAGGCAAGTGGCGCACATCCGATGGCCGCAGCTTAGTTTAGCCAATCTCGACAAGGGAAACTCGTCCATGCATTCCAAGCAGTGGTTTCTGCAAGGGAACAACCAGATAAGCGTCAGTCCAACATTCTTTTAGTCGGTGTCTTTGGGTAGGTATGGGGCAACAACAACTGCAGGCTGTGCCCGAGGCAACCACCAGCAAATGGAGCATGTAGTAGTCCATTTGGGCGAGTGTGCTGAAAAGGAGAAACGCACGCCGATGCGGTATGAGCGGGGAGGGGGTTGACGTTGAGCAAAGCTGGATATCCCATGGCATCTGTGTATGTGATGAACCGACGGGAACGGCATGCAGGCTGTGGTGTACATGAAGGATGGAATGCACAGGCTGGAGTGGAGGAGGGAGCAGAGACTGTCCAGTGATGAGGGATGTGATATGTATACAGTACGTCGTGCAAGGTTCCATGTATGTGTGTACTCTGCACGTACGTGAATGTGATGGTGTGTGGGCGGACGATTCATGTGGAAAGAAAACTTACCGTTTACTCGACTTGTCCGCAGGCAATGCATGAGTTCCAAAGACGAGAGGGCTTTCAAACAAAGAGGGGGCCCTTTTCGACGAGTCCATGCTTGGGGGGGCCGTGACGTGGGAGGGCGCCGTGGGGTGCGTCTGGGCTCTCCGCAGATTTGCAGGGCCATTGGCATATTGGTCAGGAAACTCCGATTCGCAATATCGTTTTGTAGGTCTGCAACGATTGGGCACAGAAGCGACAAATTGGTAGGCCGCATGTCAGTTTCTCATGTCACGTATCTTTGATAAAAAAAGTGTCCGACGTCGGGAGCACAGCAAAAACAGAACACAATGGATGTCTCACCGTCTCGATGACGCTCGCGGATTGAACTCGTCGCTGTCGGCATGCCGCAGACGGCTCTTACTTCGTGACAGGTCGCGACGGGCATCGTGCGTAGCAGTCGTGTTCCGGGAGGCTGAGCGCCGGGTGTGTCTCGAAGGTGTGCGTCGCCGGCGGCGGTCGTCGTCAAAGTCGTCATTGTCCATCTCTGTGTCGGCATCGGCCTGTAGCTCTTCGGTGGCCTCTTCGGGAATCACACTCTCGTGTCTGCGTCCTCTGCTACTGCTGCCGCCGCCCGCACCGCGGCTACCGCTACTCCGTCGAGAGCGGTGTCCGTGATGGCCCCGCTTCTGCTGGGAGCGCTGTGGAAAGCCTTGCGGATCTTGTTGAGCGACGGCCACCTCGTCGCCTTCCTCACGTAGATCCAGGTCGTCGCCTCGAACGCGGCCACGTTGTTTCTGCTTTTGATTTTGACTCTGCCGTGCTGAATGTTGCTTCATAGACGACACCGTGGGGTATTCTTCGGATGGGCGTTTGCGAATGTCCATCCGGTCGCGTAGTGCCTTCTTGTCGACAAAAATGGTGTCGGCTCCGCGGCCGTCTTCGTCTTCTTCGTCCTTGTTGTCTTCTTCTGGTGTGGGCCGCGTTAGATCAGTATCGTTGTCCGACTCGCTAAGGGACGAGCGCATGGACCGACGGGAGTCCGGGGTAGAGCGGAAGTAGGGGGCGGCGGAGCGCGGGCTGAGATCTCTGTGCAACGAAGCCCGGCTTATACCAGGGTGAGCGCGAGGGTCGTAATTTTCAAAGGCGGCTTTCCCAATGGGTGCAGTTGATGCCCGAGGAAAAGACGGCACGGCCGGGGGCCGACCTATGAGTGGGGTATCAGAGCTGTGGTGTCGCATGCCCGACGGGGAGGAAAGCAGCAGAGTGGCGGCACGCGTCACAGCCGGTCTCTGGCGAGACGCAGCAACAGACGAGGGGGCAGCGGAGTAGGCCGAGTAGGCGGGTCTATGTATTTCACCCCAACGGTGGCGAGGCGATGGGCGGGATGAGGACAGTTCCATGCGGGTCCAATCATCCTCTTCGTGTGGCCAAGAACGAGTGTGTCCGCGATGCATTTTCCACCACGGGGCATAAGGGCCATGCTCACCCGTCTCGAAGGTTTCAAGCTGCGCCATTCGAAGTGGCGTCAGCCCCAAATCACGATATGCACATTCGTGGAACGAAGAGACGCTATCAAAAATCGATAAAAAATGAGAAGAATGAGGGTGGAAGATAGAGTCTCAAATGGGCGAAAAGGGACGACGGAAAACAGCAACGGGAGAAAAAGGTGAGTTGGGTCGCTTTGAATGGCTTCGGGCTGCTCTGCTTTGCTGTCGCCAATAATGGGTGGATAAGGATCAGGCCCGAGCAAATGTCGGTCGATGTCGCTTTGCAGCGACAGTGAGACTGGTAGACAGGAGGTTGGTGGTTTACTTTTGTCGAGAAACACTCAGGAAGAAAATCATGCCTGTGTGAGAAAGGTCCTGTTCTTCGTCCTCCCCTAAAACGCAGACAGCAGATTTGGGACGTGGGCGGATGGATGTGCCTCTGCCAGCTGGTTGTGTGTGAGTGGTCTGGTGGGACGATGCACGGGGCTTGTTAGCGTTGATTGGACCAGATTCACCTGCATGATGGCCAATGCAGGTCGTGACGACGATTCTCATTGGGTGGAGGAGGGGGGAAGAGGAGACGTCAGAGAGGGGGAGGGAGACGAGGAGCAGAACACAGAAAGAGGCACAAAAAAGGCACAGAAATGACACAAGACAGCCCGGCTGCAACAAGAGGTAGAGCCCTGAAAACGAAGCCAGTGAATGAACACCCGCTCCAAAAGAGGGACATTGCATGAGCGTAGATGATGAGCAGGAGCCAAAGAGAAGACGAGGAGCGTCATACCTGTAAGCGGGCCCAAGAGGTGTTGGGCAGCAGTGGAGTCGGTTGAAGTAATGGCCCAATGCAATGCACCGGAAGGAAAGACGGGCACAAATGAAAAAAGGGGGCGCGACGAGGCAAACGGCAAAGAAAAAGTGTCCTGCGAGAGAAATGGAAAAGAATCAAGAAGATTAAGGGGAAGAAACAACGATTGTCGCCGTCGCAGCCGAACGGGGAGCAAGAAGGCGATTAAGAGAAGCCCACGCCGCGCGAGCACGAGAGACAGGAGACAGATAACAGACAGAGCAAAGAGTGTCCGCTGTCGAAATTGGGTTTGATCTCGGCAATGGGGTGGAGAAATAGAGCTCCGTGATTCCGCAAACAAATCGAGGTAAGGTGGCCTGCTGTACAATCTATGGCCTGCAGCGGTTCTCGATACTTGCACCCTGTCGGAATACGTCCTTTCGTCCTTTCGTCCTTTCGTCCTTTCGTGTTGTGTGCGGACGTCGTTGGTGGTGAGAGAGACGTATGAAAGTGAAGTGAAAATGTAAACAAGACGAAAAGGGGAGAGCCAGAGAAGCGGAGGCGAGATAAACCGAAGGAACTCGAGATTTGAAAATTTTTGGAAGTTGCGGCAGACGTCGCTTCCTTACCGTGATCCTTGATCAGCCGCTCCAGCCGCCCCTTCTGTTTCTGTTTTCTGTCCTGCTGCCCTGAAGCACAAGACCAGCCGTCATGGACCTGCCGCAATGGGCGTGCCCCTCGTCAATTCACACGTGATCGGCGCGCGAGGAAACCACCATTTCAGCAAGAACGACCGCCTTCGCTCTTGCATCTTGAGAGAGGTTGGAGAGACGCAAGCAGGCGAAGGAAGGTGCAACAATTTGCTGCATTAGCAATGGAGGGTCGCTCTTTCTATTCATCGGCAGGTTAAACAGCCTGAGTCTTCTTTCGCTATAAAATGATGCTCAGCGAAGTATCCTCAAATCAAAACGAGAGTGCGTCTCCAAAATGCACTTTTGTGTAGGGCACATGGAGAGGCACAAATCAAACGGCTTATCGGAGAGACCGCGCTGCCTACGGCCAATAAGACGATCAATGGACAGCCGTGTTCGCCTCACTTGACTATACGCTCTTTCGTGTCCCATTCGCGTCAGCCCCGGAAAGCAACCGGCAGTTTATAAAACTGAGCAAATAGCATAACGAACAAGACGGGCTGCAAGCAAAGACTCGATGGTCCAGGCGGCAGCACAGGCAGAGTATACGGCACAGCTGTCCAGCGCGGTCAAAAATGAGACGGCATCGGATTTGTTAGATCATTCTCCTCCAGTTGAATTGGGTTTTACATGCTTTTCATCATCTCCCTCTCACTCTCGCTCCGTTTGCCTGGCTGCCGATTACCCCCGTTTGCAGAGCGTACTGTGCAATACCACCTTTGCGAACGCGCCGGGACGTTGCGCGTGCCCGCTGGCGCCATGTTGCAGCTAGCTCGAAGCTAAATTCCAACGGCTGGACCTCCCCGTGCCGCTCGCCTTAACCGGAGGAAGAAGCGGGGCCTGGCCATCTTTGTGAATGCCCAACGAACACATCGCCGAACGGTCAAGCGGCGGAAACTTGGTTGGTAAATGCCAGGGCAGGTCAGGCTGACTTTCTGCACGTTTGTTGTGAGGAAAACAAGGCAAGGTGAGCGAGGCGAGGCATTGTTTGTCGGCAACGTGTAAAAACGACAATGCGAGACAGGGAACGTGAAATACGCACCCAGTACGAGCTAAAACAACGCATTTAGACAGGCGAATCAGAGACGAGGCACATGACATCGACACCCGACGCGGAGGAACACACATCAAATAAGACACGACGAAACTCGAAAGATGTTATATGCAAGCGTCCAAGTTGTCAATGTCTTGCTTTGCCATGAATCAACCAACATTGGGCCCGCTCATATTTTGTGCTCTAGCTCTCAAACTTTAGTAATTAGAGAGCGATTCAAACGAGGTACTTGTAACGTCTTTCCCTTATTACGAGATGTGGCCATCCACACCGAAAACCTCCTATAAAGGCAGCATTTCAATCTACTTCTTCCACGTACGGCCATAGATACAGGAAAATACGGGATCCCGTCCGCTCTCCCCTAGTCAAACCTGTAATCGGCGGATTAGTAGTTGGGTCGGTGACGACCAGCGAATACCCGCTGCTGTACGTTTTTTTGTCCATAACTGCTATTTTTGTTCGTGTTATCAACACATTATGTTGGCTTTTGTTCCTTGTCTACAGCTATTTTTTTTCTTTTCATCTTGGGACGTACTTCCGTACTTCTTAACGATTTCCTCTCACTATCCTGCCGATGACGGCTCGAATATCACGGACATAACAGACTTATGCTCCGTTTGCAGTATTCCGACGCCAGAGTCCATGTAGGCACTGGCACCAAGAGATAAGATCCAAGGAAGAGAAGGGATTAGCAACTAGGAAGAGACAGAAAGACTGAGCCAAACGACGCTGTTCACAGGCCGTGTGTGAGGGGGGGTATTGTTTCGTTTATCATCGTCGTCACTTGTTGTTGCTGTTCATCAAAAATTAGTTCAGAGCTGGGCTAGGATGTCGAACAATCGCACCAAAAGAACCATACATAACCAATCCGCAGTTCACGTTTTGTTATGTCGGGATACGTTGTACACGTGGGAAGATCGCGGTTTGTCGTAGAACGGAACGTTCCCGTCAGCGTGGTCAACAGCGAACGGTGGTCTGCTGCCAAGGCCTGTCGAGTTATGGATAGCTCTGATTTCAACGTTGACTTTGTTGGCCATTGGCGGACCAGCGACACTGGCGCTCTCCTTTTTGCCAAAGAAGACGGAGAGCACAGGTAAATCGCCTTGATCTGTCCGGTGTGCAGTGTCGGCATTGTAAGTCGTATGGAAAAGATCAAACACTAATAATCTTCGTATGTCCCATCTCTCTTGCGCGAGGAGTCTGACCGTGGATGAATCATTTTGCGCGTCTTGTGGTATGAATCGCCTTTGTTGAAGGAGTGCGAAAGCAGCAGCAATCGTCTCGTCGCTGTTTTCCCACGCTGCATGCCAGTGCGGGCTATTGCGAGAGACTACCACGAGAATACGCTTTGGGGTCCTGCTGACCTCAACATGCTCCATGGATGCGGCAGTTTAGCAGCATTTGTTGTTCGCGATGTCAGAAACCACGTTGGGCATGTATATGCTAGGTTAGTTTTCGGAATGAGGGGAAAACGGGACAAAGCCGCCAGATGGCCCACCAATTATAGCGGGCCGAGTAGGCCCTGCCACACAGCTATCTTACGAAGTAATTACGACGACGCTATCTAAAAGACAAATACAAAAACTCGAATAGGTGATGGTTGATACGAGAGAGCACAACATACACCACAGCCAAGTGTCACAGTCTGAGCCGACTGTACCTATCGATCTAAACTCGTAGCCCTTTCTCACCCCACACCACTTTCTAAGACGTCGTCACTCTTTGTCCTAACTGCGTGATAACGGAGCAACGGTGTAGTCCGATATACGCTTTAAGTGTTACCTTATCCGGCCGGACTCCTAATCGAAAGAGTTCTCGCCCGTTCTTTACCGCGTCTCAAGCTTTCTGCCACTCCTTTTACATGGCCTGGCGGATCAAGAGTTTCGTAGCGGCCATTAGAATCTTCTGCATTGGTTGGGAGGTGTTGCCGTGTGAGCCAGCTGCCGGGTCATTCGTTATCTAGCACGCCGACGTGTGCTGGAATCCAACGGAGCTGGATGTCTCAGCTCAGGGAGCGGAGTTGTGTCAGAGGTCCAAGTGGATAGGGGTTGTCAATCAAAGAGGATCGCAGCAAGCGACTCGAACGTAGGTGTAAGTAGATGCAAAATCTAGAGAGGGCGCGGATGGGCTTACATTATTATCTGGAGGATCACTACATCGTAGGGATTCACCGTTAAGTGCCTGGTGCCTGAGGTACATATACCGTGAGGTGCCTAGCATTAAAGGTGTATAAGGGTGCGGCCGGTCAGGTGACAACAACCACGACGACTGGCAACGGCCCTGGCCGTGGGACGTGCCTTCTGGCTAGGTAATGGTATCGTAGTGGACCCCGTTGAATCACCGTGGATTCGCTGGGCAATCCACGGGATCGGACAGACCATGATAATATTGGCTCTTGTTCTTGATCTACAGTTGGTTTTGGTGTTTGTTTATGAATCATTTCTTGGACGCTCATCTCAATGATTTCCTCTGACAGTGAGATTATGAAAGGATAGGTCATACGCCTTACAAAACGTATATCAAAGCAGAAGCGCAAGTCTGTGATCCAGCCTTCGTCAAAACGTTTTTCGACAAGTGCAGTACAATAAATAAATCGAGGACAGACCTGAATGTACGAGATTGTTGACTTGCCAATCTCATCAACGGCAGACATCAGTAGGCGATCCAAGCCTATGTTCACCGTCCTCATGGTATTACTGCATACCTTATGAATTACGAAAAGCTCCAAGAGAATCTCGAAACAATTAACTCAAAGACAAAAATTTTGCCATAGCTTGTAAGGGAACACCTTGAGGGGATAAATCGACTTGACAAAGGTCACACGTTGTCGTTCTCGTCTCATCTCCAGAAGCTGTTATTATGAGAGTCGTCCAAATATCTCGCCTACAAGGACGATTTGGATACAGCCTTCCTAATTATTGTACATTATATATTCCCTCACAAATTAGGTTCAATTAAGACTGGCAGTCTACGGTAGTATCCCGATTTTATAAAATTCGGCATATACACTCAGGATAAACTGGAGGCAAATTAGATACACATTAGAAATTCATGATTCGGGTGAGACCATCAGAGGGGCGAAATGTATGGGGACGAAATCTAGCTTTAAGGACATCAGAGGGGGATTGTGATATGAGGTCGGTCATCAATCTCATAGTCGACGATGATGCGAAGGGACAGTAGAGGAACAAAAGTATCGCATCGCCCAAGAAATCTCGGCATTTCAGAAATACCATTCAACGAAATTGTCTGAAAAACTGAGATGAGATGAAATTGGGGTCAGATTGATTGAGCAATCGTAAGGACATGACCGTGAACCGACTAAAACAACTCCTGAAATACAAAGAGGTCTTCCGTGAAATGCAAAATCGTCGACTTAAACCTGAAAAACTGATAACGACCAAAAAAAAAAAAAAAAAAAAGAAAAGAAAAGAAACAGGTAATGAAAACCCCAAATAGGAAATAAATAAACAGCCAGCCTTAACCGATCTTTTTTATTCCCTTTTGCACACCCCTCCCCCTTGTAATGCGACCAGAGCTGGAAGGGCGTGAAGAAACAGGACGAAGGGGGGAAGGTTTCTGGAACTTCGGTAAACCGGCCCGTCTGCGCCGACCACGGTTCCCCTCATGGCCGCCCCACTCCCTCCACCCAGCACCACCAAATTGGCACCAAGTCACCAAGTGGCACCAAAAACTGTGATGAGACCTCAGCACCCCGGACGGGCACTTTCATAATAGCGCCGAATTGGCCGCCGACCCAATCCTGGGTCTTGGGTGTGATATTGCGTCTGTCGTGAGTGTGCGGTGTGTGCTTTTTATGGGTTGTTGAGAAGGGGGGACAATGTCGCGTTGCCGTCAATTCCTTTTACCGATTAATGTGTGACATGCGTGGAGGGTGTGTGGAGAGAGACATTGACGACAGAACCCAAAGCTGGAGATGTAAGGTTGTTGGTCGTCTCTTTCGAATTACCCCAGATGATGGGGCCTGTCTGAGGCCGCCGCTCCACTTACAAGCGTCGGGAAGAGACTGGCAAAGTACAGGAAGAGATCTAGCGTGGCTAGACAGCTGGCTTTCGACGCTCCATGCATCTTGCGTTTCCGGCTATGTGCTGGTCGCATTGGGTGCTGCTGTGTCTCAAGCCGTGGCATGAGCCGGCATATTCTCATAGACAAACTACCACTCGTGCCGTAGTGGTCTTGTCATATGGCTGGCCGGGCCCTCGGTATGATGCTAGGGATTGTAGGTTGAGTTGGCGGGTGTATGTGTGTGTGTGTATGTGTGTGGCTGCAAAATATGCCGTGCATGATTTTCGTCTATTCGCATATGCGTTGGAGATTGTTTGGCCAGTCTCTGGTCGATGGACTGTGGACGAGAGTGACGTATGCTGTCTTTCGGGTAGTCGTTTGCTCACCCGCTCAGGAAGGCCCGCCGGCGCACCTCAGCCTCGCGAATGATCTCGGCCGCCAGAGCCAAGCTGGGCGCCAGGCCTGCGTACCGCTCAATCTCGACGACGACGTCGGTAATGATTTGGTCAAGGACGTCGCGGTGCGGCACAATGGTGAGTAGTATGTTGGAGAGTGAGGGCGACATGGATGCGCCCATGACGAGCAGTGTCTGAGACACAATTGAGAGTGCACCCTGCCACAGGTACGGCATGTGGCCCGCGTGGTGGGCGGAGATGTGCTCGAGCTGGCGCACCGACGCTTCGAGACACTTATGGCAAGCGCCGCGCACGGCTGGGTCAAGAACGGCCTGCTCGTTGTCGAGGACGGCAAGAATGTAAGGACGGTAGATGATGGTGCGACAGGCAAAGAAGCGCAGGCGCAGGACGGTCTGCACCGGATCGGCAAGTATTGTGCGCGTAAAGGGGAACTGCAGCGGGCTGGGCAGGCTCTCGTACCATTGCGTCAGCTGGTAATCGAGCTCGGCGACGACGGGCTCGAGACTGGTGGTCGAGGCCATGGAGTCTTTTGAGTAAATCAGCTGGCTGACACGGTTGAGGAGACGCCGAAGAGCAATCTCGGCCAAAAAGTACCAGAGATCGTCCCGGCCGACGGCCTGTTGCTCGTCGCCTTCAAAGCCGCACGGCAAGCCGACGTTCTCCTCAAACTGCACCACACCCGAGTGCGGCAGGTCCATCTCGGCTAGCAGGTCGCTTTCAAACAGCAGTGCGTTCCAGTAGATGCGCTCGGTGAGCTCGCGCTGCTCGGGCGGCACGCGGTTCGGCGACATGAGCAGCAGTTGCAGCTTGGTGCTCGTTGTGCAGAGCAAGTTCCAGGCCTCCAGCGGCCGCACAAGATAGAATAGGTAGGCTGCAGCCAGTAGATGGCATTGTGCGGCCAGCACGCTGTTGGATGTCATCATGCCAGGAAGAAGAGCCCAGGCGGCCGTGAAATACTGCAGCCCAGGCGGGTCCTCGTGTGGCACAATGCGCGAGATGCTGCCGCGCAGGCTGGCTTCACCAAGTGACAGAACCAGTAGTACGATGCAGCTCTCGGGGCCCTCTCGGAAGCCGTTGGAGAGGGCACTGCGGTAGTGGCTACGCCACGTGTAGGGGTTGACGCAGGCATACCACATATTGACGCGCTCAAAGTAGGCCTCGATATAGGCAGCGGTGTTTGACAAATCAACGCAGGGCGTCTTGGTGAGCGAGTGCAGAGGCTGGCGTGCCATCTCGAGCTGCAACATGATTTGCGGGTCGTAGGGCCGTGATACGAGATCCCGAATCAAGGGCCACTGCAGCAGATGCAAGGCTGCGTTGGTGTGCACTTTCGGCATGGTCGAGATGTTGGTTGCGCTCGTCCAAGTGCCGATGCCGCCGGCGGGGATGACCGATACAAAGCCGCTGGCGGCCGCTGCAGCGGCCGCAGCAGCCGTCGCCTCAGACCACATGTTGGTTCCGCCGTCTGGGGCCCCGCCTGTGCCGCCCAGGCTGCCCAGACCACCGTTTGCGCCAACACTGCTACTGCCACCGCCCACTGCCCCGCCATTGCTGAGACTGGACGGAGAGTCCTGCGAGTGTTGCGCAGCCGCTGCAGCGAGAGAAAGTCCATTGCTGTGGCCGGCGGCCAGGTTCATCTGCAGAAGGCCCTCGATGCGGTTCAAGCGCTCGAGGATCAATTTGTCGCCGGCATCGAGCTTGATGCCGGGCTCTCTGTAGATGCAGTCGGCGCCGAGCTCTGTGCAGAGTTTGCATTTTGGCTTGGTGCCATCGCACCGCGACTTGCGCGAACGACAAACCTCACACTATTTGCGTTAGCAAAATTGCAATGAACTAGAAAAAAACAGAGACGAGTGGGGAGGAGCACAAACCGCAATCGTCGCTCGCCGTCGTGGGTAGTCGACGCCGCCGCCAGTTTCTGTGTTGCGCCGTTTCAGCGGGTTGATGCCGTCGTCGCTAGGATCGTTGGCCATCAGAGCGGCGCCGTTGGGCTTGACGTCGACCGATCCAGCTCCGGTTGATTTGCTGTTGCTATTGTTGGCAATGCTGCTGTTGTTGCCGCTGTTGTTGTTGCCGCCACCCAGAATTGTGTCTGACCCTGATGATTGTGTCGACATGTTGCGTGCTTTTTGGGCAGAGCCAAGGATGCCGTCACGGCCGAAGCTTGGAGTGCGCTGCGATTTGATACCTGCTGTCGGCGACCTCAGATCACCACGGCTGCCGCCGCCGCCGCTGCTGCCAGGCGAAGGAATGTCCAGGACGAAGCCGCCGCTGTCGCCAAGGCTGTTCAGTGTGCTGGTGTTAATGTGCGAGGGGATGACGGTGGAGGAGGAGGATGAAGACGATGAAATGGAAGAAAAGCCCTGAGGAAGTGCCGTCGTCATTGTGAAGTTTGGTCAATGCGGTGTTGATGTTGTTGTTGTTGTTGTTGCTGCTGCTGTTGACGCTGACGCTTTTGTTGGCGCCGAAGAAGACCTGTATCCCGAACAGGGCCAGTCGCCCGTCACCATGAGAGGGGTGAAAAAGGCTGGCCAGAAGATACGGCGTAGTGGTCGTCGTCGAGGGTTGAGAAAGGCGTCGACGTCCTGGTGATGCACGCTGATAGTGGCGATGTATCGAGCAGGATGTTCGTCTCAACTTTTTTTGCAATCCGGGATGACGGACGTGGTTCGCAGATCGTGGGGTTCCACGAGCCGGTTCAGTCCAGTGTTGTGACCGTTGGTCGTCGATGCTCTGCCACGCGGTCGGCCCTGCAACGCAGATTTCCGTTTTTGAGAAATCACCGTCGATCGAGGCCAGCTCTTTGTCTCGCAAAGACCTGCCTCTGAGACTGAGCAGGACAGGAGACGAGACAAAGATGGAAAGTGAGATGAGTGTAGACGTCACAGAAGGGACGGCTACGGGCGGAGGATGATGGCAAGGTAAAAGGGAAAGGGAGGGAAAAGGAAGCCGTGAGAGCGAGATGAAGAACGGCAAAAATAAAATAAAAATAAAAATATCGAGAGAGGGAACAAGGAACAGGAGGGGAGGGGTGTGGTATTATTCAAAAGAAATGGGGTCCGGGGGGAAGAAGGGCAGACGACAGACGACAGCGACAGGCGACAGGCGACAGGCGACACAGGTTCAGAGGGTCATTGTTGCAGCCGAAAAGAACAATGCCACGCAGACACAAGAAACAAAATACGGAGGATCGTACGAAAGTGAACGGGGGCAATCGAGGAAAAGTAGCGAGGAAATGTGAAATGTGAGGTGTGAGGACCGGAGGCAGGAAAAGGGCCGCATGTGGATATGGGGGGGAGGGACAGGAAATGGGGTCACAAGTGGAGATGGAAATATGACGTTAAACCGAAAGAGCAACCCTGTAAATTGGGGATTGCGGAGGGTTGAGGAAGGTGCGGAGGGCGTGCAGTCTCGTGCGTCGAGATGGAGAGACAGAGGCAAAAGGCAAAAACAAAGCCAAAACGCCCTACGCTCCGGGGCTAAAAGGCCCGCGGTGAGGCTAGTCTACGAGGCGGCCAGCCAGTCTTGGGGATGTGGAAGGAGGCAGGACCAGATGACTTGCACGTTGAGCGGAAAGAACAGAAAGGCGATTCCAAAGGAAGGAGGTAGGGGGACAAACAGAGGAGGAAACTGGCACGCTTTTCTTCACTGGAGGCAAGAACGACCGACCTGTGATGCGGCAGAGCTGACGGCAAAGTGTCAGCGCGAGAGCCAAGAAACGGACGGCGTCACGGCGTGGGCCTAATATTCAGCGGCACTACTAGCTTCTATTCTTCTTTATTTTCTTTATTTTCTGCTGCTAGTGTCCTGGAGTCCTGGAGCCCGCAGTTTCGCAGGGGATGCACGCGCACGATGGGCAAACGAACAGCGCTTACGACGGTTGGTCAGGTCAGTCAGTTTTGGCAGTCACGAAATCACAAAATCTCAAGGCGGGGAGGAGCAAGCACCAGGGATGTTGTTGAGTGGTGATCAAGGAAGAGAAAAGAGAAGGAAAGACCAGCAGAGACTGACGATAAAATGGAAGGATCGAGGGAGGGGGCGTGTCGACTGGGAAGGAACGACTCAGGGGGGTGGCGTGGAGCATAGTGGGACTTGGATGAAATGGATGGGAATCGATGGAGAAATAAGGGTGTCAGAGTCAGGGAAGGGGGGACCGAATGTGACAGTACAATGGCGGAGGCGGTTCTGATGGGAAATCTTTGATTTTTCTACGACGTAAATTGTATGCCTCGTATGTTTCGCTGTTTTATCTTGCTTGTCCGTCTCGGTTCTTCTTTTTTATCTTTTTATCTATTTTATGTATCACCTCTCTTGTCTCCTGCCTCAACGACGGCGCGACCCTTCCTTTCCTGGAGAAAGTCGCTAAAGGGGCGCATGAATCTGGAGAATCTGGGGTTAGCGCTTTCCTTGTTCGTTTTATGTAATCTTTTTCGCTGATCATCGGTGTGGTCGCTCTTTCCCAGCTACAAAATAACAATGCATTGCAGCGTACAGTGCACGTGTAGAGTCCATACAGAAGCCTGAGAGCTTACTATTGGCATGCTCCCAGCGGCTATCCGCTCAGTTTGCACGTCTCTACCACGGCAAGTGCACACCAAGTGACAACGGCATAATAGATTTTGACGATTCTGAAGATTTTGAAGATTTGAGACAACATAAACGGACTCCACTCCCAATAGGTCCAACGACAACACCAACGCAGATAATGGAGGGCTGATAAAACCCTGTGCTCGAGGCAGGGTGACAAACAGTAACCGGTTGAATGGAAGCCAGCCAGCCAGCAGGCCGTCAGGCCGTTCCGCTTCGACGCTCAGACGCTGCACGAGGCTGATGGCACTTGGGTCTTGGTACACGGTGCTCGGCCAAACCAAGGTCTGCTGGCCTGGGGCCTTGGCCTTGGGGGCCCCTGTTGCCCTGGTGCTCTGCATCAGATCACGCCCGAACCAAAATCTCTCCTCAGATTGCCTGCATCCGGCTGGCGCCTGGACGGGAACGGCTATTGCAGGGCGTTGGTATAGCATATCCAGGATGCTGAAGGGAGCCCCCCTGTGGGTTGCTGGCAAGCATTGTTTCCGCATTGGGTCTCTGTGTCTCTTTCGGATGTTGTGCAGGCAGTTGTCGACCATACTTTTGTTGTATGACGCCGGGACAAGTTGTAAGCTGATCCGAAACAATTGGCAGATGCAGAAGCCAGCTGTTCGGCCTTTTTTCGTCTCTATTATGCTCATCTCTTCTCATTTTTTTCTTCTGTTTTCTCTCTCTCTTTGCCATCCCTGCCCATCGGTTCACCAATCTTTCTCCTTTTCACACCGGTTTCTCGGCTAAGTTGGCAACCAAACTATCAAAAGCAGAAGAAAGGGGCAAATGAGGCCATGGAAATAAGTAGGGGATAAAGCGATGATAAAAACAGAAACAAGAACTGAAAAGAGACAAACGAGATGACGATGCGATGGTTGACAGGACAAGGAGGTCAACAATGCCATCATCTATGAGTATCAGTATGTAAATCGAGCGTGTTTAAAAATAAACGGCTACCCGCAACTACGCAACGATAATTTCCGTGTTGATGCGCGAGCTTTTGGAAGCCCTGTATAGAGTGTTGGCAGATGCAGCAAAGCAATATTCGACGACGTATTCGGCTCAAACTGTCCACGAGACGTTGGGATATTCATCCTTTGACGATTCAGGATTTTTCCATCACTCGCTTGTTCTTCCGCACAATCTTTTCTTTCGCCTCCAAGCTGCTATATCTAGCTGTTATACGGCGTACGGAGTACCTCTGCGGACCATGCCCTCTACAGGCCCTTGTTGCATCTCTGCATTTAGCATAAATGCCTTGCTTCCCCTCTCCTACACTCCCCCCCCTCCCCCTTTCTCGTCCGACCCCTGTCTTTTCCCAAGTCGCTTCTTCACCGTTCCCCAGCATTCTCCACATCGACTGATGGTAGGCCAAAGTGGTAGAGGCAGCAGACAGGTGGACAGGAGAGCCACAAGCAGGACATCAATATGGAAGTACGACGTTCGACGGACAACATACCGACGTTTTGCAACTTGTTGTAACAGCAACGAGAAGAACCGAAGCGATGCAACAATAAAAGTAAGGTAGAAAGGGGCGCACAGGCACAGAGTACAACGGTAGAGGTCGAACGGAAGCCATGTATAGAGAGTATCGGTGTGCGGGGTGCGTACGGCATATGAAGCTATGATACACCGCGCTGTGTGTCCGTGATGGTGCAGTTTCCTATTCTAGATTTATGTCGACCGAAGGGTTGGTCACGTGGCATCGCCTCGACACACAATCGAGACATTGAGAAAAGTGCCTGTTCTGTTGACGACTGCACGCCGTATAATTTCACTATTTTCCCGGTCGTCTCTTTGCCTCGAATACGACCTCGACGTCCCCACCACGCGTGTCCCGATATCATCGTACAACGTACGGAGCACATGACGGGGGTCGCCTTGCACCCGAGGCGTCAATATCAATGCCGCCAACGAATCTGTTGTTGGGAAACAAGCCATAGAGACGACTCGAAAGGCGAAGGCGACGCACAATACCAACGTCCACCGTGATGAAGCTTTCCGGTACGCCCAAACCCAGGAAACGATCTACACCGCTGGCAAAGTGTGCGGAGGAGCGGAGGAGTGGATATGTCGTGGTAGGGCGTACCGACATTCAGTCTTGTCGGGGTGCGCACAAAGGGGACGCGCAAGTACGACGAATTCTGTGTGTTTGGCGTGTCTGGCTCGTGGAAACGTGGCCCAGGACGGCCGATGAAAGAAACTTGCACGGCTGCGTCTCCCCAGGCAATGCTACACAACCATTTGCTCCCTCTCAGAGAGGCTCCAAGTCTCACCTTGACGGGCAAGGTCAAAAGACGTCGTCCCAGACTACCCACCAGATACATGCTCAACAGGACATACATGAACAAGTAAAGGATCAAAAGATCAGGGGACCAGCCCTGGCAGCAATCCTGCGGCACAGCCGAATAGGGCTTCTGCAGGCCCAGTGCGCAGCGCAACGGCTTCTCACTACTTTTCGCGTTTCGAGCTTCCACCTTCCACATTCCACCTTCCTCATACAAGGGCCGCTCAGGTGACACCGTGCGGCGGACGACGGCCCACGTGAAGGCCAGAAGCAGTGTGGAGCAGTCCCGCAGTTTGTGCATACAACTGACGGAGCATAGTCACAAGGCAGGCAGATGCCAATGTGAGATGCGGCGTGGTTCGAGGGATCAATAACAGCGTGGGCGTTGCAGGTCAAGAGGCAAAACCATGTGGAATTAGAACGCGTCGCAATGGTGGCAATGCTCTGAAGTGTGGATGGAGAAGCAGTCTGCAGGACATTTTGCACTTCATAGTGGAGAGGCGTAGGATCTAATGACAGGGACAGACGGGTAGTATCACATTCCTGCACAGGGCCATGTTATATTTTATCAAGTTGTATCAGGTCGAATTGTGTCTTTTTCGATGTCTTGACCAAGGATGCCATATTTTAACGTTTGTATGAAAACAGAAAAAGGGAATAAAAGTAAAGAAAAAGTGAAGAAAAAGGAGAGAAGTTGTCGCGGTCATATCTCTACTTTTCAACGATCGACAGACGCATTGCGCTCCCGTCCCAGATCACAGACCCAGCCCCAAGAGCAGCAGTATTGAACATCAGACGGCTCCTGATCTTTGGTCCCTGCTGGGTTTGTTTGCTGTCGAAGTTGTGGAGAAGATTGAACGACGTCAACTTTGGGTCGGAGTGCTATCCCAGACTACTCCCAGGCTACGCCCAGACACTGCCGTCCCAGGGTTCCTCCAGGCCGTGTGCAGGGACGTGCCTGCGTGATTTTGATCTCATATCGTTCTTTTCTTCTTTTTATTTTCTTTTTTTCACCTTCCTTGTAGCTCTTTGTCAATGCTTTATATATATATATATATATATCTTTTACCCGTCACTTTCTCGCTTACCTCGCCCAGACATGTCCCCAACCACCTGGAAACCACACAACGGGCGGCAAAATAGCCAGCTTGGACCTTGACCTCTTTGCCTTGTGATTTGCACGCTCCTTTTGCCATTATGGCCTGCTGCTTGTGCGTAGCTGGTTTGCATCTAACGGGCCGACTCCGAGATGGAGAACACCCATAAGAGGCGGGATATAGACATCTCTGCTGAAGTTTGTGGTTGTGGGCAGGATCGAGCAGCGATCACCGTGAGCATAACAGTGACAACGTCACAAAATAATGACAGGTTCGTCGGCATGTTCGTGGATAGATTAATAAATAAATAAAACAGGAGGAAAAGGGGGGGCAAGAGCATGGACCAAGACAGCCGTTCCGCAATATACGAGGGAGAAACAGAAGACAACGGGAGCAAGTGCCTCCCGTCTGCAATATTCAGTATTCAGGTCTAACCTCCGTAAGGACCCCGAGTCTTAAGCCCGTTGAATTACAGTGTTGAGGCTGGCCGTCCTTGCTTTTGCCACAGGCGACTTTGGTCATGCCTCGTTTTGCCTCGCTTTGCCTCGTTTGCCTCCTTTTGCCTTTTGTTTTTACCTCATTTTGCTCAGTCACTCGGGCTCCCCACTTGCCTGCATCTAGGACGCTGGAACCAGGACCAGGACACGGCAGACAGACGCAACAAAAGCCGCAAGCGACTCGGACCCGGAACTGGACCACCGAAACAGTCCATCGTATACACATGTACGTCGCACGGCGTAAGGCAGTGGCAAGCGTAGATTGCCGTTTTCAGACATGCCAGCACCAGTTAGAGCTGGGGTCGACACTTTGTCGATCTCCTTTTTGCCTCTTTTGGAACTCTGGAGGGAGCACTTTGTGCTCAGGACCCAGGAGCCATCCAAGGCAGCCTGTCCTTCTCGGCTAATTTGACCTTTTGACCCCACCTCAAAATTGCGGACCAGCGAGGCGAATAAAAGGATGAAGGGCTGTTCCCATGTCCCGTATTCTGGGCGATTCTATCTAGGCACTCTACAAATACAAGCACAAGGACAGGGCTTCGCAGTCACATGCAGAGTCAAGAAGCGAGAAAAACAAGCCGCGACAGATCTAGATCGTCTGGTTTGTTGGGGCAGCGCACAACGGCCGTAGGTTCTTGGTAGACCGCCGTGTGCTCTATATTAACTGTCATGCAGCTGTGTAATTCGTACATCACACTGGAATATGCCGGAAAGCGTGGAAAGCACCGACGCCACTCACAGTAATGGCAACATCAAGGGAAGTACGTCGTAGGGAGCTGCCTGTGAGCCGTGTAACTGGATAGTAAGGCTGCTGTCGATCACAGACTGGCTGGATGTATCAAGAGATGGCTGCTTCGTACAGATTGCATGGGATATGTCAGACAGCCTCGGACGGTCCCATATTCAGTCTGTGGTAATCAAACGAAGGCAGCACGACGGCAAGCATGGCCATGTATACTACTTTGAATACACTGTTTGATTTCATTTGATTTACGCTACCACGATCAAATGTCTCTGTATCGTGTACCATCCTCTTCGCTATTTTTCTTTTGTTTTTATTCTTTCCCTCGTGCGCTTCCCCTGCCTACTCGTCAAAGACGACCGACGTCACCTCGCCCGCAATGTCGACGGCGCCCGCAAAGCCCGTCAGCTTGCCGCTCTTGACGTCGCGGTTGATAAAGACGGCACGGCCGGACCCTTGCTGGCCGACGCCCAGCAGCGTGCCGGCCTTGTTGATGGAGAACTGGCGCGGGACCTGGCCGCCCGAGGGGAACAGCTGCACAAACGTCAGGTTGCCCGTGGCGTGGTCGACGGCGAACGTGGTGACCGAGTCGGACACAATCTGGGCGGCGGCGGTGGCGGTCCCGTTCTTCGGCTTGGCGTCGAAGCTGCTAATGTTGAACGCGGCGTCGTTGCGCGTTGTGACGAGCACGAAGCGGTGGTCGGGCGACGTCACGATTTCGGCGGCCGTGGCCGCGGCCGGCACCACCGTGCCCGGGCCGTGGGTGGGCGCCACGTAGATCTGGGCAAACGACAGCGTCTGGTTGGCATGGTAGGTGACCTCGTAGCCCGTGATGGTGTTGGCGAGCTCGCTCGTCAGGTACAGGTACGTCTGGTTCTTGTCGCCGACGACAAACGACGCATGGCGCGGCCCCGTCCCGGGCGGCGTGACCAGCGGCGCCACGGGCGTCCACTCGAGGCTGGTCTGGTTGATCAAAAACACGCGCACGAGGTCGCTGCCCAGGTCCGGCACCAGGAAGAAGGCGCCCGTCGGGTCCAGAATCACCTCGTGCGGGTGCGGCGTGTCCTGGCGGGTGGCGTTGGCGCCCGGATGCGGCAGTGTCCACGTGACCTGCTCGATGGTCGCCAGCGACGACGGGTCCTTGCGGTACGACGAAAAGGACGCGCCCTGGTACTCGGCGACGGCCAGCCCCTTGCCGCCCGCGCCGTAGAGGGTGGCGTAGACGGGGCCTGCAGGTGTCTCGACGCGCTTGAGCTGCGTCAGCGTGCCGTTTGCGCTCGTCTTGTACGACGACAGGCTACCATTGGGGTTGCCGAAGCTCTCGTCCAGGCAGTACAGAATGCCGTTGGGCTTGTCCAGCGTCAGCCACGACGCCTGCGGCGCGCAGCCGGCGTTGACGGCGAGCTGCTGGATGCGGGCCTTGGGGCCGGAGGTCGAGTTGGCTTTGCCGTGCGTCAGCGTCAGGTTGAGAGACGTCAGCGTGCCCGAGTACGACGTGACGTAGACGAGCACCGCGGCGACGGGCTGGGCGACGGCAAGGGCCAACGCCGATGAGAAACGCATGATGGGGACGGTTGGAAAATAAGTGGGAAGTGGGAGGTAAAGAGCGTGTAGAGGAAAAAAGGGAGATGAATGGAATAAGACAGAAACGAGTGTAGGGTTCAGCGAGCGAAAAACTCAAGACTCAAATATGGAGACCTGTCGTGAAACCGGAGATGGACACGGAGGGGGCAGAAGAAAAGGGCAGAAGTGAGGGAGAGAAAGGAGAGAAAAGAAGAAGAGAGAGAAAAAGAGAAAAGGGAGGAGAAAAATGGAAAGGAGACTCAACGGCAGGCAATGCCGGCCGAAAAGGCTTGTTTTATACAGGAGGAGAAAATAAACAACAAAGAGATTGAGACTGGGGCCACGACAAGAGACCAACGCGACGAAAAGACGAAAAGACGAAAAGACGAAAAGACGAAAGACGAGCCGAGAGGAGGAGAAATGGAAAGCCGTGAACAACGAAAGCCTATTTTCGGTAGCAAAACCAACGGAGCCCGTAAAAATAGTCAAAAGATGTGTGTCAAAAGTGGAGGTGAACAGAAGCGAGATAGATTTGATTCACCCGTCACCACAGAGCCACGAAGAGTGAATTTGGGGTGAAGATGGGGTGACGTCTGAGTGAGGCCTGGGCGAGGTCCGGGTGAGGCCTGGGTGAGTCGTCGCCATGCGGTTCGCTTTGCGCCTTATTGACATTGTGTTGCGTCTTTATGTGCCATTGTCTGTTTTTATTTTGTCTCGCCCTCTATAAACAGCCTTGACCACACGAACGGCACGAAAGTGGGCAACAGGGCACGAAAACGTCCAACGCTCCAAGCGGGCTAAACAATGGCAACGGGTCCAATATCTAGACGACGTCCAAGCGGCAAGGCAAAATAGAACGGATGTTGGATGAGGGGCTTTTGTATGTGGATATGAGGCTGTTGAGAGTTGAGTCGTGGCGTGGGAAGGGACGGCTGCGAGGAAGAAGAGATGAGAAGAAGATGTGAAAGAGAGAATGGGAGGAAGTAGATACATGCCTGCGGGTTCTTGTTCTTTTTTTTCCTTTTCTTTTCTTTTTTCTCTTTTCTGTTCATTATTTTGCTTTCTGTTTTGTTTTTCTTTTCTTCTTCTTCTCTCTTGCTTGATTACTTCCGTATATTCCAGACTCCATCTTCTCACCTTGCACCGTTTATCCGATGACCGTACCTGGAAGAAATTATGGTTCCTCTATGCATTCATTTATACGTAATTAACCAGTGTACGACGTAATTTGTCGGTGTTGTAATTAATATAGAGCTGCGAATGCTTAAGTCGCAATGGTGTAATTATCGGAGCCTGAAGTAATAAATCATTTTAAGGCAAAGGTATGTCGTTTTCTAAAATGTTTATTTGTTTGTTTTACCACCTGGTGTTTCTCGTTGAATTAAGTATTTATGATTAATTCGTCGATTTCACCATTTGATTTTTCATAAAAACCGATTTCAAAATTCATATTTATTCTCAAGTGCTCTTTGCATCAATATCACACGACATGCTGCCGTGGGGAAAATAAATTAAAAGACACCTCAGCCTTCATCGGAAATCGTCCTGACAATGTCCAACAAACTTGTCTTCGTAGCACAAACATAATTCATAGACCGGTGATGACCTCGACCGGTCTCAGGGCTCTTGTAGTGTACCATTTTTGTAGTATACAGCAAGACAAACGTAAAACATCAATATACACAGCGACATATGCGCCTACAAATTGGCCTCCACCCATTGCTCGATCCGCTCTATAAGATCGGCCTTTCTGCCCGATGTCGGCTGGTCCCGCGCAGCCAGAATCTCCTTGAGCACGGCCACCTGCATCGACTGCAGCTTGTCGTTGTTCACGGCGTTGCGCAGGTCCTTGGCCGTCATCTTGCCGGCACCGCCAGTCGCCGACGCCCCAGCCGACGCCGCCCCAGCCGCCGCCGCCGCTTTCTTGGGCCGTTTTGCCAGCGGCTTGCCCTTTGCGTCTCCACCCTCGTCGTCGTCGCTGTCGCCGCCGCGTTTCACAGCCCGCTTCGACGTCAGCGCCCGCGCCTCTTCGTCGATGACGCCCTTGATCTCGGCCAGGCTGCCGCCGACGCGCTTGGCAATCGCCTTGTACTTGGGCAGCGTCAGGTCCTCGCCGCGCTCGGGCACTTCTTCCTCGAGGGCCATCGTCTGCAGAATCTTGTAGTGCCACTGCAGCGACGGGTTCGGATACTTGGCCGGGTTGTAGGCCGTTTTGGGCAAAAACAAATTCTCGATAACGGGCTTCATCAGGTCGGTGATCCGGTCGCACGTCGGCAACGGCGGGCCGCCGTCGTCGACGCGCCGAATGTCCTCGGCAAACGGTAGCGGGTACAGCCAGAGACCGGCCGGCAGCTGCATGGGGTTGGCAGGCTCCCCGCTGTCCTTGTTGTCGTCGTTGTCGTCGTTGCCATCGTTGCCGCCGCCTTCACCCTCGCCCTGCTCGCCATCGGCACGGCTCCCACCGCCCGACGGCATAATGGCCACGAGCAGCGGGTTCGCGTTGGTGCGCGGCACAAACCACGCAATGGCCACCTTGCCTGACCGCCGCAGCTTCTGCCACAGCGCTGCGAACACGCGCGTCGAGCCCACGTAGTCCTCCTCGCTCGGGTAGATGAACGTCGACCGCTTGACCGACGCCCACGGCGGGATCAGCACGCTCGGCTTGAAGCCGATGATGCGCAGGCCTTTGCCCTTCCACCCGTCCGGGAACGGCCACTCCTTGAGAGCCTTGAGCTCGTCCGGCGCAAAGTACACGTACTCGCCGCCAAACTTGTACGCTTTCTTGGTCTCGCCCGCCTCGACCGTGCGCGCCGACTCGGCATCAATCCGCGTCGTCTGGCCCGTGGCGATCTGCGCGCGCTCGCCGCCGAGCCACACGTAGCACGTGCGCGCTGGTTTTTGGCGATTCAGCAGAATGTAGCCCTTGACGGATATGTTGAGCCCCGGCGCTACCTCAAAGGTCAGATTCGAAAAGTACGACCGCTTGGGTGTCTGCTTGGCGCTGATGTTGGACACGAGCGATGCCAGCAGCGTCAGGCCGTCGCCCGACCGCGACGTCGAGACCCGGTCGGACGCCTTGGCCACGTTGCTGCTGCTGCTGCTGCTGTCGTGGCTGTTTCCGCCGCCGTCCAGGGCTTCCTGGTCTGCTGCGTCGCGATAGATAATGTCGTCGTAGAACTTGGTCAGGTCAAACGTGGGCTGGCCCGCGCGGCTGATGGGGAACAGCTCGATCACGACGCCCAGGTCGTACAGGTCCTTGGCGCGCACGGCCGCCGCCGACCGCGCCGCCTTGTCGCCCGCGTGCGGGTCGTCGTTGTCCGTAATGATAAACAGTCGCCGCGACCCAAAGTTGGCCGCGTTGGTCGTAAATACCTGGTTCGCGCAAAACAGCACATTCGACATGGCCACGCTCTGCGACGCCGGCGCCGGAGTCAGCACCTCGTCCGGGTCCTCGCCCTCTTCGACCAGCTCCTTGAGCGCCTTCACGTCCTCGGCCGCCGGCACGTCCAGGTCCATGAACAGGTAGCAGTGTGGGTAGCCTGGCCCGCGGTGGCGGATGTTGGCCAAGCCGCCCCCTTGCGTTTCTTTGCTGCCGTCGTCACGGTCGTTGTGCTTGTCGTCGTCGCCATCGCCGGCGCCGGCCGCCTCCCGGAACTTGGACTTTTCCGTGCCAAACAACAGAATGCCCATCATGTCTTTGGGCTGTGTGATGATGCGCTGCTGCATGATTTGGTACGCGCATCGCAACGCCGCCGACACTGCGCTGTCCTGGTCTGCCTTGCGTGACTTGCTGGGCGGCGGCCGCTCCAGCATCGACGTGCTGACGTCAATGGCAAAGATGACGGCATCCTTTTGCGATTTGTAGCTCTGGAAGACAGTGTTAATGGTTGTCCTGGGGTGTTCTCCCTGTTGAAGCAGAGCATCGATCAACAAGACGTCATACCAGTTCGTCGACTTCCTCGTCGACGTCGTCCTCGTCCTCGCGCTTGAAATTGGGTTCGCGAGACGCCATGATTGGTGTCTTTTAACACGAAATGAGAAACAATAAAAATTGAAGCAGAAACCAATTGATCTGCTACCACTTGGCCATGGCCCGGATCGAGTCCTGAGTACGAGTGTTGGAGATATATTCGGCTCAAGCTGAGCTTCGACGTGAAGCTGCTAAAGTGGGCCAAGCAGGCAACAGGCGCGGCTAGCACCTGCCCTGTGCGGCACGTCAGGCAGAACAGGCCCCAAAAACGCGGCGCGGTCTCAGGCCTTTGCGCCTGTGGAAGGAGCTGTCCGTCGCGGAATCACGTGGTTTAAATGAGTTTTAAGGTTGCTGTCATTGGACAATGGCGCCGTAGGGACAGCGTACGACGTGTTAACCAACAAGGAAGGCGGGTCCCGGATGGGCTAGTTTGTGTCTCCAACGGGAAGGAAGAAACAGCGCTCTTGCCTCCACCTGACACCAGAGTTTTGCAGTTGGTTTCGTCACTGGAGCCGACTCTCCGCCTAAAAGGCCTGGAAAGAAATACAAGTTGCACATGCGACAAAAGATCATCCCCGGTGTTTGGTGAGTTTTCCGCTCGTTCGTGTCGAGTTTCTCGTGGTTCGTTTCCTTTGCTTTCTGCTGAACTCGTGAGTATTTTGTTGCCTTTCAATTGCGTCCTGCCGCTGTTAACACCCTCGATCCAGACCCATCTTCTCATTGACTCGTCGAGCCTCGGCCTCAGTTGCCACTTTGATCATCACTTCCATTCCGACAGCAGAGGCCCCGGCCGACGCATTGCTCGACGATCCCGTCTCCTTCTTGGCCTTTGAATGACCACTTCCCCTCTCCTAGACACGATGGCTGCGTTGCGACAGCCTGCTCGGCAGTTGCGCCTCGGCGCGCGGACGCTGCAGACGTCGCTCTCCGTCTCTACTGCAGCTCCGATATCATCACTCTCGATCCAGGGCCACCGTGGCCTGGCCACTGCGGTGCAGGCGCCGCCCGTCACCCAGAACAACCATGGCTCCAAGGGCCCGACTGCCATGGTCTTCCTCAACATGGGCGGCCCGTCGACAACGGACGAGGTTGGCGACTTTCTTAGCCGATTATTTGTGAGTATCCCGGTCTCGGGGATGGACTCGGAGTTTCTTCGGGAAATGGATTGTTTATTTGTTTATTTGTTTATTTGTTTGTTTGCAGACCGCTGCTGACCTTTGCGTGCATCGTGGTAGGCCGACGGCGACCTGATCCCTCTCGGACGCCTGCAGAACTACATTGGCCCCCTCATCTCGCGCCGCCGCACCCCCAAGATCCAGAAGCAGTACGCTGCCATTGGCGGCGGCTCGCCCATCCGCAAGTGGTCCGAGTACCAGTGCGCCGAGATGTGCAAGCTGCTCGACCGCCTGTCGCCCGAGACCGCGCCGCACAAGCCGTACGTCGCCTTCCGCTACGCCAACCCGCTCACCGAGCACATGTACCGCCAGCTGCTGGAGGACGGCTTCGGTGGCGGCCGCGGCGGCCGCGCCGTTGCGTTTACGCAGTACCCGCAGTACTCGTGCTCGACCACCGGCAGTAGCCTCAATGAGCTGTGGAAGTGGCGCCAGCGGCTCGAGGGCAAGCGGAGCGGCGGCAGCGGCGGTGGTGGGGGGGACCCGTCGTCCAATGCCGGGCTCCAGGACGGCTCCATTGCCTGGAGCGTCATCGACCGCTGGCCCGTCCACCCGGGTCTCGTGGAGGCGTTCGCCGAGAACATCGAGGCCAAGCTGGCCGAATACCCCGAGGCGCGGCGCAAGGACGTTGTCCTCCTCTACTCGGCCCACAGCCTGCCCATGACCGTCGTCAACCGCGGCGATCCATACCCGGCCGAAGTCGCCGCCACCGTCTACGCCGTCAACCAGCGCCTCGGCTTCTCCAACCGCTACCGGCTGTGCTGGCAGTCGCAGGTTGGCCCGCAGCCCTGGCTGGGCCCGCAGACCCAGTCCAGTGTCGAGCAGTACATTGCCCAGGGCCAAAAGGACCTGGTCCTGATCCCCATTGCCTTTACGTCCGACCACATTGAGACGCTCTACGAGCTCGACGAGGAGGTCATTGGCGAGTCCGGCCACAAGGACACCGTCAAGCGCGTCGAGAGCCTGAACGGCAGCCCGACGTTCATCAGCGCCCTCGCTGGCCTGGCCCACGGCCACCTGCAGAGCGGCACCGCCTGTTCGGCGCAGATGAGCCTGCGGTGTCCCGGCTGCAAGAGCGACCGGTGTTTGGAGTCCAAGAACTTCTTTGCCGCGCAGCAGTCAAGGGTATAAAAGGCAGAACTTTCGTCTCTGTTGTTGGCTCTGCAATTGCCACTGCAGTTCGCCTGTGGCTACCATCTTGCTGTCAATCTGCATTCTTTTTCTCTCTTCATTGGTTGGTCTGCGTCTGCCTCCTCTCGGCTTATCAAAACGTAAAAGCCCAAGGCAAATCTGCTTTTTCTTGCCTTTAGATGGTTCGTTTTGACTGGATAGAAAAGATCCGGCATGGATAATACACATTACTCTTTTTTTGGCCATGGCTCTGACCCCTGCATCCGGTCTTTTTTCGCCTTGACGTGTTCATTTGAAGTCTGTGCCGCCGATCTCGCTATGCCAATAACACATGCAAAACGAGAAGAGAAAAACGGAGGGACACAGACGAGGTGGGCTGTGCGGCGGGACGATCTCGGGCCGTAGGACAAAGCTTCCCGCGACGAGCACGGAGCTTATCCGCCACGCGTGCAAACGAAAAGACATAAAAATACAAATAAAGACGCAAATAAAAATACAAATAAAAACAGCTCCGAGAGCTTGGCTTGGCGTGCAGACGAAAAACGGGCACACGGCCAACTTGTGCAACGCCGACCAGCAGCATATGTTGGTTCGTCTGCATGCTGCACGAAAATCTGCACCGCGACCCCCAGCTCATCATGGTGTTTGCTGCGGGAAGGCTCTGCATTCTTGATCCCAGAAACAACCACAGCAACCTGTACGAGCGAGTAATTTTTGTATCTGGTACTTTGTGCTTTGTGTAAATCGCTCTCTCCGTTCCTGCAGTCGACATATGACGAAGACGACTGGCCATGTCCTGCCCACACGTGGTGGTCCTGGACCAAAGGATAGGACGTCGCGATGCAGGTCTGATGCAGATGTGCGTGGTAAAGATGAAAAAAAAAAAAAAAAAAAAAAAAAAAAAAAAAAAAAAAAATTAAGAAAGAGGCACACCGCAAAGAGACGAAACAAAACGGCCGTGCGTCGGCAACCGTAGAAAGTCGGTAAGACAAGGCAGTGCCCCTGTGCTGACTGCTCTAAGCACTGTCATAGTGACAACAAACCTATCTTTCTGGCGGTGTCGAATGCCGACATTCGAGCCATCCACACCGGAATATCGAAACGGCCAGATAAAGAGTCCATGGCCAGTTCAGCCAAGCCATGTGGTACCGCGCTGGGGGACCCAGCTATGGAGCAGCATGAGGATCCTGTGGGACAAAGGCACGGATATGCAGACAGAATGATCCGTGCTCACTCTGAGCCCATGCAGACACGCACTGCTCTCTTCGGACTAGCCGTGTGTGTCTGCTGTTGTGAACTCCAGACAGTGGGTGTTGGGCGGTAGAAGGGCGGAACGAAGAGATATTTTCCGCGAATATATGTCGTACAGAGTACACACATCACCAAACAGGGAGCGACCTGCTGTCGAATCTTATGATTGGCCGTGTGCGAAAAAGTCGCATGTCCCTGCTATCACGCTGCTTTCGTCACAATGCTGTTGGAATGGTTGCTGCTTTGCTGGACAACCTGCCGTCTGAGGTTCCAGCACAGCGGGACCTAAATGGCGGTTGGTCTTGGCAGGCGATGAAAACCGGACCCCTGTCAAAAACACAGGGAGACAGGGCAGGAGCGATGGAAGAACACCACAACAACCAAAGAAGGAAGGAAGGGCCCATCAGCCCGAATAGAGAGTCAAACGGCGGAACACGCCTTTCTTTCTTTCAGCGACAGTCAGCCAAGTTAACTAGCCCTGGAGAAGCCAGTTGTCCTACGGATAAGACATCCAGATTTGCACTATTGCCAGATCCCTCCCCATCTCGTCCGCCCTTGCCTGTTTCGGCGCATGCCACTCCCCTGCCCGTGTCTCTCGCGCTCTGCAGATCACGCGTTTGCGTCATTGTTCATCGTTCTTTCCCCATCCCGTTGTTTTGTTGGTTGGTGCTCGTCGTGCTTGCCCTCGACTGCTGTCTTGGCAAGGCCTCCTTCCGTCCTTTTGTCCTTCAGCCCAGGCTGCAATTGCGCGTCCAATGCACTTGCCCATTCTTATACCGCCTTGGAACTGTGGCTCAGTTCGCTCTACAAGGCCTTGGCACTCGGCGTTGGCGTTGGCGATTTGCCATCTTTGGAATCACATGCGGCTGAAGAACCGATCTAAAAAGCACAATCGCAAGCAACAACTTCAGTAAAATACACCGTGCTGTGTGCCAGAACGCGTGGTGTTCAGATCCTGGCAAGGCCGAGACGGAGCTTGCCATGGAAAGAACGCGCCGAAAAAAACTGATACTATCAAAGGTGGTGTACGATTTAAAACAAGGACCAAAGCAGGTGGGGGCGACGAGAGAAGTGCGCCTTCCCGACGTGGCCTGGAACCTCGAGCCTCGAACCCAGTCGTTCTTTCCTTCCAAGCAGACTAATTGACTAATTTATGCCATGCTCCATCTGCCCACCCTGCCCAAACCCGTAGTCCACTAGCGCGATACATGGATCATCGCGTATACAGCGTCGGTATTCGTTGTACCCAAATCAGTTATCTCGTGTTTGGTGTGGCGTCTCTCCTTCCGTGTACGAACTACGCTGCACTTTTCCACCACTTGCACCTTCCTAGTCTTTCATCCTTTTTTTGTTGCCCTTCGCCTGTCCTTTCCGGCGTCCTCTTCACCCACAATCCTATTTTCGTGTTTCCTCCCGTCTCCTCGTTCACGGCCCCCTTTGACGTTCCCTTACGTCGTGCAAAACGCAGCCAGCCGACGACACCGTCTCTTGCAGCCACCATCAGACGAAGCAACAGCGACAAAAACGCCGACCCAATTGGCCGTGCGCTCTCTGCTCAACGCCCGCGACGCCCTGCATCCGTTTCTCGCCTTCGCCGCATATCTTCGCGCTCCGCTTCTGGCGTTGGTCGCTACACTTTTGCGTCTGCAGTTGCATCTGTGTCTTTGTCTTCCATCTCACCCCTGCTCCCGCTCAGCTCTACGTCCTCCCCTTTCCTACGATGCACCTGGTCTGGTAAGCCCGCGCCGCCAATCGGCTCCGCACTCGGGAACTGTACAGACGGGCACCACGCCCCATTCGCTCTCTCTCCTTCTCTGTCTCTGTCTCTATCTCTTTATCTTGTCTCGTTTCGAGGCAGGTTTCTGCTTCGCTGAACAGATACATAAAGGGGGGTCCAGGAAGGCAGCTGCTGACTTGTTGTTCTCCCCCCCTGGTGCTTGGGAGGAGTCGTCCACGCTGCCGGAGCAGGGACTCGGGCCAACCTCAGAGTTTTATACTTTTCTCATCCTCTTATTCGCACCATTGACCTTCTGTTCTGTTTCTTCTACTCCTATCGGCAATGGACAGCCTCAAAAATATTCTTGTTGCGCAGCTGAAGGCTCTTCGGCCGTCATTCCTGAACAAGAAGCCGCACTTCAACTTCATCACAGTCCATTGTAAGCCATACAGTGTGGTATTGTTGGGGGTGGGGGGTTGCGTCTTTTCTGAGAGACGGCATTTGTCGCAGAAGTCGCAGAAATGTAAAGACTAACCACTCGTGTGTCCAGACTTTTATGTCATCGGCCTGGCCCTCCTCGGCTCCGTCTTGATCTATGGCCCGGGCAGAGGCAACATCGCCTACATTGATGCCCTGGCCTTTGCCTCGGGCGGCGCTACGCAAGCCGGCCTGAATACTGTGAATGTCAACCTCTTGACGACCTACCAGCAAGTCGTCATCTTTGTCATTGCTGGTATTGCCAACCCTATGGTCATTCACTCGTTTGTCGTTGTGCTGCGTCTGTACTGGTTCGAGAAGCGCTTTCAGCACATTGCCAGAGAGGCGCGCTTGCGGCGAGGCACACTCTCCAAGTCCAAGTCCAAGTATGTGAACGACTCGTCACGTCTCGAAGACGGCGTCAACGGCCGTCACATTACCGTCATCCACGATGGAGCGCGCTCGCGCCTTGCCAACGACGGCACCTACTTGGGCCCCATGGCCTCGGCCGCCACCGATGGACCGGCTCCCCGCGACCGCACCAACGGCGATGCCCAGCACCATGCCGACGATGCCAATGGCACCGAAGGGGAGAACGGCTCCGCCGTTGCCAACGGTGACACGGTCCCGCCCAAGTCCACGCTTACAGAGCCGCTCGAAGCAAGACGGCCGGAGATCAAATTTGCACCAACGGTGAAACGCAGCGACGGGATCGACGATGATCTCACAAAGTTGCCGCCTCGTCTTACGGACGAAGAACACATTGCCATTCTGGAACGGCAACGACGGAACCAAGACGACGACGAAGTGCTCCGAATTCCCGGCCCCCGCGACGCTGAACGCGGTATTCTTCCAAGTACGATTGTGCGGGGTGAATCAGACGACGGAGACGCACCGTCACCTGTACTGCAGCGTCGGAATCGTCGGCTAAGCGATGCTTCCGTCGCGTCCCTGGACCTGGACTCAAAACCCACGTCCCAGGCAAACGGAACTCGACACCGGGTCAACAGCAAGCAAACCGACGGCAGCCGCGACAGTGCAGACGAGAGACGAGGCCGGCCACGACTGGCCCAAGCCATCACAATCCAGGAACCAGAAAAGCCGTCCCGGCTCGATGAGCTAAGCGTCGACGCCCATGCGGCTGCGCATGTGGTCTCCGCGTTTCGTCCCCATAGACCACGTGGCGTCGGCAGCGGCGACGATGAAAACAACCTACACCAGACCGTGTCAGCACGGTCAAAGCGCCGGCAGAGGATGGATTCTTTCAAGCGCGTCTTTTCGCGCGACAAGGAAGGAGATCCGGCTCCTTACCTCAGTTGGGAGCCGACTCTGGGCCGCAACTCTGCCTTCCTCGGCCTCTCGGAGGAGCAGCGCGAAGAACTGGGTGGCATCGAGTACCGGTCCCTCAAGACGCTCGCCTTGGTCCTGGTCGGATACTACTGGGGCTTCTGGCTGCTTGGTGTCATCAGCTTGGTGCCGTGGATCCTCAAGAGCTCGACGTACGGTGCCGTTGTCGACGAGGCTAGCCAGAGCCGTGTGTGGTGGGGCTTTTTCACGCCGCACTCGGCCTTTATGGACCTCGGCTTCACGTTGACCCCGGACAGCATGAGCTCGTTTAACACTGCCATCTTCCCTCTGCTGTTGATGGCCTTCCTCATTGTTATCGGCAACACAGGCTTCCCGGTCATGCTTCGCTTTGTGATTTGGGTGTTGTCCAATCTTGTGCCGCGCGGCAGTGGAGTCTACGAGGAGTTCAAGTTTCTGCTGGACCACCCTCGTCGCTGCTTTACTCTTCTGTTTCCTTCTGGTGCGACGTGGTGGCTGTTTTGGTTGCTGGTCATGCTCAACGGCATCGACCTTTTATTCTTTATTGTCCTTGACGTAAGTTTTCTTTTCACGTTCCGGCGGATCCGCTCAGACCCCATCTCTGTCTGCTAACACAAGTCAACCTTCCAGCTTGGCAATGGACCTATTTTTGCACTCCCCCCTGGCATCCGCGTTCTTGACGGCCTGTTCCAGGCCTTCTCGACACGCACCGCCGGCTTCTCTTGCGTCAATTTGGCAGACGTTCACCCGGCTGTACAGGCATCGTACATGATCATGATGTACATTTCGGTGTTCCCAATTGCCATTTCCGTGCGCCGCACAAACGTATATGAAGAAAACTCGCTGGGCGTGTACAACGGAAGCGAAATCGACGATCCCGTGCACGGAACCGATCTTGAATACGTCGGCGCACATTTGCGGCGGCAGCTGTCGTTCGATTTGTGGTACCTGTCTATCGGCTTTTTCATCCTGACCATCTCCGAGGGCGCCCGCCTGCAAGCCAACGAGTTTTCCATGTTTGCGGTACTTTTCGAGGTTGTCAGTGCGTACGGCACCGTCGGCATGAGCCTGGGCTACTCGGGCGGTGATGAATCGCTGTGCTCCCAGTTCAGCGTCGTCGGCAAGCTCGTCATCATCGCCATGATGATCCGTGGCCGCCATCGCGGCCTGCCATACGGCCTTGACCGCGCCATCCTGCTGCCCAGCGAGTCCCTCAATGCGAAAGAGGCAGCGGCTGCCGAGGCGCAGCTCGCCCGGGGCTTGTCCTTTGCGACAGCTGCCACTCGGCGGGGCTCGGCTGTCTCGCTCCCAACCCAGGCGGCCACGCTTCGCGGTTCGAGCACAAATCGCGACCGCCGGCGCAGTCGCAGCATCGAGCGCGTCAACAGCAACCTCCTCACATCGTTCCTCCATCCGGGCCCGCCGAAGCACAACAACCTGCACGTCCCACCGCCGCCTCGTCGTTCGTTTAGTGAGGCGAACATGGACGAAACCCTGGCGCAGTCGAGTGGTATTGACTTTGCCAACCACAGCACATTTAGGTCACAACAGCAGTAATTGGGTCTTTTACTGCATGCGACATGGGATTCGATTTTTTGGGGTAGTGCACCCTCATTTTTCTTTGGTTACGCTGCACGAATAGGCATACACATACACGTACATATACATATATACCCGGTGGCCTGCATTGCGGGAACGTTTTTGGGTACCCTCTGCATTTTAATGGGACGGCGTTCAACTCGGCGCACTGAGTGCATTTTTTGGACCATTCTATTCAGTTATATTTTGTTAACTAAAACACTAATTGCGGGAGTCAGCCGGCAGAGTGCGGGCTGAATTTCTTTTCATTTTTGGGAGTATAGACATGTCGTATAGCTCACGCTTATGCCTCAACAAGTACAGCTTTGAGGTCATCAATCGATTGGATATCTATTACTTACATGCTATGGTGCTTTATTGGTCTTTTTTTGTCCTGCAACATAGGTCTCTTCAGTGTATCTTTTTCAATGTGATATGTGTCGTATGTCGTTTTATTGGGATTCAAAGCTAACTTTATTGTACAGATTTGTTGTCTATTATGCAAAGACGCTCGGCGCTTTTTACATCGGGCTACCCCTTCCGCTCCACCGCTCTTTGAGAAACAGATTCATTTCTTGCCCCTCCGGCTCGACTTGGCCTCGAACTTCTGCGGGCCCTTGGCCTCGCCAGCCTTGCTGCCTGCGGCCGAATTTCTGCGGCCAGCAATGCGGGCCCGACGCCAGTTCTTGACCAACTCCTCAATCGAACCGCGGTCGTGCTTGGGCTGCCGCATGTACGTCAGCTTGGCACGGCGCGCACGGCGCGGCCGGCGCTCAATAATGTCCACGGCCGCCACGGCGCGCGAGTAGATCTTGAACCACATCTCGACACCCGTCTTGGCCAGCTGGCCACGCAGCAGAATGGCCGTCTCGATGCCCGAGCGACGGATGGCCAGGAACACGCCGCCAAAGATCTCGGCGCCGGCCTTGCTGGGCGTGACGACCAGCACATCGCCCGGCTTGGCGGCGTTTGGGTTCTTGCGCGAGAAGAGACGGGTGCGGGCGCCCGTGGGATCCATGCGCGCAATCTGCTGGCGGTCATAGGCGCGCATGACGTCGACCTTGTGGGCCGCAAGGCTTGCGGGTGTCGTTTGTGCGGGGTCCGCGGCTGGCGAGGGCGGCTGAGGTGGTAACAGGGATTCGGCAGGCTTTGTCGTCCGTGGTGGCGGGCCGTAGACGGCAAAGGCTGTGCGAACGCGTTCGGACTTGTCCCTGATGGCTTCTAGAGGAGAAGAAGGTCAGCCAAACATGACAAAACATGACCAAACATGAGCAAGGGATCCATGCCCAGCAGCCACAAGGAACAGCGGCGGCAGGTCACATACGGAAGCTCGAGGGCAAGCTAGCTGTGGCCGTCCCAGCAGGCGGCGAGCTTGTCGTCGTCGTGGCCGTGGCGAACTGGCGGAGAACATGTCGCCTGGTGGACTGGAAGCAGCAGCGCAGCGGCCGCCGGGCCAAGGGCGCAGCAACGCTCATTGTGTCTATCAGCTATCAGCTATCGGCTGATGTCTGGCGTCTGATGACTGAATGTCGGTTCGGCTGGTCGTCAGCTTTGTTCGTTCTGTCATCGACCTGCGCAATCTCGATGATCGCCTCAGTCGCTGTCCTCGTTCGTCCTTCTTGGGACCCCCTTTCTGTCCTTTTTTTGATCGCCTGGTTGGGATCCCGTCGCCTAATGATCGACGGGGTTCGGAGGAAATTTGTTCAAGGAGACGAGCGGGGGTGGGTGTGTGTACACAATATGTGTGTGGAGGCAAGGGACCTGTTTGTGTCTCCCAACGGTTGGCCCTTTTTCGTCGCTTGTTGTCGCCCTCGTGCCTCTCTGGAGCTCAGACGGTCGTTCGGGTTTTCCGCCGTTGATGCATTTTTCCGGCTGCTCATGCAATTGCGCTCTGTGATTGGCCCACAGCTCACCGCCCGGCACTATCCGCGAGCAGGAGGGCTCTTTCCCAAACTGCAGCGCACGACTGCACCTTCCTGCCCCTGGTGGATACCAAAGTGGGTACCAGCTGCCCGTTTCTTTTCTTGTGCCAATGCCTGGAACGATTTTCATGCATATCAAACCGGACAGTTTTTTTGCGCCCTCACGACACCTCCTTCTTGGACGTCCTTTGCGCGACCGCTGGCCACATTCACATTGTCGACTCCGTTTTTACCACAGCCCCCCTGGCTGCCGCGCCCCAAGCCTCCTCACCAATTCTCAACGCATAAGAAAGCTTAATGCGGCTATAGAACGCGGCCACTTTCGCAGCCAAACCTGCGCGCCGGTCGGGTCGTTCCTTCTGTCCCTCGGGTCCTTCTCGTCGTTCTCAGCCGCCAGTCGCTCTTGCCCTTGACCGTCTTCTACCCCGACCTGGCTCTTTCCGCATGTTTAGACTTATGGTTTCCTTCCCATTGAATTAATTCTCCTTTCTCTCCTTACCCATTACCCACCCACTCCTCGCCCGACCCTCTTCCCCTTCTCATCCCCCACCCAGCGCCATCACCACATTCTCGTTTTCTTTGGTCGTGATCCTCCTCCTCCAATGTCGCGCCAGTCGATCCGCAATGTCCTCAGGACATCGGGCAATGCTCTCAAGGCCAATGTGGCCACCTCGTCGGTGACAAAGGCCTCACATGGCCGGCAGCGGGCGTCCCTCTCGTCCCTCTCGTCCCTCTCACCGTCTCGCCCAAGCTCCTCGACAGCGTCCATGTCCACATCCTCAGCCTCAGCCACGGCACAGAGACGATCGACACCTCGTGCGTCCGCCTTGTCACCCGCGCCGGCCTGGCGTGCGCCATCTTTGTCATGCCAGGGGCACGTCAGATTGCTGTCGTCGACGGCGCCATGTTATGGTGTGTACTCTCCTTTTCTTACGTGATGATATGCAGGTTTCCCGTCTCCCCTCCCCTCCCCTTGAGTGTCTTGTTCCCTTTTGTGAATGACCCACAAGGCTGCTCTCGCCCTACCCCCTTTTCTGGGTCCCTTGGCTGCCGTCTTGTCGATGCAAGGTGGCCTATCATGACGACGTCCCGATGCTCTCCATGTGCCTGTGTATGCCGCTGGGTCTCTCGCGTTGTGGCTTCCGCATTAAGACGGGTATTATTACTATTGTTTCTGTGATATTACTATGATTCGCACTAGGGGAAAACTGGGAACAAAACACATGCGGAAGAAAAGATAAAAGACAACAGCAACACTACACCGCGAGAGACCAGCACTCAACCGAGTGACGCATGCAAAGGATGCAGATCACAAACGACCGCGAGCTGTGAGGCATAGGTACAAGCACAGGCACAGACACAGACACCCGGCATGGAATACGAGAGCATCGGCACGGAATAGGAACATCACAAGGCGCATCACCTCACTTCGGGCGACCCGTGTCACCAAATAGGGGGAGGGCAAAGGCAGGATCACTGAACAGTGTTCCTGCAAACAAGTCAGCTAGGACTCCCCAAGACCAGAGCACACAGACACGGGAAGAGACGCGGGCAGACGAGCAGAGACACTCGAGGACAGCTGCACACATCTTCGCTCATGCAGAGAGTCGAGAGTCCTTTCATCCAGCAAGGGGATGCGTCCTGTATATAATAAAGCTAACCTTGGGCCTCATTTCTTCGTCCCCCCATCCACAGTCGATGTCATCACCTTTCGTCCCTCTTCCAGCCCCGAGCTAGACGACGTTCTCGACAAAATCCGCAGCAAGATCATTCTGCTCTCATACCTGACCGCCGACCAGCGCCGCCGCATCTTCAGCCCACACCACGTGCAGAAGCTCCGCAACGACCCCATCCCACTCGACGTCAACGGCGAGATTGTCCAGTTCACCCACATGGACCTGTTCAACGACATCCCCAACGCGCGTGCCGCGACCATTGACGCCGTGGGCCGCATGACCACCCGTGCCGATTTCCAGAACCTCCCGCGCCTGTTGGAGGGCCTGCACCGCTCAAGCCGCCGCTTGCGCCAGGCCGACTATGCCCGCATTGCCCGCCGTGCCGGCGAGCGCCAGTGCATCATTGCCGTGATTGAGAGCGCAGCCCAGGTTCAGCGCACCGGCTTCCGCCTCGAGAGCTCCGAGGTCGTCGCCGAGATCCTGACCCACGTGCAGATGAAGGCCGTCGACAGCAACTGGGACGAGGCCGAGACACGCCAGGCCCTGCGCTGGGCCGAGCAGGTTATCGACCTGCTGCAGCGCCCGGACCACGGCCGCCGCCCGCCGCGCCAGCAAACGCACAGGGGCTCCTTTTCCGACAACAGCAGCGCCGCCACGGCGCCCCTGCCGCCGCCGCCAACATACCCGCTGGACCGTGACCCGCAGGTGCTGGCTGCGCGCCTGCATCTGGCCGCCGTCGTGGCTGACAAGTTTGCGCCGGGCGGTGCCGACACCGACGGCAAGGTCTCCCGCTATGCGACAGAGCTTGTGCAGCTATGGCCGGCGGGCGGCAAGGGCCTGCGCGCGCTGAGCCCTGCAGAGACGTACACGGACCGCCGCGGCGAGATGCATTACCTCAGCGTGGACAACAAGTTCCTGGGCGTGGGCGCGCCGCTGCTGCACGGCCTGGACACGGCGATCCGTGTTCTGGGCGGCAGCCAGGGCGACAGCGCGGCGCTGGCGGGCGAGCTGCAGTCGCGGCGGGATGCGCTGGCGGTCGAGGTCAATGCGGCGTTGGAGGCTGCTCCCGACCGGCGAGGTGCGGTCATCTACAAAAAGGTGTTTGGTGAGAGCACCGAGGCATAGGCGGAGAGAGCCCGACCAACGTTGGGTCGGTATGTGAAAATGATTGTGCATTTTTCTTCCGATTTTGCTGGAGAAAAAAGGGAGGGAGCCAAACATATAGTGGTGCAATGTTGTTCTGCAACACACCGACCATAAAACGCTTTCTTGTATTCTAGATTCATTTCGTCATAAACCCCTTTTGACATCCCCATGTTGTATTTGTACGCTAATAAAAAATATATATCTTTCAAACAACTTGTCTGTCGCCTTACCAGCTGGTTTTGTTGACACAATGCTACGGCTTGGCGTGCAAATGTTTTTGTTTTTGAAATTTTACTCTGTCGCAACGTGTTCTCGCTGGTTGTTTCTCCACGGACTATGGAAGGACAATGTGGTGCTGCAGCGCCTTGGGGATCGCGTCAATCAGCTTCTTCTCCGTCAGCCACTTGCGCGAGAACAGCCGGTCCGCATACCGGTAGGCGCCGTCCGCGAGGATCGTCACGACCGTGTGGCCCTGGCCGAGCTTCTCGGCCACCTCCTTGGCCGCCACCACGTTGAGCGCCGAGCTTGCGCCCAGGTACAGGCCCTCCTCCGCGAGGCACCGGTACACCATGGCAATGCTCTTCTCGTCGGCAATCGTCAGCGATCCGTCGAGCAGGTCAATGTCCGGCTGCAGGTTGTCCGTCACGCGGCCCTGGCCAATGCCCTCGGTAATGGACGAGCCCGACCGCTCCACCAGCGTGCCGCCGCTGCTGATGTAGGAGTGCAGCACGCTGCCCGGCGGGTCGGCCAGGAAGCTCTTGACTTTGCCGCCCGACACGTCCTTGAGGTACCGCGTCGTGCCGGCCAGCGTGCCGCCCGTGCCCGTGGCACACGTGAACGCATCGACCTTGCCGTCCGTCTGGCGCCAGATCTCGGGTCCCGTCGTCTCAATGTGCGCGCGGCGGTTGGCCGTGTTGTCGAACTGGTTGGTCCACACCGCATTCTCGAGACGCGCCGCGTGCCGTGCCGCCTGGTGGTTGTAGTTCTCCGGGTTGTCGAACGCGACGGCGGGGACCGGGTGCACCTCGGCGCCCAGGAGCCGCAGCAGGTCAATCTTGCCCTGGGACTGGGTGTTGGGCATGTAGATGACCAGCTTGTAGCCGCGCGCGGCGCACACGTGCGCCAGGCCAATGCCGGTGTTGCCCGCCGTGCCCTCGATGACGGTGCCGCCCGGCTTCAGCAGGCCGCGCTCCTCGGCGTCGAGCACGACGTAGAGCGCGGCGCGGTCCTTGACAGAGCCGCCGGGATTGGCAAACTCGGCCTTGCCGAGAACCTCGCAGCCGGTCTCTTCGGACAGCTTCTTGAGGCGCACGAGCGGCGTGTTACCAATGGCGCCGACAAAGCCGTCAACGACGCCCTGGGCGCTGGAGACGGCGAGGGTGTGTGGCGTGGGCGGGTTGGCGGCGGCGGCGGCCGGCGTGGCGTACGACGAAGCAGTAGAGACCGAGAAGTAAGCTGGCCTCAGGGCTTTGCGTGCAGGCGTCGCCGAAGCGAGCCGGCGCAGGCCCGTTCGGAACATGATGAGCGTGATAGTGGGCTATAAGAGAAGCCGAGAACAAGAGAAGCCGAGAATCAGGATCGGTCAAGATGCGTTCGCTCGGAAACAGGGCTCTGCTGGTGAAAACACCCCCAAGAACAATCCGAGACGTAAGGTGACGCGACGACAAGAGCTTCGGTATTCGGGAGACAGCAGTGGTGCAAGTCGTGCCTAATTACGGCCGCGAAAAATCGAGAGTTGCGCAACGAGAGGCGCCGGCCGTCGGTCGCGAGCTTTAGTGGGGTTCGCAAGGCCCATGGGGTTGGAGCGCTGGGAATGGAGCTCATAGCGTGCCGCCGGCCGAATGGCGCAATGCCGCCCGCGACTAGGGTCTTCCCAGCCCTGTCATTGGGGTTGCCATATTGGGACGTGTTGACAGTTGTTGGTTGCATCGAATCGCAATGGTGTCTCGGCCTTTGAATTTTCAGAAAAGACATGGTTCCAGAGGAATGGGTTTCGAGATGCAGCCTCCGTGCAGACATGTAAGTTATCAATGATCCAAGTAGTGCATCGGGCAACCAATTCAAATAGTTGTGAAAAAATATTGACATAAAAGGAAAAAATACAATGTAAAGAAACAGAACCAAAACTAAGAATGTCCAAAATGTATCCCAAATGCTATGCAATATATTCGTGAGATCCAAAAAGTGCTACGTCGTCTTTTTCTCGTCATCTCGCTACTCGCCGAGAAATTTCACAAAACCGCTGGGGAACAGCCCCTTGCGGCCCATGTACACGCCGTGGTACCACTCCCCGTTGACATCTTCAATTTCACGAATTTCGGCCTGACGCGGGAAAAGGAGCTCGTCATTCGCAGCAGTCGCATCGCCGTCGCCACCACCGCTTTGCTCAGGGTACCACGCCCATCGCGCAACTGCGGTGCGGCCGACACCGCCGAGAGGCGGGAAAGGTGCGCTCTTTGGTGTAGCTGGCGAGGCGGCCGCCGCAGCCGCAGTTGTAATGACTGCAGATGGTGCCGTGGACGGTGCGCTCATCCTCACGTCGCGCGATACGAGCCGCTCAAAATGTTTCTCCTCCTTATACCAAACATACCAGGACTCGACGTCCATGCCGCTGGCTGCAGACGACGCCTCCCCAGTCTCGAGCCGGAATCCACCAACAAGGTCCTCGAGCACGACGCGCCGCGGCACGCCACCGTTTTTGCCGTCTTCGCGGAACGCCACCACCACCATGCGGTGGCCACCCGAGGGACAGCGGCGCCACCCGTTGGGACCGTTCTCGGGCGCCAATACGGTCGGCCGCTTCTGTAAAAGAGCCCCGTAGCACTCCTGACAGACGTCGTAGTCGCCCGGATGGGTGTCGGGCACGACGGTGCTCGTGCACGAGTAGCAGTGGAAGCGAGCACGGCTCGGCGGGATCGCTTTCCGGCATATGTCGCACGTCGTTGTAAAAGTGAGGGCGCGGAATGAGCCGATACGGGGCGCCGAGACAGTTAAGTCTGCCGACGGCTCGGCAGGTAATTGGTACAGGGCTGACGCGTGTGGCCGCGGCGGTGGTGAGGGCAGCAAGTGTGGTTGCTGGTCCTGGCCTTGGGCTTGCGACGGTTGCGAGCTGGTGGTCGCTGCCGGCAGTGGTTGATGTGTCAGCGGCAGCAGCGGATGTGTGCAGGCGAATCCTTGGTTGACGCAGTTGTTGCAAAACCCCCAGTCGCCGTAGTTGCACACATCACAGCGCCAGTAGCAGCTGTTAGCCCAGGCACGGCAACGCTGGCAGAATACACCGCTCTGGAGACGGTCCTGCGGGTCTTCGCTTGTCAGTGTACGACGACCCTCGGCGCCGCCGGGTACAACGCGTGGCATCAAGTATCGGTTGGCTGTCAGCATGTGCGGCTGCGGGAAGGTCGCACCGCCGGTGGCCGAAATCGCCGCTGCATTCTCGGCACGCCATTGTGCCGCCTTCTTCTCCCACTTCTGCCAGGCAGAGTAGCCAAAGCCGAACCAGTGCTGGCAGCCTTTCCCTGCCCGGTAGCAGTCTAGGCAGATGTTCCAATTGCCCATACTACAGATGGAGCAGTTGTAGTGCAAATCATACTCGATGTGCCGCCGGTTGCACCGGGCGCAGGATATATCGGGCTCTGAGAAGAATGTACTGCCCTGTCGACGGTGCCCCGGTTGTTGCTGCTGCTGTAATTGCTGTTGATGCAGCTGCTGTCGAGGCAAGGAAGACTCTGGCGAGGTAAGTGCCGGCAGTTCATACGTGTCAATAGTCACGGGAGACAGTGCAAAGTTGGCTGTTGCAACAGGCGGCGGTGTCGTATTTTGAACCGTAGTCAGGGCCGCGGGTCCTGGATTGGTGTTTGCTGTGCTCGGAGGGGCTGAAGGGTCTGCGGCAGACGTTGCTGTGGCACGCTTGGCGCGAGTTTGTCCCCCCTCAGCAGCAGAGCCTGCAGATGTGACTGGCCAAGACGAGTGTTGCTTTGGCTGTTGTGCGCCTCCCGGCCCAGGAAGTCCCATGGCCAGCGCTCGGGCCTGGAACGAGACTGCTGTCGGCGAGTTGTTGTTTGACCTTAGTGAAGACGAGGACGAGGACGAGGACCGCGACGGAGTAGGGAATGAAGCACTCCGTGCGTCGGTGGAGCGTGTCGACAACCGCGAGGCAGAGGCTGGTGCCGCTGGTGGTGTGGAAGGGAGCTCTGCGACGACAACAGCGTCTCCCTGTAGCTCTGCAGGACGCAGAGGCAGGTCGTTTTGAGACTGCGCCATTGGGCGGCTGACGCCAAGGTCAGAGTGCGTTGCGGGCAGTGTCGAGCTCCGGCCTTCGCTTGCCGTTCGTCGGCGCTGGTGGTGATGCCGCGAATCGTCGCGCACCTCGAGGTGGTGGCTCGCGGAGTTGGATATTGGTGGCCGGCTAACGGAGGTGGCGGAAATAGCGAGGGGGGCGGGAGTTACACCGTCCGCCAAGACGGCACTCTGGGGTCGTGCACCGCCGGTAGACGACCGCGAGCGGTGAGACGACTGCGACTGGGAACGATGCCGGCTGGACGGACGCGACGACGAAGAAGGGGGGCGGCCGGCGATGGCAGAGGACACAGAGAGCGTAGGCCGTCCAGATGTGCGCTCTGGTTGGCTAGCGGCGCTGGGGCCGGGCGCGGTAGCGCTAGAGACGGACACCTGCGAGCGGTGTGACACAGCACTCGACGCTCTATGGCGGTTGCTTTCGGGACGAGACGCATCTTGCCGTGAAGCCTCGCGTCGCCCACTGCCTTCATGCCGGCTCCCGTCATGGCGACCACTCTCATGTCGTGCTCGGCCGCGCTGCCGCCGCTGATAGGCCTCTGCAATGCGGCGGCTCAGCTCGTCGTCGTTTGTGAGGTCAATGTTGTCGAGGTCGAGGCCGTCCAGGATGCCTTCCTCCTGAATCTGTCGGGCAAACGCCTCAATCTCCCGTTCGATATCGAGCGCTGTGCTGGACCCGCCAGGCCCATTTTGCGAACCGCTTATCAGAGACCGCAGCGACGACTGGTGACCCATGATCGGCGGCAGATGTTCTTCTGCGGGAGCTGTAGGATTCCGCGACGCGCTACGGCGCCGGCGGCGGCGGTCGCCCGAGCCGCTGACGGCCAACCGGCCGTCTTCATCTGATGCCGACTCTGCTCCGGAGCCTGCATTTGTGCTAGCGAGAGCTGCTCTCCGCTGTCGTCGCCTCGCCTCGTGAGCAGCATTGCTGCCGTCGCTGCCGGCCGCGGCCGCCACGGCCTCTTGCCTGCTGATCTCGCGCACTTCGTCGATCAGGCGGCGCTCGGCGGCGTCCAACCGCTGCTGCTCAGCGCTGCGCTTGGGGAGATGCACCTTGGGAAAGACGTTGTCGCCGGGACGGTATTTGCTGTCCATCTCGGCCTTTTCGTCGTCAGGCTTCCTCTTGTCGGGCTGAGTCGCAATCAGCATGTCCAGCAGAGTCACAACGGTGGCGTTGTGCTTGGTGCTGCGAACGGCATCGCGGCAGGAGGGGCATGTGAAGATCGGGGCGCCGGGGGCCGGGGGATTCGGACTTGTCTCGGCGGCTAGGGCCTGCCATCCGAACCACTCCTTGAGGCATGCGCCGCAGAAGGTGTGGAGGCAGTCCAGCAGGGTTAGTGGTTGGTAGAGGAGATCGGTGCAGATCTACAGGTTAGCAGACGAACATGTGTCGGGAGAGGGCTCAGAGATACAGCTGCCCGAGGCGAGAACACAACAGAACATACCGAGCACGTCAGTTCTTTCTCCAGATCCATGGCCGGAGCTGGAGAGCCCATGGTGACGGTGATATGCCGAGTTCTCGAGAGGAAAGGAGATGAGGAGAAATGAAGACCAGAGAACGACGATGCTGAATCGGAGTCGCAGATTTTAATCGAGGGGAGATGAGGTAAGAAGAGGAGGGGCCGTGGTAAACGGTGGACCACAGCTTCAGCGTCGCCGCCACGGCCCCGTCATTGCAGTCTGTTTGCTTTGGTGTGGGTGCGGTGTCGTGGACTGTGTTTCCGTCTCTGGTTTGCGTATCGCCAACCGCTGATTCTTTGTTTGTATCGTCTTCAACCGGACGTAGAGGAAAAGAAGAGACAGTAGAAAACAAAATAAGCAGAGGTGCACGAAAGTGAAAAGAAACAAAATGCAAGGCTTGGCTCCGCCCGCACACTTCTGCAGTGTCGTGCTGAGTCGCAAATTGTAGCTCGCCCGCCGGCATGTAGTGTCAGCAGCTGGGGCGAACCGGCGGCCCCGACAGGAGCAGAGCGCGTGTGGAAGGGCGAACGAGAGGCCGTGAGTGAGGAGAAGAAAAAAAAGAGAGGAGAAGAGGCAAAATCGTTGGGCTGCATATGGATGCATGGCAAGGCCCGACATGGGCTGCAGCTTTGGCGGCAGGCGCTGTCGTCCTTGCGCTCCTGCCGCCGTTATGACTTGCCTTGCTAGCTCCCATCCTGTTTCTGTTTCTGGGTCTCTTGCGGTCTCTTGCGCATTCTCACCTTCCCTGCCACGCCGCCTTTTGGGGACTGTGATATGCGCCTTCCCGCCTTGCGGAGTATTGTCTTTGCGTGCCGTTCGTACCTTCCTTTCTTTTCTTCCGCTTGTTTATGATGTCGATTATTTACATTCTCTTTCTCCTTTGCTCTTTCTCCCTTCGGCCATCGCCAATATTCCCCGCATACCCCCCTGATTCTGTTAGACACTGCTAACGAGCTGCTAAGAAGTTCTGCTACATCACGATTGGTTCCCCTGGCCTAAATAAAGCGCGGCAGGGCGCCAAGAGCGTGCCTGAACGGGCCAACGATGGCCTGTCGTTGGTCGCCTTCTCGAATCGGTAGCAGGAATGGCATGTATGGTGTGGGGTGGAGAGAAAAAGCTGGCTGGCCCGCCGTATTCTTACCCCTCCTGCCCTTTAAAGACGACCTCACCAGTCCAGACGAACAGTGTGCTACAGCGAATTATCAGCAGCTCCAACATGTATTTCGTAATTACGCAGCATATTGTTAGCAGCTGGTGAACGCCGGCTGCACAACGTGCAATATTGGTTTTACAACACCACGCCCATCTACGCCTTGTCTTGCCTGGTTGTCGTATTCGCCTGCATTGGCGCCTTGGTTCGCTTTGGCGTCCTCGTGTTTGTTAGCACATGCAGAAAACGTTCGTTCGACAAGCGAGCTCAGTGTCCTTTTTGGTATCCTCATTTCTTCATGTGTATGTGCCTAGTTTGTCCGCCAAGATGTACATATATATGTACACACACACACACATATATATGTATATATATATCTCCATGTTCATGCCTTGCTTTGTCTTCTTTTGTTTTTCATACCGTTCGGCCTTCCGTTTTTGGTCTCTTCGTAAGACACTAGCCAGCCCCTTACTCGTGCGTCCACGTCGGCTTCTGCTTCTCGGCAAAGGCCTTCATGCCAATCTTCTGGTCCTGGCTGCCAAAGATGCCGTGGAAGACGCGGCGCTCGTACTCGACGCCGTCGCGCAGCGGCAGGTCCTGGCTCTTGTTGACGACCTCCTTGCAGCCCAGCACGGCCACCTTGGAGTAGCCCGCAATGGTCTCGGCCGTCTTGAGCGTCGCCTCCATCAGCTCGTCGTAGGTGGCAAAAACGCGCGCAGCCACGCCCCACTCGCCGGCCTCCTTGCCCGAGAACGACTTGCCCGTCAGGATCAGCTCCATGGCGCGCGCCTTGCCAATGGCCCGGGTCAGGCGCTGGCTGCCACCGGCGCCGGGGATGGTGCCGAGCTTGATCTCGGGCTGACCAAAGTTGGCCGACTCGGTGCAGTACAGGGTGTCGCACATGAGGGCGAGCTCGCAGCCGCCGCCCAGGGCGTGGCCGGATACGGCGGCAATGACGGGCTTCTTGACGCGCGTGGCCAAGTCGGACCACGACTCGATGAAGGCGCCGGTGTAGGCCTTGGAGAAGGTCAGGGGTGCCATCTCCTTGATGTCGGCGCCGGCGGCAAAAGCGCGCTGCGAGCCCGTCAGGACAATGGCGAGCACGCTGTCGGACTCGTTGAACTTGCCGAGGGCCTCGTTGAGCTCGGCGATGAGGGGGGTACACAGGGCGTTGAGAGCCTTGGGGCGGTTGAGGGTGACTAGCGGTGCAAGGTCAGCAGACATTCGGCGCGGAGGCCACGAACATGACAAAGAGCCCAAAGAGCCCAAACAGCCTGTAAAGACATACCCTGCCCGACGCCCGGACGCGGCTCTGAGACCTCAATGTATTCGTAGGAGCGCAGGGCCGAGGCAGAGAAGCTGCGGACGGCAAACCGCGATGCCATCGGCGCCCGGAGCTGGGCCGCCGCAATCGGTTGGAATCTCTTGAGGGCGTTCATTTTGTATATGGGCGAGCTGATTGACGAGAATGTGTACACCAAAGCGTGTTTGGAAACCATGCCAACTCGGGAAAACCAAAAAAAAGAAGCAAGAACATCGGCCGTTCGAAATACATCAGAAGCTATAGCGGGGAGCTCCAGCGCTGTAAGCCGCCTAAAGCCGATGAACCGAGGGCCGTATCGAGCCCCTCTGCCCCAGCGCCCGGATTCATGACTAAGCATGTGAAGGCGACTATTGACCTGCCGGTTTGAACCTTTGACTCCACGAGCTTTGCAGATGAAGCCATTCAGACTCATAACGCGTAAATATGACAATTCAGCTGTTTGGCATATGTTCTATTTGAAACCAGTTCACCCCATTATCACACCTAATTGAAGAACGTGGATAGAACGTGGCAGCTATAATAAACATGGTTGCTCCCCCTGCTTGTTCATCTTAAGCTACCTTTTGTCAATATACTAGCAGAAATAAGACCAGACATAGAATAAAACAGAGGACTCGACTCAGTAACCGCACCGGTGCTTGCAGTGAGGTCTAGCAGCTCTAGCAGCTCTCACCACATCATGGCCGGATCCGAACGAGATAATGACTAAGCTATGCCAAGGCAGCCACAAATGGCAACAGCCACAGTCAGCGTCTGTTCCAGGGGAATGAGCGCTGCACGCTGTCGCCACCACCCTTGTCACTCCCTAAAGGCCCCCACAACCACCTTCCGGTTCCTCAACAGCTATGCCATGATTGGTCCCAGGCTAGCAGACGCTAGAAACGGGCCAGATTGATCATTTTGCGTGTCTCTGCATGCTCCTTTTAAATTGCTGCTGCTCCACAGAGGGACGGCGACCGCCCAGAACCAGCAAAAAGCAGACAAGACCACCCACACCCACAAGTAAAGCGCCCTCCTTTCTTTCTGTCGCGAATATTCCGTGTCGCTGACTTTGTCGTCGCTGTATTTTATTGACCTTAGCCGTTTTTCATTCCACCTTCGACATCTTTTCCGTCCTGCCACTGACGACATCCGATCTCGCGATATCAACAAACACAAAAACACAACACGGGCTTCTTGTTGGCGACGACGAGCTCTTAACCTGTTTTCCTTTTTCCTTTTTTTCGTTCTCTCTTCCTTTATCTCGCGTGTCCCCGGACACCATCCCCCAACCGCTGCCATGAACTCCGCCGAGCCTGAGCAGACGCCCTTTGAGGCCGTGTCTGCGCAAACTTCGAAGCTGCAAAGAGTGCGTCTAGATGGGATCCCGAGAGTGTTGAGGGAGAAGGTCGCGGAGAGGCGGCGTGGCCCTGCTGCGAAGCGACGCTGCGCGGAGCGACTGGCGACTGCTCGCAGGCTCGTGAGCACTCGTCGCGGGATGGACTGTGAATCGTCCTCGCGTGCTCGCGTACAATTGCTGACACGTCTGCCCTTGTAGAGATACCAGGCCCTGCTGGACCAGTCAACACCCTATGTGACATATCGCTGGATCGGCACCGGGTCGTTCCTGTTCCTCTTCTTCCTGCGCATTCTCATTGCGCAGGGCTGGTACATTGGTGAGTGGATGGCACAAACTCCAAACGGCGACGGCAAAAGCCTACACAGAGCTAACACCCCACTCCCCTCTAGTCGCGTACGGTCTCGGCATCTACCTGCTCAACCTGTTCCTTGCGTTCCTGACGCCCAAGTTCGACCCGTCCAACGAGGCCCTCGACAACGAGATGGAGGATGGCACGGCTAGCACCCTGCCCACCAAGCAGGACGAGGAGTTCCGGCCCTTTATCCGCCGCCTGCCCGAGTTCAAGTTCTGGCACTCGGCCACGCGCGCCATTGGCATCTCCTTTGTGTGCAGCTGGTTCAGCATCTTTGACGTGCCCGTCTTCTGGCCCGTCCTGGTCATGTACTGGGTCATCCTGTTTGTCCTCACGAGTGAGTGCTCGACCACACGTCCCTCCGAACATGTCCCTCATGGGCCCCATTCATACTAACACGCCGTCTTTCCAGTGCGGAAACAGATCCAGCACATGATCAAGTACCGCTACGTGCCCTTCTCCTTCGGCAAGGCCCGCTACGGCGGCAAGAACAACTCGTAAACAGGACCAGTCCGGCCGTCGAGCAGAACGTACCCTCTGGCCGGCATTGTGTCGGGTTTGTCGATCCACGCCAGAGACACACTCCAACACTCCACCCTACGAGCATGAGCTTGCGCATCGGCATGGCATGACGATGTGTGCACGGGCATGCCACACGACCACCCCTTCAGAATCGACACAACGTCTGCGAGTCCAGCCTCGCAGCAGACGACCGCCGCAACACTGCTCCAACATGATAGGGCGGCCGGGCAGGAGAAGCTCGGGCGCCAAGGTCTCGGTACCTTGTATATTACGCCTCGGAAAACGGTGCCATCGTTGCCCTCTTTCTTTTGCTGCGCTGTTTGCTATTTGTTCTATAGAGTTATCTTAATGCACAGAGAGGGTATTTTATTTCATTTTATTTTTATATTATATGTTCTTCTCTTTGATCCGCGGTGCGCCTCTGTCGCGATCCAGCGGTCGGTCGTTGCAGTTTGTTATATCCAACATATGGGTTCATATGACGTTTCTACCATAGAGTCGACAACAAAGACGAAAGTCCGTGCGTCTTTTGACTCTTTTGACAGTCTTTCTTTGAGGCCCTGAGGCTAGCCTCCTTGACGCCCCTATTAGGGCGCGAAAGCCGCCTGTATTGGCCGCTAGGCCTCTGGTTGCCGCTCCTGACGGTGGGCTGCACCGAAAACGGGCACAACGCACAGCGTCTTTATTTTGCATTTAATTTTGCATCAAATTTAATTCGCTTTTTGGATTTTCGTTTCCGCCCACGACGGCCTGGCGCCTCCCTTTCTCGACAACAGCAAAAGCTTCAACGCCAGCGACATGTCACGAAATTGACCTCCTCCAACACCAGCGCAACGAGCAGCCACCACGACACCACGAGCATCCGCATTGATGCCAGAACCTGTGTCTGTATCATAGTTGCCAATCAGCAGCTTGCATCCAGCGCCTGAACATCACACAACACAGCCATGTCGTCGTCTGCGTCGCGCGGCGGCGGCGAACGCACCGTCCACCAGGACTATATCGCGCGCGTCCGCTACTCCAACGTGCTGCCGCCACCACCGAACCCGCCCAAGCTGCTCGAGATCCCCAACACGGGCCTCAGCAGCGGGTTCTACACCTCGCCCGCGTTTGCCTCGCGTCTGGCCCGCGAGCAGCCGCTCAACATCGAGGCCGATGCCGAGCTGGGCATGCCTCTGGACCTGATTGGCATGCCCGGCGTCTTTGACGGCGACGAGTCCTGTACGTTGTGGTCTCACGTCGCTTTCCTTCCGTCTTTTTTTCTGCCCTTGGCCGTCCGCTAACCTAAGACGCACCAGCCATACAATCCGACCCGCACCCGCCTCCCGTTCACCCGCACGACCGCGCCCTCCTCAAGCCGCTCTCGTCCCTGGGCAAGCCACGCACGACCGAGTCCGGCGTGTCCTTCTTGCGCCGCACCGAGTACATCTCCTCCATCGCCTCCAAAGGCGGCGTGGCCGGCGGCAGCCCCTTCCGCGCAGGCATCAACAAGGTCCGCCGTCCAGAGAAGCGCTCCTCGCCCGAGCCCGACGCCGGCACGCCGGCCTACGTCAAGCGCAAGATCGACCAGAGCTTCCAGGCCGCCCAGACCGCCGCCCGCGACCGCTACAGCCGCGTGCGCCATCCCACCAAGAAGAACCTGCGCCTCGCCGCCGCCTACCCGCTGCTGCCCGACCTGGGCGCGTTCCCCGACAGCGGCGCCTATGTCACGGTCAAGTTCAGCAACCACCCCGTGGCCGCCGGCACCGGTGTGTACGACTCGCGCTTGCTGTCTGGCATCTTCAAGGCCGTCGAGATGGCCGACGACGAGCGGGCGGCCCTCGAAGCCGCCACCAAGGCCTACGAGCGCGATCCCCGTCGCAACCCGCGGCCCCAGCACCACGTGCAGTACGAGTTCTACCTGCCGGAGAAGACAGGCGTGGGCGAGGAGTTCCGCCGCGCGTTTGGCGCCCCCGAGGGCCAGGCCCAGGCCGCCAGCGAGGAGCGGTTCAGCTTCAACCGCGTCCGCGCCTATGAGTCCATCGAGGACAAGGAGTACACCCATGCCACCAAGTACGCCGAGGAGGTCTTGCTGGCCTTCTCCGAAGACGCCATCGCGGCGGCACCCGACCTGGGCTCGCGCGTGGCCGGCGGTCCGCGGGCGGCCCTCTACTACCCCGTCATGCAGCGCACCGTCGTGCGGAGCCAGCGGCAAAAGCAGATTGCGCGTGGCGGCGGTGGCATGGGCAGCAGCAACATCAACGACGACGACGACGACAACGACGGCGCCGACCGTCCGGCCGACCGCCTGATGATCTCGGTGCAGGACGCACCGGACGAAATCAAGGAGCACATTGCGCTCATCCGTGCCGACCCGCTGCACTTTGAGGAAGCCCAGATGGACGCCGAGGGCGACGCGGACGAGGACGTGCCCGCACCGGCGAGGAAGAGCAATGGCCAGCACGGTGACGGCTTGGAGGATGAGAACGACGACGACGAGGACGACGAGCGCAATGGCCGTCGTGGCAGCAGCAGTCCTAACCCGGGACGGGGCAACAGCAACGGCCGCCACCGCTCGGACGGTGAGGACGAGGACGAGGACGACGCCTTGGCCGACGAGGACGAGTAGTCGACCCCAGACAGCGACGATTTCGGCTTCAAATGGTTTCCCATGTCTTGTCATTCTGCCTTGTCTCCATTTTCGTCATCTTCTGTGCTATTTTCTTGTCGTTAGCGGGTTACGTGTCTGTTCATATCATGTTTTATTCGTACAGCAATCTGGGAGAGAATGGTTGCAAAGTGTTTTTCCATATACTTTCATCGAACCATGTATCAAAAAAGTCTACACGGAGTATTTGGGAGGGAGATCGGCCTACATCGAAATATATACTGGAAACAATTGGAAACAGTAACGGTCTGATGAGTGAATGCACCGCATGTGCAGCAGCGAATAAAAAAAAGGCGTAACCCTGTCTATTAAAAGTATCCTGGCCGTTCTAATGAGCTAATAATATACAGGCAAGGACGCAAGGACTTGAGAGGCCTCTCAACACAAAGTAAATAACACAGAAAACACAACGCCAGTATCCGAGGCCCCCCTGCAAAGACAGCGCTTCTATAACAAACAAGAGCATAAAAAAGGCAGAGACACGAGTCAAACCCACCAAGAACGGACAAAATGACGAACAAGCGCCGTTGCCTACCGACAACCCTTTTGTTTGACTCGCATACGCGTGAAGACATCTACCGCTTGCAGTGACTAAAAGGGCCGCATTGTTGTAATAAACTCCAGAAAAAAAGACGGGGGGGAACAAAAACCAGGGACATAAATCAAAATGGAACAAGGCAGAAAATCACCTAGAGAGTGAAGCCGATGGACTCGCGGTCATCGTCAATAACACGGCCATACCTACAAGATTAGCAGAGAGATCAAGCATGAAAACAGAAATGAGGGGATGGGACTCACTCTAACAGCAACCGGAAGAACCACGCCTCCAGGTCGACATTGCGCACGACATTGTTGGCCCAGTCGCGGCTCTGCAACGCGAGCCGCTCCGCTTCCTTCTTGCCCAGCGCGCCGTCGCCAAAGAACCGCACGGTCTCCAGCCAGTCGTCACCGCGCAGGCTCAGCGGGATGTAGTGCGCCCACGGCTTGAGCCACTCGTAGTGCCACTCGCGGAAAATAGCCTGCTTGTACACAAGGCTCTTGCTCTGCAGGAACGCGTAGAAACGGCCCGAGAAGGCGTTGCCGTCCAGGTCCACCAGGTACTTGTACTGCCAGGCGTCCTGCTGGTCGGCACGGTCCTGGATCTCGAAAAACTGCTTTTGCGCCTCGCAGTCGCCCTCGTCGCACTGGCCAATGTGCGAGAAGTACACATTGAAGAGGTCCTTGAAGTCGGCGCGCGCCACCTCCTTGACCTGCCAGTCCTGCTCGCCGCCATCGCGGTCGGCCGCTGCATTCTTGAGGATCATGGCCTGGTCGACGGCGTTGATCTTCTGCACGAAGCGCTGGCGGTGCTGCCGGCGCCAGCCGCCGTCACGGCTGAACCCCCCCGTCGTGGAGCCCCGCCAGTACAGCTGGTCGATCTTGTCGGCCCACGGCCGGTCGCGCGCCTCGTCGTAGGTCACCTTCCCGTACCAGTACCACGGCGACGGGTACAGGATGTCGGCATACGAGGAGACCTTGGACTGCGAGAAGATGGGGAACAGGTCGTGCACGATGTTGTAGGCATTGGGCCTATCAAAAAACCCAAACGTCTCGCGCAGCGACGGCGTGTAGCAAATGTCCGACAGCGCCGTCATGTTGTACACAAAGCCCAGCTCGCTCAAGCTGTACTGCGCCACGTCGTCGCGCTGCTCGCCCTCCTCCAGCGCCCGCGCGGGGCTGTCGGGCGGGCACGACATGCGCGAGTGCGTCCATGTCGGCTGGTGCGCAAACACGTTGAAGCGTGTCAGCGCCGCCTCCTCGAAGCGGTTGCCGCTGCCGAGGCCCTTGACCTTGGCCGTGAACTGGTTGCGCAGCGTGCCGGGGCTGTCGGCGTTGGCGCGCGCCCTGGCCATGGTCTTGCCCTTGGCCGTCGCCACCAGCCGCGCCATGTCCTCGTGCGGCACCACGACACGCGGCTCGTCGTGCACGTTGAAGCACAGGTCCATGTTGGGCAGATACTGGATAAACTGCCGCAGCATGCCCTTGGTGGCATCGCGCTGCCATTCGCCGCCGCCCTCAATGTGCGAGATGTTGCCGTCGCGAATGGCTAGGCCCAGCAGGCCGTTGCCGAAACCAAGGGCCTCCTTGGCCCGCGCGCGGATCGTCGCAGGCTTGAGGCCCCAAAAGGGCGTCAGCAGCTCGTTGATCGTGTCGAACTCGTCGACCAGCTGCACGTTGTTGTCCTTGGCAAACGCAAACCACTTGTCAAAGTGTGGTGGCGGTGCAATGCCGTAGCGCTTGCGGTACTCCGCCACAGCCTCTTGGAGCGTCTTGGACTGCCGTGCTTTCATCTTCTCCAGGTCGCTCTCGGCTCCGCTGATCAGTGACCACATGGGGTGCGAGGTATGTGATGCCTTCTTCGGCTTGGACGCCGGAGGCTGGACGTCGGGCGCGGAGGCGGGCACCTGGTGACCGGATTCGACTTCGGGCGGGTGCGGCAGACTCTTCTCCGGCGTCGGGGGTGTGTTGCCGGGCGTGTTCGGGGTTGCCGTTGCGGCTGGGTCTGTGGCGGGATGTCCATTTGCATGTGGGCCGAGATATGGCGCCTGCTCGATGTGCGAGAAGGAGTAGAAGCAGATGATGAGAATGGCGAAGACGCCGAGGATAGTAAACTGTCGTGACCGCATGATGCGAAACGAGGGTATGGTACTGTATGAGCCGTGTCGAGAATAAATTGGCAAAGAAAAGAGGGTACCGTGAGGTCGACGAGACACCAATCAACGGAGCTGCTTGGCACACCGTCGAAAGAGGCCCGTGTGCGAGATTGACAAAACGGGCGAGAGAGGCAGACAGAGATGAAGTCGCCCAACACGACGATAGCAAAATGGGAGAAAGCTATCCCTGGGCAGATCTTTCGAGGAGGGCGAACGCCAGACGCGCGTGGTCGGGAGCAAGAGAGGCCTTGCTATGCACCACTGGGGCCGCAATGGGCAGAGGAGTGTCGATTCCGTGACGTGAGCAATGTGACGACAGGTTTGGTCGGGCAATTCCACAATGGTCGATGCGTGTCGTCTTTGCAGACAAAAGGAGTGGGAAAAAAAATCAGGATTTCGCAATTTCAGGCGTCGTTAGACACCCCTGTAGTCATGGGGAAATACAAGCAATAGCGACCGATTGCTCCTGCCGCGTGCGGTGTTAGTGCGCTGCAATTGTTCCACTTGGCGGAAGGAACGACCACTGTCACAAGCTTCGCAAGAGTTTCCAAGCAAGAACGGCGCACGGAAGGTGCTAATCAACTCCAGTGGCGTGCAATCAATGCATTATACATGGGACGGGAGGTTCTTGTATCCACACCCCCTATGTTCGTTCCTTCCTCAAGTCTGGGCGGGAGTAAGAGCCCATTCTAGGCCCACACCACCTCGCCAGCGACGTAAGCCCTGCCCGTTTTAGGGGGATCGGAAACAATTAATTACTCATTACAGACGACACGAGGCAGACGCAGAGCTAATTCAGCTCGCAATTTGCGCCTTTCACTGGAATGGACTTCCGTCGCGTGCTTGTCTCTGATATCCTCCATCCCAGACACAGCAAATTACTCCGTATTGCCGTACATGCGAATATGGTCACTTACGCCATCAAGGTCAGACAACGGAAGAAGAGGAAAGGCACTGGCATTGATTGTCGGGCAGTGGCGAGCTGTTTTGCTTTTGTAGAAAGATAATTCGTTTCGTGATAGATTCAAATAGGTCTCGTAAGACTCTGGCATCCTTTTCCAGTCCCAAACGCCAAATATGCCACACAAAATCGCAGCGCGCACGCGGTCCCCCAGTCGTGACTGCGCCTGTCCTACATCCCCATCGCACCAGCACACCACCAGCCTCGCCTACTGATCTAGTAGAAGAAGCCAATGATCTTGCCGGAGACGTGCTTGCGTCTCGCCTCCTCGTGGTCCATGATACCGGCCGAGGTGGTCAGGATGATGTAACCAAACTGACGGGCGGGCAGCAGCTTGACAACCCACTTCTCCAGGTCGGCCAGGCGGACGTTGTAGCGGGGGGAGATGACGGCGGTCTTGTTCAGGCTGGGAGGAGTTAGTGGCGGGTTCTCATTGCACATGCACGATGGTGCATAATGGTGCAGCGGTTGGTACGTACCGGCCGTTCAACTGGACGACAATCTTGCCCGAGCGGTGGTCATCGACCTCCTCGAACTCGCCAATGTAGCCTGAAAACAAGAAACCAGAATTAGTTGGCTGTTGCGGAAGATTAAACGTGTAAACGTCATGTGTGATTGCCAGTGAAGACTCCGAGAAACGTGTAAGATCTCCGCATATGGTGGTTTGTTCTATCGGCAACTTAAAAGACTCGTGTCGTAGGATATTTGAGACGGTCGTCCAGTTATCATGCCGAAGGGCGGAGGAGGCAACCACACATGGCGAAACAGTACATGGAGTCCCGAGACAAAAACGTACCGTGCTTTTGCATGACAGTCAAGAACTTGACAATGACCTTGGAGCTAGGGCGGATGAGCACCTGGCGCTTGCCGGCCTTCTCGGCGTTGTTGATGCTCTTCAGAGCATCGTGGAGGACGGAGGTGCGGACCATCTTGGCGGTTGGGAGAGGTTCTCTTTTACGCAAAAATAAAAGTTAGTCATTGAGGCTCTGGAGCGTGGAGAGTGCCCTTCGACGCGAAAGAAAAGAGAATTCTTCGAAGAAAGGTTCTGCCCGCTCAGTGCTGAAGGAGAGCAGCGTATCACCGGCGCCTATGTTTCCATATGCCCCCATGATTGCTGTCCCCAGCCTCCTGCGACCGCCGCAACGACGGTCGGTTCGGATGTGTTGCCAATCGCGCGTCTGTCCGCCGCGAAACGACCCAAATTGCTTCATGCCGTCTCGCAGCGTCGAGATGCACGTCAAGTTCCCATGGCCGGTTCCATCTTTTCTGTATTTCTTTTCTTTTCGCGCGCCGGGCCCAGTCCAGAGAGACGGAACATCGATCGTGAGAGTCGTCAACCTACCTTGTGTGGTGTTGAGAGAGGTCGGCGTGAAGATTGTCGTTGGGTTGGAGATGGTTGAGAAAGCAGCAAATTTCGAGATGGTTTTGCTGCGCCTGTAACTTTTCCGTTTTTTTTCGCACTCCTCGCAGTGGGTCCCCCGACTCTGCTGGCCAATTTTCTTCGTGCGAGCAGAAAGATGGAGCCGGACCATTTTTCTTCCGTGGCCGGTGCGACACACAAAATCTCCTGTGGGCCCTAACATGTACTGGCCAGAAGGGTACGGAGGGTACTGCCCCACGGTGATTGGCCGAAATTTTCATGAATTAGATAAGCGGGGACGCCTCCAAAAAAGTTTCGCTCACACAAAACTACAGCACAAGTGGCAGGGGCGCCACCATTTCCTTCCTACTAAAAAAAATCCGCCAAGTTACCACCTGCTTCTTTTCACGACAACACAAAATTCCCATCACCAAACTCTTCGAGGATCGTATCGACAACTTCAAGACAACTGAACATTAAAGATGGTGAGTTGCAACTGGATTCTGCACGGAACCTGTCTCGCCGCCGTTCTCCCCGCCGGCTGGCCGACAACGCTCGGTCGGAGCCGCCGCCTTGTCCAGCAACCCCTCCGCTCCGAATTACTCGAGAAATCGACAAGCCACCCAGGAGAAGCGCGGGGCGTCTGCGGCGGCGAGGAGAGAACGGACGACGACGACGGAAACACGGGATGAGAGACACAAGAGCAGCCATTTGAAACGAGATATGGAGCGCGTGCTGACCAGACGTTTTGCGCAACAGTCGGACGTAGAAGATAACCAGCCCGAGGTCCAGGAGGAGGTTGAGGTTTCGGCCGATGCCGCCTCCAAGGGCCAGATGTCGGTTCTGGACGCCCTCAAGGGTGTTCTGCGCCTTTCCCTGATCCACGACGGTCTTGCCCGCGGTCTGCGCGAGGCCTCCAAGGCCCTCGACCGCCGCCAGGCGCACATGTGCGTCCTGAACGAGGCCTGCGAGGAGGATGCCTACAAGAAGCTCGTCATTGCCCTGTGCTCCGAGCACAAGATCCCTCTGATCAAGGTCCCTGACGGCAAGCAGCTCGGCGAGTGGGCTGGCCTGTGTACGTGTTTTATTTCCTCCTCCCGCCACGCCGCCTTGTGCCGCTTGACACAGGACGTTTTGGCGTTTCCTTTGCCCGCTCTGTCCATTTGTTCCCTTCTTCTAACATTTTACAGGCGTTCTCGACCGCGAGGGCAATGCCCGCAAGGTTGTCAACTGCTCTTGCGTCGTTGTCAAGGACTGGGGTGAGGAGTCGCAGGAGCGCTCCATCCTGCTCAACTACTTCCAGACCGAGCAGTAAGCGGATCGATCCGAGTCGTTTATTCGATACGATACGATACGATGCTCTGCTGCGCACCTGGGACGGAATATCTAGGGCACCAAAATAAAATAAAAATTCCATCTTTTTTCCAAAAAAATCTTGTCTCACGAATTGCGTCTACCTTTTTGGAATGGTCAAGATTGCAAGAGACCGGCGGGATACTGGGTACCAGATAGACAAAAGACAAAAAGCGGATGCCAACCCGCATTTCCAGTACTTGTTCTCGTCCCGTGTCCTATGGTCATGTCTTCCTGTTTCGTAGTCTGCCATCTCTACAATTTGATTTATAAAGCAGCAACGAGAGGTGGCGTTAGATATTTGCTGCCTCAGTGTGGCCAGCGTATCTCTCAATGCACAGCATTAGAATATAATCACATATTTTTTAAAAAACTTCTACATACGGGCCCGCCACATCCTCTGACATTGGATATGGCTACCACAAGTTGCCGTCCAGCAATATCACAAGGCTGCTATATGTGGCAGTTCACTGCTGTAGCCGTTCAGTCGCCACCTGCAGCCACGCCGCCCCTTTTCTCCTTTTTTGACTCTTTTCTTTTGGAACAAAAAAACCCTCTAGAAAGAATGAAACTGTCTGTGGCCTCAAATTGACAAATTCGTGCAATTTCCGTATTCTTACTTCTCCACTGAGAGGAACGATGTCGTTCTAGCTCTTGCCTCTTTGGGTGATGTAAGATGCAAGGCGGCCAATCCTTCAACACGCGCACGTGACAGAGCTTTAGCGCGACCGCGAATTGGAAGGGGCGGCGAAGTTGACTTGAAGCGAACCCAAATTCCAAATTCTCCGCTAAAAAGATCTTCACGCTTCACTTTCTTCTTGGCCACGACAACGCGAATCCTGGGGTCTCTGCGCGCACCAACACCGACGAAACACATCCGGATCTTTTCTCGCGCAATCGGAGTCGTAGAGTCTGGACGGATGCTGAAGGCGGACGCGACATCAACTCCTACTCTTCAAGTATCCCTACGTTTTGTCGACAACGGCCTTCTTTTGCGTCTTTTGCGTCTTTCGGCCTCTTGTTTGACGTCCCTTTGGATCCTCCGCCGATTTGATCACAGTCCTCCGACTCTGATGGACCACCACTTCGAATAAGCAACTCGCCGATTGCTTGCTCTCGTTACCTGCGTGGTTTTCTCACGCGATGGCGGCCAAGGCACTCTCCCCTGCGGAGGTGGAGCTGGTGAAGTACGTCTGCTGGCAATGCGCAGCATTACCCTTCTTTGTCGACATCGTCTGCCTCTTTACAGTGACTAACAATGTGCCCTGTTGTGCAGCTCCCTGACGGAAGACGATATCCCGACCAAGCTGCGCTGTGCCATCTGCAGCAAGTTGGCCGTCAACGCTTTCAAGCTGCCGTGCTGCGAGCAGCTCATTGACGAGAACTGTGAGTATTCCTTGCGATGACGGTCACTGTACACCAGCAGCAAAAACTGACGCTGGACACAGGCCATGCGACGCTTCCCTCGACATGTCCCGTGTGCGAACACACGCCGCTCTCTGCGGCCGACTGCAATCCGAACAAGGTGATGCGGTCGACGATCCGCGTCTTCATCAAGACGGAACTCAAGAAGCGCGAAACAAACCGCGCAAAGCAGACCAAAGACGCGACACCGGTCGCGCCGGCCACGCCTGTGGAGTCGGCGGCGGCTCCGGCGGCGGCGGCGACAGCGGCAACTGCGATGGACGGGGTGGCTGTGGCTACAAGTGCAGTGGGAGAGGCACAGCAAGGCCAGGAACAAAGCCAGGGCCGGGGCCAGATGCAGGGCCAGGGCACCAATCTTTCTTCATCGTATTCTTCAAAACCTTTGGATAATGCTCAGTCTCAGTCGGGAGCCGAAGATTCACAAATGCAAGACAATGGCCAAGCAGGCGCAAGGCAGCAAGAAGATGATGTCCCCGCCGACGGGGCTGCTCTCGCCAGCGGCGACAACAACCTTAGTGCTGACACAGCTAACCAAACTGTTCGTAATTTTCGTTTTTTTGTTGTTTTTGCGTGTTCCATTGATGGTACCCTCAGCAGTCTCGGTTTCGTAACGACGAAACGGCAAAACGAGAACGCACTGTACTCGGCACATTCTTGGAACGTACAATTTGCTAACATGCCTTAACCGCGGCACAAGACAACTGCGATCGCAGCATCACAAGGCAACAATGCCACAGCAGAGCCAACGCAACAAGACGGCACAGAGCCCATGGCAGACGGCGACGCCGAACAGGCACCCGCCGGTGATGGCCAAACAGTCGATGCCCAAGAGGGCCAAGATGCCGCCACAGGTGATGCCGGCAACCAGGTCGCCGGCGGCAATGCAAATGGCATGGGCGGATTCAACATGCCGGGCGCGAACGGTGCCTTTCCGGGCATGAACAACGGCATGGGCGGCGATATGAACCAGATGCAGATGATGATGGCCATGCAGAACGGCATGATGCCGGGCAACTTTGGTTTCCCTATGATGGGTATGTCACGACGACCTGTACTCTTCTCCCCTTGGCTGTTGACGACGGCTAACACAATCCGTAGGCATGCCTGGTATGAGCGTGGATGCGTCGATGCAGGGTATGTTTATGAATGGCGGGTTTCCGAACATGATGGGTAGCGGGTTTGGCGGTGGGCAGCAAGCATGGAATGGCGGCCAAGACAATTTCAATCATCCAAATGCTTCGGGCATGGGTAACGGGGATTTCGGGTCGTATAACGGTGCCTACAACCAGGGCTACAATCAGCAGGGTAACTTTGGCTACCAAAACCAGAACCAATTCAATAACTATCGCGGTTTTGGGCGTGGAAGAGGCCGCGGGCGCGGGTATTACAACAGCAACTACAACGCCGGCCGTGGTGGCTTCAACAACATCTACAACAACCACGGCTATTATAATGGCGGCAACGGCTATGGGCCCAACGGCATGAACGGTATGAACGGTATGAACGGTATGAACGGCAACAACTTCCAGTTCCAAGGCCAGAGCAACTTTGGCCAGCATCAGGGACAGGGACCAAACGGCTTCGGCAATGTCAATGTCAATGGTAACGGCAACAGTGAAGAAAGCCAGGACAATGGTAATGGTAGCGCCGAGGGCAATGCAAATGGCGACGACACTGAAATGACCGACAAGGGTGCTGTCCAGGCCCAGAATGGACCGAAGCAGTCAGTAGAGGATGACTCCGGCGCACCCAACGAGTCCACTGATAAGACGCCGACATCTTCGATTCCTACCTTTGAGTCGCGCGACGGCGGCCAGTCCATCCCGAACGGCGCTCAAGGCGGCTTTGCTTCTTACGGCCAGTTTGGCATGGGTGGCGCTGCGCGTGTCCTTGGTCCGGCCCCAGATGTACCGCTTAACGCCCCCAGCGGTCCCAAGGCCATGCGCCAGGGTCTGCCCAACACCAGCACACTGCACCTCCGCGCGCGCGGCTTTCTCACCGACGACCGCCCGGTCGCAACCACGAATGGCTTGGCCCACAACAGCCCGACCGTTACGGAACACAGTGGCCACGGCCGGTCGCGAAGCAACTCGGTCAGCACCAAACGCCGCGACCGTGATCATGATCGTGATCGCCATCGGGAGCGCAGCCGCGACCGTAGTCGTGACCGCGATCGTCGTAATGGGCACCGGCACGGCGACCGACATGAGAGTGGCGGCTTCAAGCGCGAACAGTCCACCGGCCGTGACCTCGACCCCGACCACGACCAAAAGGACACGCAGGGCGTGGGTGTGCTGGCCGTCGACAAGCGCACGAGCAACGATCCGGACCTCGACTATGAGCAGCACGATGACTGGGACGATGGCCCCACGCGCGACCACCACGACAACGGCGATGACGAACGCGGCCGGTCTGGATCGCGGTCCAGCCACGGCCGCCGGCGCGAACACTCGCGCGATTCACTGACACTGGAGGATGCTGACCAACCCGAAGAAGAAGAAGGGGGTACAGACAAGCCGCACGGTACTGGGGCTCGACCGCGGCGTAAGAACCGTGGTGGACGGAAGAACCGACGCAAGCGTGAGAACCGCCTTGCCGAGGAGGAGCGGTCAGCCGCCAAGGCCTCTGCCGATGCAGCGGCAGCAGTGCGCACGCGGTCCATGTCGCCCCTCGACGAGTCGCGACGGTCTGGCGGCCATCGCAGCCACCGCGACCGCGACACGGATAAGAGACATGACCGCGAGCACCACGACCGTGACCGGGCTCGTGACCGTGATCGAGAGAGGGAACGGGAACGGGAACGGGAACGGGATCGTGGCCGTGATCGTGATCGTGATCGTGACGACTACCGCCGTCGGTCTCACAGAGACAGCGACCGCGATCGAGACCGCAGCCGGGACCGCGGAAAAGACAAGGACCGGCGCGACAAGGACCGCAGCGACCGCAGCGACCGTCGCGACCGCAGTGGCCGAGATCGAGACCGAGACCGAGACCGCGACCGAGACCGCGAGAGGGATCGCGATCGGGACAGCGGCCGCGACAAGGGCGGCGGCAGCAACGGCACCGAGACAACGAAGGGCGCGGCCGCGACTGGTGGCAGCAGCGATCCGTATGCTGCCGAGCGCGAGAGACGGACGCGAGAACGTGTGGCCGCCGAGGCACAGAAGCGGGCCGGCATATCAAGCTTGGTCGCCGGGTCGAAGCGCGGCCGTGACGACGTTGACGATGGAAACGCTGGTGCAGGAGGTGGAGGGGGTGGAGGAGGTGGAGGCAGTGGTGGAGGCAGTGGACGGCGCAGCCGACGAAAGGGTCGCCGTGGTGAAGCTATCGTCGCAGAAGATGCCGGCGATCGGTCGCGGCGAGGCGAGGCCGAGCGCGAGAGCCACCGCTAGGAAGTGTATGGCTGGAAGCGCGGACTGTTGCCCGTGCTGCACCGTTTCACAATATGAAACTATAGGCCGTCGTCGCACCGGCTGCTTTTCATGGGATGCTGTTTCTTTCGTTCTTTTTATCTGGTATTGGAGGTATCCGCCTGGAAAAGACGGCAAAATAAGCATCGTCGGGGACTCGGACACCGATCCAAAGACAAACGGAGAATTACATAGATCACTAGCAACATGAATATGAGCTAAACCTGGCCAGAAAATGACAACATGCCGTGATGATGTGCCGTGATATTCTCGGTATTCCTGGTTTCCTGATTTATTGATATGCTGATATCAGTACTTATACTGAGCATAGTTCATAGCAGTCACGCGCTGCATCTATTCCGCCACTGCAGCCGCGAACCAGCCTACTAACGCGCTATAACGTAGCCCCCACAGAAGGCACTAACAAGTGTCCGGCCCGCCGCACGAAAGCGGGGCAGTCGACGACCCTCGCTCCTGCCTCACTGTCTCGCTGTGTAATACTCCGTGCACTGCACGCTCACGCGCCTGCGCTGTTCGCCCCTTCCTCGACACGCCAGCAGCGGGAAAGGCGGGGTTCGACCCATTCGCACGCACTCATAGGGCGGCAGGGACGCTTTGCTCGTTGGACCGTGCCTTCCTCTTGGCCCAACGGTTACGCCATTTGGCAGTTGAGAGAGCAAGATCGCCCAGTGCTGTACCGCGTGCCTGCTTATCTTGGACGGCCGTGAGGGGGAAGGAAGGCCCAAACCTGCTCTCAGGCTCGCAGTGACAGTTTCCTTTCCTGGACATCCCACAACCACATCTTCGTCTCTTTTTTTGATGATCACCCTGTCACTTTGTAAACCTCAACATCACTCCTTTCCTGTCTCCTTGTGTCTCCCTTCGTCAGAAACCACGTCCTCCTGAACGGCGGACCGTACGGACCCCGCCCCCATTCTTACCGAGTACTCTTGTGACACCTCTCCTGTCTTTCTGATCCGTGTCGCTTTGCACTCCCGAGATCCTCCCTTTTTCTGTCCACAACACATGTAGCTTCTTTTTGCCGTCACCGTACCACGCCAGCGCTCCTTGTGTCTCTATTTTGTCGCCTATCCTCTTATCATGCGCCCATCCGAGGCCTTTGGGCGCCCGCGGCACGTCGCCGCCGCGGGCTCTGACGCTGTGGCGACACCCTTGGCCAGCGGGGGCCATGTTCTCGCTGGTGGCAACAGCAGCAGCACAGCCGGCAATGTCGGACCCAGCAGTAGCGGCAGCGGGGTCGGTGCCAGCCCTATGGTGACGTACTTTGTGGCCGACGAAGACGATGTGGACGCCGCTATCGAAGCTGCTGCCATCGAGGCGGCCGGCCGCGACCCGGAGAGCTTCAAGGCGGCGCTTCTTCAGAACGCACGGCATTTTCCACACAACAAGATGGCGGCAGGCAGCTCGACCCAGGGAAATACTGGGAAAGCATCACACGCAGCGGCCCCCAGTCTCACATTTCCCACAGCTCCCACGGCACAGCCAGCTCGTGACCGCGTGGGTGGTGCTGCCGGCGACGACGACAAAAGCCAGGAACCTCGGCCAAGTACACCCGATATCTCTCGACAGCACCAGGCCCGCCACGGGCATTCCCGCTCGATCACGACCTCGCACCCGCCGTCCTTGCCGCCCAACTTCTCTCCGCTTTTCTCCCAGTCGGCTTCGACGAGCTTGTTCGGCACACCGGGCCCTGCCTCGCTGTCTGCCACGAGCAGCCCGTCATCCCGGCGGGACTCGCTAAGTGGCTCGCTGCTGATGGACGATCCCTCCGTCGGCGGCAGTGCCGGAGGCGACGGACCGATCAGTCGTGACATGAGTTTCGATCTGGACAGGGGCCCGGGCAATATCAGCTTTGGGCCGAGCATCAGCGGTTCAGGGATTGCCAGCGCGAATGAAACGACCCGTGAGACGCCCACGACGGACCGCATAGCAGCTAGCCGCCGCGAGGCAGACCACTCTTCGTCTGACGCGGCAGGAGCTGCTGCGGCCGCCACGACTGCCTCGTTTCTCCTCGGCGCTTCGTCCGCGGGTTTTTCGACAACCGATACGGACAGCATGATGATGGACAGTGGCAGTGCCCCGCAGCTGATCATGCCCAGCATCAAGATGCCGAGTCGGCGGCCGTTTACCGAGGAGGGCAAGAACATGGGGCGTCTCAAGGTGCTGATTGCCGGTGACTCAGGTGTGTATTCCTTTCCCTCCGTTCAATTCACATGGCTCATTGCAGCTGTTCCTAACCCACGCCAGGCCTCGGCAAAACGTCTCTCATCAAAGCCATCGTGCAGTCCTGCCCGCACATTGTCCACGTCGACCACGTCACGCCGACGTCTTTCTCACTGAGCGGGACACGGCGGTCATCGGCAGCGACAGCGACAGCGACCGCGACCGTATCCGGAACGTCCACCACGAACATGCCCGACGGAGGAGGCCAGAGCACAGTTCGCGCTCGTCGCAAGTCGTCTCGGTCGACTCGCCCAGACCTCTCCACCAACCACATCACCGAGATCTATGCCAGCACAAAGCCGTACCCGACGTGGTGGAACGAGGTCAGCGATGCGGGTGGCGTGCGGCGGAGGAAGAGTCTCGGTGACAACGTGCTCGACCGAAACATTTGTTTTGTGGACACACCAGGCTTCACAAGGAATACATCGGTCAGTTTCACCCCAACTTGCAACAAAAACAGTTTAAAGCAGTTTATGGCTTCCATGCTAACGTTTCCCACAAGACCATGGACACCATCATGCCGGTTGTCGAATATGTCGAAGGCTATCTCAAGAAGCTCTGCACAAACTCGCTGAGTGACGCAGACTTTGTCGGCCTTGTCAGTGGCGACGGTGGCACTTCCGTCGATGCCGTGTTCTACATGATCTCAGGCCACCTTACGCCAGCTGATATTGAATATCTGCGGCTTTTGACGCCACTGACGAATGTCATTCCAGTCCTGGCGCGGGCCGACACACTGCATGCGGACAAGGACATTGCCGAGGCAAAGGAGACAATCGCCCGGCAGCTTCACGAAGCGAACATCAAACCGTTTGTCTTTACGGCCCCGACAGCAACGCAAGACCTGGCCCTCACCTTGGCGTCGTCCTCGGGCCTCCCCCAGCCGTACGCCGTATCAAGCGCCAACGGGTCCGACCACGACGTGATGGATGCCAGCCTGCTCATGAGCCCCGACTACGTCCAACCACTGGTCCCGACCGATCTCGCAGCTCTCGTTGAGCAGGTCTTTTGTCGCGACGGCATCTCGCGGCTGCGGCATGCTGCGGCCCAAAAGTTTGCCAAGTGGCGGCGGTCTGACTCGGCCGACAGTCCTTTGCGTCCACAGTCGCTCTACCGGCCGCTCGGCCTGGGCGGCGGAAACGAGCTGGGCATTCTTCCCGGCAGCCCGGGCAGCCCGGGCGCCCGTCCCGGTGTGCTGACCACGCCGCTCGGGGCGCCGTCGTCGTTTGCGCTGGCCCGCATCACCGACCATACGCAGCGCGAAGAGCACCTCGCCCGGATCCGCTTGGCGAACTGGGCGGCCGAGCTGCAGCGCAGCCTCGACAGCGAGCGCGCCCACTACGAGAACCTGGCCCGCAACGAGCGCGCCGTCTGGCTCACCGAGCGGCTGAGCGAGTGTGTCCAGGACGGTACGCTGGTCGCCGTGCCGCCCGCTGCGCGCGACATTGCCCGCCAAACGAAACAGGAGCAGGCCAAACTCGCCAAGAAGAAAAAGAAGACGGCGAAGAAGAGCGCCGGGTGGTCATTGTCGTCGTCGTCGTCGTCGTCGTCGTCGTCGTCGTCTGCCTTTTCGCACGAGGATCCTCTTGGCCTGCTCCAGGTCACGGCCGGCCTGCGCGCGCGCGGCATGCTCGTGCTCGAAGTCCTGGGCGGCCTGAGCGTCCTGGGTGGCATGGCCCTGTGGATGGCCAGGCACAACTATCACCTGCAGGTGTACGACTGGGTCATGGGCGAGTGGTCACGGCTGTGGAACGGCGAGCGCTAGGCCGCGTCGTCCAGTCCGTTTGTCGGCCCTCGTGGTGGTGGCACTCGGACATGTGCTTTGTGGCGTGTCTGCGCACTTGTCAGATGCCACATATTTGTTTGATTTTGATTTTGATTTTGGTTGTCGTTTTGTTGTTTGTCTTTCTTGCATCGCCATTCACCAATACCATGGGACACAGAAGGGCATATCTAAGGGCGTTTGTCATTTTTCATGGGAACTGGATGCTACTTCTCTTACTACTTGTATTTCTCGGCAGGAAACGCTCTATTCTACATATGCCGTTGCAATACCAACGAAATGAAACGCAATTATTGAAATTGAAGCAAAAACGGAACGTCTGTCTTGATCTCTTGGCGATTTCGTACGGCTGTCTCTATTCGCACAGTCGCTTTAGCGTTCGACTCTGAAGCTTACAGGGCAGCAGGGACAGCTGTCGAACCTAGTTGCACGTGATAGCCTCTACAAGTGTCCCTTTCAGCGCCCCGTGCAGCGCTAATTCCGCTGCACCCTTGACACTACTCTGTAGACATACACGCAACAGTGGCTCCACTTTAATTCAATCAAAACGCGCTCTCTCTCTCTGACAAAAAAGGGAAGGAGCTACTCGAACCCGTCCCGGCAAACTAGGGAACGCCGTTCTTTCTCCATCCTTCCTGATCTGCCTCTTCTGCAGTTCTTTTGTTTTTCTTCCTCTCTCTCGCTTTGCTCCCCCCTTTCTCCCTCCCATCTCTCCCCCCTCCCTCGACACATCGACATCGTCACCGGCCGCCATGAATTCCGAAAAGCAGTACGGCGTGACGCCCCCGTTGTCGACGGAGATGCCGACGGAGGAGCAGCGCCGCGCGACCGACGCGCTGCTCGAAGAGCTGCGAGATCAGGGGACGTTTGAGAGCACGGCGGAGACACAGAAACGGTAAGGGATGGTGGTCGATGGGTGGTCGATGGGTGGTCGATGGATGGGTCGATGGATGGGAGGGCGATCGCCGTCGTGGATGATGCGCTCTCGATGGAATGCAGGCGGCTTTCTAGAGCGGTTCGAGTGGCAGACCTTACTTGTCGATGCTAACAATGTCGTTTTCTTTTGCCCGCCAGATTCAAAGTCCTCGATTCGCTCCGACTTGTCGCCGATGCCTTCGTCAAGCGTGTTGCCAAGGAACGCGCCCCCGACAACCCGACACTCTCCAAGGACGCGGTCGCCAAGATCTTCACGTATGGCAGCTTCCGTCTCGGCGTGTACATGCCTGGCTCCGACATCGACACCCTCGTCGTGGCGCCCAAGTATGTCACCCGCGAGGACTACTTCCGCTACTTCCCCGAGATGCTGCAGTCCATGTCGCCACCGGGCGCCATCACCGACCTGACGGCCGTCGAGGATGCCTTTGTGCCCATCATCAAGTTCGAGTACTCGGGCATCAGCATCGATCTGATCTTTTCGCGCGTTCTTCTGACACAGCTGCCGGCCGACGAGCGCTGGGGCCTCAAGGACTCGAACCTGCTGCGCGGCCTCGACGAGCCCGAGCTGCGGTCTGTCAATGGCACCCGTGTCACGGACGAGATCCTGAGCCTCGTGCCCGAGCAGCGCACCTTCCGTGATGCCCTGCGCGCGATCAAGCTCTGGGCCCAGCGGCGCGCCATCTACGCCAACATCATGGGCTTCCCCGGTGGCGTGGCGTGGGCCATGATGGTGGCCCGCGTGTGCCAGCTGTACCCCAAGGCGACCGGCGCCGTCATTGTGTCCAAGTTCTTTGGCATCATCCTGCGGTGGCCGTGGCCCAATCCGGTGCTCCTCAAGCCGATCGAGGACGGGCCGCTCCCCGTTCGCGTCTGGAACCCCAAGGTGTACCGTGGTGACCAGTACCACATTATGCCCATCATCACGCCGGCATACCCGTCCATGTGCGCCACCTACAACATCTCGCAGTCCTCCCTGTCCATCATCAAGCGGGAGCTCGAGCGGGCCTCGGAGACGGCCCAGATGATCATCTCTGGCCGGCAGCCCTGGAAGGACCTGTTTGTCAAGCACAGCTTCTTCACGACCGACTTCAAGTACTACATCTCTGTCATATCGTCCAGCACAGACAAGGAGTCGCAGAACGTGTGGTCGGGTTTCGTCGAGTCCAAGGTGCGCGTGCTTGTGCAGGGCCTGGAGCGGCACCCGTCTATCTCGCTGGCCCGCGCCTTCAACAAGGGCTATGAACGGACACATTTCTGCAAGACCGCAGCGGAGTCGGAGGCCGTTCAAAACGGCAGCCTGGAATACCTCAAGAAACCGGACGAAGACGGAGGCGAGGCTGCTGGCGCTGCTGCCAGCGTCGAGACGAATGGCGAAGCAAAGGACGGTGCCGACGCGGAGGCTCATGGTGACGCTGATGCTGATGCGGAGTCGTTCAAACCGACCGAGGTGTTCACATTGACACACTACATTGGCATCGAACTTGTTGAGGGTATGGTCTCTCCTGATCCCATTATTTTTTTGGATTCTTTGTCTTCCTCTCTTTGTCCCTATCGCTCCATGCTAACTAATCCAGGAGCCAAAGCTCTCGATCTGTCCTTCCAGGTGGAAGAATTTAAGGAGCTCTGCTTTGCTTGGGACAAGTATAAGGAGAAGCTGAGCAAGACCTGCACATTGAGCATCCAGCATGTGCGCAAGTAAGTACTTTTTGTTGGCAACAACGACGACGATACACGATACCCCTTGCACCCAAAGCACCCAAAACACTCGTTCTAACCAGATATAGTTTCGGCCTACCCGACGACGTCTTCGAGGCTGGCGAGGTGAAGCCTGTGAAGGCAGTTCGCCCTCCTCGTCCCGGCGCCCGCCGTAATGCATCAGGAGCCTCGGCCAACGGTGCCAGGAAACGAAACGCCCAGGAGGACAATAACGCACCGCCATCGAAGCGCCAGCAGTCACAAGCACCGGCCCAGCCACAAGCTAACGGCTCGACGGCCGCCACAGCCACAGCTGCGGGTTGAAACAAGCCAACAACCGATGCAAGCACCCAGCATCTGAGAATAGCTCGTGTCCCCCCTCGTCCCTACCACCGCCGCCGCCGGAACGGCTTTTTCAAAGGGACCCTCGTCCATCCACTTTTCTCTTATGATCGCCGGCCTTGTTTTGATGGACAACGAGCGACCCGACGACTATATCATTTTTCACAACGAAACGAATCAAGCCAGTATACATTTTCCATATCGTCTAGGTCTCATACGGCGGCCTCCCAGACCTCCAATTTCTTCTCCCCGCCCCGTTTTTGCCTACACGCCGGCCTGCCCCGTTGAACAAAATTAGTAGAGAATGACTACGATCAAGGTGAATTGTCTCGGAAGTGAAAGCCTTATGGTGCCAAAAAGAAGCACCTCATATTCTTGCCCAAAAAAATTAAAATGAGAACAGAAAATAGGACCGGGAGCACACGCTGCAACTGCTTCCAGCGGCCAAAAATTTATAAAGAAGGGAGATGGAGAAAGGTTGATATAAGCAGAAGTGGCTATATCCTGAGCGTTGAGGCTAGCTCAGTGCAGCGCTGACTGAAGCACAGGGAAAAGGGCCTCGTGTCCTCGCGCTGCATTCACGTCTAACAAAAGAGCGAACCCGAGTACCGAGGACGGACGAACCAAGCGCTTCCCTGTGCATGGTGAAGAGGACAAGGAAGCGGTTCTGGCATGTTTTGGGTAATGAGCATGAGCACAGAGGGGTGGGAAGAGGCTGCGCTTGACTCGTGGTCGCCAACCGTCCTCTTGTTGAACTTCTTGTCGAAGCTCTTGTTGAAATTTCTTCTTTCTTCTGAACCCCAACCCGTGAACAGCATGCCCCTTGCCGGGCGTGCGTGGCAAGTTGTGTATATAATGACTAGACGCAGCCGGGATAGAGTCGAGTCTGCGTTTGCTTTAAACAGAGCATGACGTGCAGGCCGGCCACTCCTTTACTAGTTAGATGCCATACAGACCGTCAATTTACAAGCTTTTTAAACTGATTTTCTTTCGCAGATATCTTTGGGTGTTGACTGGCATCAGTAGAAACCGCTGGAAAGCCCATGTTTATGAGCTGCATCGGATAAAACTTATAAGCAGTTGATTCAACGATGGCAGTATAACATACTCCGTCTTCTACTACGGTGGCCTCTCCCTCGGTTCTCTGGATGCCGTTCTTGCGGCTACTATTGCCATAAGTGCCGTCGGCTACCACGTTGCGATTACACTCTACATTTGGCGTTGAGGTTGACTACTTCTTCCGTTCCCCGGCTTCCGCCCAATCACGTTTCCGTGTAGATTTTTTTGTAGCCTTGCATACGGTTCGCCTATTCTTCGCATGTTTTACATGTGCAAATCCATTGATGTCCTATTTTCGTGAAACTATCCCAAAGGCGAGGATGCTTCTCGGTTCGCTGTTGTTATACGACCTGGCCCTCGTACAGCGTTTCCCCCTCCGGCTCTGGCTGCAGCTCTCTACCTCCGCCCGCTGGCACCGCCGCCAATATCCTGTCCCAGCCGGTAGCTCGCGACCTTGTCCCACTCAATCTTTTGTCGCGTGACCGGCAGCTGCCGCCGCAGACCCTTGAACGCGCCCTCGCTGAGGGACAAAAACTTCTTGTTGAGCTCTTCTTGGTAGGCCTTTTCGAGCGACGCGATCTCGCGGGCCAGCGCCGCGCCGCCGCCGCCCGCGATGGTGGCCGACTGCGGCTTGTCCGTCAGGAGGCGCACGTTGCCGTCCTCGTAGTAGTGCACGTCGATGCGGATGGTGCCCTCGAGGCTGCCGGTGGACGGGTCGAACACGTAGCGCGACCGCCAGCGGCCGTTCCAAAAGTTCTGCGGGCTGTACTTGTTGCTGACAATGAGGATGGCGATGCGGGCGCCGTCGTCGATGGGGTAGACGCCAAAGGCGGGGCGTTCAAAGTGGTCCTTGACGTAGGCGCCCAGCGATTTGAGGATGGAGGCCCTGCCGTTGTCATGTTAGCAAAGTACGACGGGACGACGTGGCAAGACGAAGCGACAACAAGCAAGAGGCGCGAGGCCGACGACGGTAAGAACATACGCAAGGTCACTGTCGAGGGCGTGGCTCTGGGCGGCGCTGGCCTTTTGCGTGCGGTGGTCAAAGGCGAAGCTGGTGGCGCTCGACGGGTCGTAGTAGCGGCTGTCGTCGTCCGGGTCGACGCGGCTGTCGACGCTGACAATCGCCGGCTGGCTGCCCGCCGCGCTGCCGGGCAGCTGCACCGTCGTAAACTGGTCCTCGTTGTACTTGGCGAACGCGGGCGCGAGGTCGTCCGCGAGCCTGGGCTTGGAGATTGTGAGGGACTCGATGTCGGCAATGACGGTGGCGAGCTGTGCTTGTTAGCCTGCGGTGCCACACGTCACGGCGGCGCATACGGCACGGCAACCTACCTCGCCGGGGGGTGCGCCCTCCACAAAGGAAGACACAATGTCGGCGTCGGACATTGCTTGCGGCTGTTTGCTTTACGGACAAAGGTGAGAACGTGATGGAGAGGGCTCGGGGCGGTGTCGTCGTCGTTGCCGTCGTCGACGTCGGTTGAAAAAGAAAGCAAGTGCTAGAAACGAAAGAACACAAACGAAAAAAAAGTCACTGGCAACCACGCTTCGTGCGATGCGTCGATGGCGTTGGAACTGGGCGCAGGGTCGTGATCGCGAGCTACGGCGTAAAAGGGGGCTTTGAGGTCGATGCTTTTGGTGGCCGCGAAGGTCCGATGCGGGGCAGACTAGGCGAGGGGCGGAAGGCTGCCGCCAATCCTGGGCCCTGGACTACGCTAAAAGGCGCCTACGTAGGCCAATAGCGCTGTAGACTCGCTGCAGCACCGCTTCAGGCCGCATAATCGTGCTGAAACACACTGCAATCTACAGCAGTCCTTTCGTCTGCAGTATTCACTTTGTTCATAAGCACGCGTACTCCGGTTAAAGTATATACATTCAAGCACAGGTCTACATGTGTCTCGCTTTGCCAATCCATTCATACCCATAGGGAGATGCAGTGCGCTCCCCGGTGTCTTTTGTCGCTGGCGACGTGTAATGCAAGTGCACGCTTCCATCTGTCCTCTAATACTGCATCGATGTCTTGATCGCATCGTATACTCCTGTCAAGTCATTGTCAGCATTCTGGCGGAGCGTTTCTCAGCAATGGCACCCCAACAGGACAGCGTCGACTTACTTGCAACGTCTGGCACGGTAAACTTCTCAAAGGCCAGCGGCACGTGTGTGCTCCAGCCGGCCACGCGCATCACCGGCGCCTCCAGGCGCACAAACGTATCCGAATCCTCCTGGATCGTGGCGGCCACCTCGGCACCCACGCCCTGGTTCACCATGGACTCGTGCACCACGATGCACCGCCCCGTCTTGCGCACGCTGCGCAGCACGGTCTCCTTGTCCCAGGGGTAGATGGTCCGCAGGTCAATCAGCTCGACCGAGAAGGGGCCGTCCTTGCCCCTGTCCGTAAAGTCCGCCTCGGCCTGCTTGATGGCGCTCATGCAGTTGTACAGCGGCTGGCCGTACGACACAATCGTCACGTCGGCGCCCTCCTTGAGCACCTCGGCCTTGGACAGCGGCAGCTCGTACGCGTCCACGGGCACCTGCTCCACGGCCGCACGGTACAGGATCTTGGGCTCGAGGAACACGACGGGATCGTTGCTGCGGATGGCCGCCAGCAGCAGGCCCTTGGCCTGCAAGGGCGACCGCGGCAGCACGACGCGCAGGCCCGGGATGTGGGTGAAGAGGCTCTCGGGCGACTGCGAGTGGTACAGCGCGCCGTGGCCGACGACACCGCACGGCATGCGCACCGTCAGTCCGCCGACGTGGCGGCCGTTGCCGCCGTCGCGGTACCGGAACTTGGCGGCCTCGTTGACCAGCTGGTCAAAGGCCGGGTAGACGTAGTCGGCAAACTGGATCTCGGCAATGGGCCGCATGCCCTCGGCGGCGAGGCCAATCCCGAAGCCCATGATGCCCTGCTCGCTCAGCGGCGTGTTGAACACGCGCTCGTCGCCGTACGTGTCCTTGAGGTTCATGGAGCAGCGGAACACGCCGCCAAACGCCACGTCCTCGCCAAACAGCAGCACGCTCTCGTCCTCGGCGAGCGCAATCGACATGGCGTCGTTGACCGCCTGGTACAGGTTCATGCGCTTGGTGGCGCCGCCGCGGATGTCCGCCGGCAGCTCCGGGTTGCTCAGGGCGGCCTGCGATGTGTGTGCCAGCAGCGGCGTGGTGCCATAGTCGATGGGCAGATTGAGGCGGGCGTTTGGGGGTGCGCCGGACGAGTAGGCGCGGCGGGAGACGGAGTGCGGCGGCGCGGAGAAGAGGCTCGGTGACTGTTGTCGCCGTCTTGGCGCCACGAAGAACTGTGATGCTGCTGTCGTCGGCGCGGCCGCAAAAAGAGGCGGACAGGGCTGGCTGGACGCTGCGGCACGGAGCACTCGCTGCGGCACGCGCGAAACGGACGTGGCCTTCATTCTGGCAATCGCTGGCAACGGGCACAGACTGTTTGAACAATCGGCTTGGTGGTCAATTGGGATGCGGCCAGGAAAGGGAGAAGAAGCAAAATGTAGAACTCAAAGCGATGCCTTTTGGTAGGGAGCAATGCTCGGGGAAGTTGATCAAGGAAAGAGCCGACGGTCAGAACTGAATGCAGGAAGCACGTCTAGCTGCGGCTTATGTCGGCTTTGACCGGCGTGTGGCTTCGCTGCTGCTCCAGTGACCTAAAAGTGGAGCGTGCCACCTAACGGTACCTGGCGCCAGCACCAGCCACAGCGAGAGTATGGGGAAGCCACGACCAGTGCTCGGTATGAACCCAGAACTAGGTGAAAATATTGGGCCGCAGCGGGTAGGCGCGATTGGCTGCTCCAAATCGAAGCCTTCTATCTACAAATTCGTCGCGTGCGCGAAATTACTGTTTTGCAATTAACGGAATTCGTTCGCAGCACCTCGCATTCTACCATATCTACGCAATACCAACTGGCAGATCAAGGCACAGAGCTGCACTTGGCTTATGCAACTCCGACCTATGTGTCGGTTTTTGTGCCACCCTACCCCAGATCACCGGCAGATGAGAGCCGGAGATTTGCAAGCTGCCGCGGGCCGGCCCAGAGCTGATCGGGGCGTGCAGCAGACAGCTACAAGGGAAGATGGACGTTTGCCCCAGTTGCAGACTAAGACGCAAATGCCAATGTCAAATGCCAGAAATGACACGGGGTATTGACCGAAGCAACGTGGCGTAGATGTATTCTGCAGAGTTGCTTTCGACTTATCACCAACCTTGGCACCACGAGAAAAATCTCCTCGACGCAATCAATTACGCAGCCCAGACCTTGGACAAGAAAATGTCACAATAGACGCCGTGCGTCTTGCGTCTCGGCACTTTCTGCCGAGCATTTTGTAATAGGCTGCATAAATATATATATGTATATATATAGTGGGCTGAGCGATTAGATTGTTGCTAGGGCAACTGCGGGCTTGCGTGGCACAGGGGTTCCGTATCCCCACCCAAACAATTGGCAGGAGCGACCTCTATGGCACAGGGTTAGGCCACAAATGCCAGATTGGGAAGCAGGGCCAAAAGACGACAGCAAATGGAAGCTGCGCTATGGCGGTTTCTCGTTTCTTGGCAAGGGCAGCTATTTTTACTGGCTGAGAAGGGAAGTCGCATCCCAGGATCATTTGGGGTGTTTTGGATGCAAATTCAAACAGCGCCTCAGTGCGAAACAAGACAGACTCCGCAAGGCATGCGGCCCCTTCATTCCACATCACGAACGCAAGCACGACATACACACTACCGAGTACTACCCCGGCGAATCGACATCCACCAAAACGGACCTTGTCCAACAATCTACATTCCTGCGGTGTCTGCGGCGTGCATTCCTCAGCGGCGATGCCGTCGTACGACTCGGACGGGCATCGCGAGTCCGGCGGCCGACGACGTCACCGGTCCACGAGTGGCACGCCCAAGAAGCGCAAACCGTCGAGCAGCGGCCGGCGGGGCACGAGCTCGCACACCCTCTCGGCGGAAGCACTGGCACAGCTGAATGCTGGCGCGGCGGTCGCACCGTCCAGCAGCGGCGACGGCAGCAGCGCACAGCCCCAGCGAGACGAACGGCGAAGGGATCGACGAGAGCGAGGCGACCGCGAGGCGCGACGAGAAGACAGGCTCGAGCGGGAGGAGCGGCGGGAGAGGAGGGCGAGGCGCGAGAGGCGGGACCGGGAAGAGGCCGAGGAGCGAGAAGCGAGGCGCGAGCGTGAAGAGCGGCGGGAACGGCGCGAGCGGGACGAGGGCCTAGGCCGGCAGCCCAGTCGACGCGACAGTACAGGTGCAGGTGCAGGCGGTCGTCGAGACAGTCGTCGTCGAGACAGTCGTCGTCGAGACAGCCAGGACCAGTACGAGTCGTCGCGAACACAAAGTGAAGACCGACGGCGGCGCCAGCGGCGAGACGACGAGCGTCACGAACGACACACGCGGCGACGAGAGGGGCGCGCCGGTGGGCGCGAATCAGAACGGGAGCTGGACACGGACGACGAGCGGCGAGCAAGACACGCAAAGCGCTACGACCGCAACGAACGATACGACCATCAACAAAGGCAGTCGACCGACCGACGAACATCAAAATACTACTACATAGACCACGAGGCCGACCACGACCACGACGACGGATACGACCGCGTTGACGCTGGCGGCTTCGCTGATCGGCGCCACCGCTCCAGGCGCGATCGACGGATACCCAGTGGTGCCGTGCTGGAGGAGGGTCGGTCACGCGGGCTGCGCAAGACCAGCGCCGGTTACCGCCACGACGCCGCGGCTGCTGCCACCGCTACGGCCGCTGCGGCGGCCGCAGGAGGTGGCTTGTTTGGCAAGTGGCGGGGGCATTTACGGGGTGGCTTTGGCGGGCTGAGCAGCCGGGGCAGCAATGACAGCAGCAACTCCGGCCATACCATCCAAAAGGTCAAGGAGGAGCAGCTCTACTACACCAAGCAGCGACAGTCCCCGCCATGGACCAAAAAGAAGAAGCTCGGTACGTCAACCGGTCGCGTTCTGCCTTGTCCGTGCCCTCCCCCAACATCTTTCCCCACTTCAGCTAACAATGGACAGTACTCTTTGGAGGCATTGGCGGTGCCATCTTGATCATCATCATTGCTGTCGTGGCCGTGGTTGTGAGCAAAAAGCACGGTGGTAGTGGCGGTGGGTCTTCGTCGTCCGGCTCGTCCGACAGCTCAGGATGCAGCGGACTCGCTTGCATTTCGCCCGCCAGCATCCCATCAGGAGCGCCGACGTGGCTGAACCCGTACAGCTGGGCCTCTGTGACCGACTTCAACCTCACATACACGAGCGAAACCGTCGGCGGCCTGCCGGTCATGGGCCTCAATACAAGCTACGACGACTCGGCAGCAGCCAACGCCAAGACGAAACCGCTCAACCAGGCATGGGGGTCCTACGGCACGACACCCGCGAGGGGCGTCAACCTTGGTGGCTGGCTGTCTCTCGAGCCATTCATCACGCCCTCCCTCTTCAACTTCAACTCACGGCTGGGCATTGTCGACGAGTACACGCTGTGCGCCTACCTGGGCGCAGCAAAGTGCAGCAGCACGCTCGAGAGCCACTACGCGTCGTTTGTGACGGAGTCCAGCTTCCAGGAGATTGCTGCGGCCGGGCTCGACCATGTTCGCATTCCATTTTCGTACTGGGCCGTCGAGGTCTACGACGGCGACCCCTATCTGTTTCGCACGAGCTGGCGGTACCTGCTTCGCGGGATCGAGTGGGCCCGCAAGTACGGCCTGCGCGTCAACCTCGACTTGCACGGCCTGCCGGGCAGCCAGAACGGCTGGAACCACAGCGGTCGGCAGGGCGCCATTGGCTGGATGAACGGGACGGACGGCGAGCTCAACGTGCAGCGGTCGCTGGATGTGCATGACAGGCTGTCGCAGTTCTTTGCCCAGCCGCGGTACAAGAACGTGATCTCGCACTACGGACTGGCCAACGAGCCGCGCATGACATTCCTGTCGATGGCGTCGGTGATGAACTGGACGCAGGCGGCCGCGGCACTGATCCGCAAGAACGGCGTCAGCAACGAGACCATCATTGTGTTTGGCGACGGATTCTGCGGCCTCGACAAGTGGCAGGGCCAGCCCAACACGTACAATCTGGCGCTCGACGTGCACCAGTACGAGATCTTCAACAACGACCAGATTGTGTACTCGCACGAAGAGAAAATCACGTATGCGTGCCGCGGCTGGACGGCGCAGACCGAACAGAGCATGAACACGGCGACCGGCTTCGGCCCGACCATCACAGCCGAGTGGTCGCAGGCGGACACGGACTGCGCGCCGTACCTCGGCAACGTCGGCAACGGCAACCGCTGGACCGGCACCTACGACGTGGGCAACGCGTCGCTCAACGCGCTGACGCCCAAGTGCCCGGCCCAGGACGCGACGTGCTCGTGCAACAACGCCAACGCCGACCCCAGCACCTACTCGGACGCCTACAAGCAGTTCCTCCTCACGTTTGCCGAAGCGCAGATGGACGCCTTCGAGACGGGCTGGGGCTGGTGGTACTGGACGTGGGACACGGAGGCGGCCACGCAGTGGTCGTACCGGAAAGGACTGGCCGCAGGCATTCTCCCGGCGGACGCGTCGTCGCGGTCCTTTTCCTGCTCGTCGGGCACGATTCCGTCGTTTGCCGACCTACCAGAGACCTATTGAAAAGGGCGAGGCAGACGTGATAGACGCAAAGAAAGAAACGGGTGAACGGGTTGTCGGCGTCTTGGGCTTTCATTCTAGACAGCATTTTGGCTACCATTTTCGTCGAGCGATGGACTGTTCGCTTTTGAGCGGCTTTGTTTTTTGTTTCTGCTTTTGTTTTATTTTTGGGCCATTTTCTTGCTATTGTCACAGTTGTTTACTCATCAGGCTCGTATGGGCATGTCTTGGCGTTTTATATTAGGTCGATTTCCTGAGCAGCATAGCAAGCACGGCAGCACGGTAGCACGGCAGCACGGCAGCATAACAGCGATCTGTTTTCGTCTTTTTTGATTTCAGCACACATCGGAGAAAACAGGCATGCATTGGGGGCCAATGTCGTGTCCGGTTCGCGTCGTTGGAAAAGCGCGAGATTGCCAAGGGGTTGCGGGATGCGTTTTCGGTTTTCAGTACGAAATAGCAATGCCCTACGGCGTACCATGGTATGCTCTGGCTCCTCTTTCATAAATAAGGCTTTTGTTGACTTTTGGCTTTGATTTGGCATTGCTCTGCAATGGTTGCACGTCGGGCGATATCGGACTCGCTTGTCACTGCCATCGCTGCAGGACCTCCTTCGTACGTTACGGCCTGCAATTGATGCATCCCGGGGCACCATTCTCAAGTCGTTACGCGAGACTTCGCATTGCAGCACCTTAATGGGTCTTGTCAACAAGTCTATCGCTTCTTCTCCCGATGATCGTCCATGTAAAGAAACTAGTCTCTCTTTTTTGTGCTTGGGCTCAACAACCATCATCACGATCACGCATACGGTATGTCCTAGATTTATCGTCTTGAATGGGTGTTGCTTACTTGTCCATTCCAATCGTTAGATTCATACGCCACTGGGCAAAGCCGGGCGAGGTTCTGAGACCTCCGCGTTGTGGGTAAGAATAAAGTCCATCACGTATATGAGGGCTTCTTTGGGTCTCTTGGTTTTCGAGTCTTTGCGTTCCATGGCGGCCGCTGCGTCGTTCTCGACCACACTGTCTCCGCTGAGCTGGCCGCCATATTCGACCCGCGGCACAAAGTCGCCGTGAATTAACCGATCGACGTCTGAGATATCCAGAGACAGCTGTAGAGACTTGAGGCGAACTGAGCGCCCTGGATGTCCACAGGGGTGGAGCAGCCACCGAGACCAGTCGCGAAGGCATCGCAGTCCTCTCGAGTTGTTGTCGTCTTGTCGAGAAACGACGCAATCTCTCGTCGACAGAGTAGTTTGCCACACGATTGTGCTGTCGACATGTCGGTGACCGAGTGGCATTCAATTATTATGTAATGCGCTTATACTCCGTGGTTGAAACGCGAGTGCCAGACAAGCCTTACGGTGGTTGCCTACGTTCAAGTCGCTCGCATCCCGATGAAGAGAAGGGTAAGCGAGCAATCCATTGGCATTTTACTCTGGAGACAGAAGAAACGGAGGATGACCCTCATTGAACGTTGGCGTGTTTTATTTCTTCGTTTTCGTGATACTTTTATGGGAGATTCTGAAACGTAAAACAATTGGGAAATACGAACATGTATTTGCTTCTCGTTCATAAACATCTCAGATTCTTGACTAAAGCATACTTGTATTCTGCTTTATGACTCGGGGTTGTACCTAAACTGAAGCAAAGATATTCAACGTAGTCTGGACCAAAAAGGGAACATTTGTTCACAACTCTGAAGCTTTCGATACTGATCAACTCTAGCGTCTTTACGGAAGATGCTCCGGGTGCGCTCTGCGGACGGTGGGACGCGTGGAACATTATTGTGCGAGCGAGAAAAGTGGGTGAAAAGAGATCAAATGAGGTCAAATCTGGTCAGATTTGGATAACTTGGAATAAATGCCAGCGCAAAAGTACAGAGCAATAATTGGCTGTGCTGCGCGGTGTAGCCTTCCCCTTTTGTTAACCCCCCACGGCCTGGCCCGTGTCCGGCTCGGTGGCTCTTGCCGTGTTATCGCTCGCTTTGCATCGGCTTCCGCTTGTGTTTTTTATTATTATTTTTAAGCCCGTCCCGTGCATTTTGTGCTACTATTCCGGTATTGACGTGATACAAGGAGCGGACATGCAACACAGGCAATAGAAATCCGTCGACCCAAACAAATGTAAACAAACATGGTGGACGGGCCATTGACAAGCTTGAAGCGCTTCAGAACGACGGGGACACTGCAAACAATGCCTCATAGTTCAGTGGCTTTATGCTACGTCTATCCTCTTTGACATCTCTTGGATGCCTCTGTTTTCTCGCCTCCGACGGCGGGCCGGTTGTCAGGTTTGATCCACCCCAATACTCGAGAAAATTTATATTCTACTATCGAAGTGTGTACAGGAGGTGTACTCCACACCCGGCTGCTGGCTGCATCGGAGCTGAATCGGAGTGGGCGTCGTGTTTTCTTATGGCGTTGATGATCATCTTTTCGCAGGAGGAGAGACCCCTTGGGCAATCAACAGAATTGACCGTACACAACTAGACACTCATAGGGAGTGTGCACGAAAGACTGTCCTAGGGCAATGCAATGCCCGTCAGCCTTGCGGCCTTTTCGGTGTTAGGGTCATGGGGGTCAGCCGATTCTCACCAAACAAAAAGCTACATATTTCATCATGTCATTCTTCACAAACATGCCAAGGTGACTTTCCGCTCTTTACAGCATCCACTGTGACAGTGTCGACATACTCCGTTTGCCGTATACGTCGTATCCTTTAAAGACGCCGGAGACTTTTCAGCATTTAAAAGACGTGTGCAGAGCAATAGTAATACTCTGTAAATCCTACAAAGAAAATCCGTGACAAGAAAGGAGGCTCCTTCAGCCAGGAACAACGATATGCCCAGGCTGCTATTACCCTGAGTTGTTCTGTGGGTGGTGACCAATGGTGTCTGGGGTTGGGAAAAACCAGTCTGGCCGGGGCAAGCTAAGGGCTAGATCCGTTTGTCATCACTCGCCCATCCACCTTCGTGTCATTATGGACCTTATTTTCTGGGGCCATGGTTTTCTTACTAGTCGTCTCCTCAACATACTGGCATACTCCATAGTCTAACTATCCATTGCGTGTCAGTGATGAAAACCATCGTATTTCCTGTCACTCTTGGGCTCGAGCTGATACCATCACCGGCCGTGCTATGTCATCCACGCCGCACTTCAACCTTATGGACTGTTGACTGGAGGCCCCGGTCAAGAGAAAAGCCATTGACGCGAAGGGCCGATATTAGCGCGGCAAGGATTGTTTTTGTTGGAGCGACGGGAGAGGCGGAATGCCCAACATTCGTGGGCTTGAAGGTGGTTAGCTTCTGTAAGACAAAGGAACATTTTGTTATGAAAAAGTTCCCGCGCTGTTACTTTGCTCCATGCGCTGGATCGTGGATGTCTGCTTCCCGAGACTTTACGCCTGGGACTCACTGCATCCTAAGACAGGGTATTGCACCTGCTTTGCTTTCGTTTATCCTGCCGTCCATTGAGACAGCACACGTTCGATGCGCCCTCTCAAGTGACAGTCACGTTTCTTGCGACCGTCACCTTCACCGCCTCATCTGCTCATCAGCCCACGCAGCCCAGTCAGCACTACAGTCATCTTTATCAAGGATAGCGGTGGCTTTCTCAGCTCCATCCGCCGTATAATTCCATATACGAGAGGAAAAGTGTGGTCTCCGTATCCTCCGTTTTCCAAACGCTCAGAATGTCCGTCGGTGGTGGTCTCTTGTGAGGTCTGCGTCATACACATCTGCCATCAGCCATCGGCCATTGAATGCTGCTCTGTTTCGATTCACTTCACAGGTCCAAACCCCCGACTTTGTGCCACTTCATCGTATCCTGGGAGAGCTACGATGCACTCCTGCGGCCACAACGGAGAGACGCGCGTGAAGCGTAGACAAACTGCTAAAACTGCGGGAGGTGCACGGAAATAAGTCAAGTTGTAGAGAGTGCAATTGGGCGATGAGTATGACTGCGTTTTGGCAGTGATCAACAGTACACCGTCCATCCGTCTGCACATGCAAGATACATGTACGCGTAGCGGCTGCCGCATACCAAGTGACTCTCACCCTGTCAACCTGTTCTGTGCTCTTTACTCCCCCCTATTGACTGTTTTGTTGCCGTTTGGAGATGGGGCTCAAGATCGTTTTCTGTTCGTTCGCAGAGACCATCGCACATAGTATCCATGTGCTGTGTAGGCTTGGTCCTGGCTGGTGTGCCTCTGGCGTTTGCTTGTTTGGTCACCAGCACGCGCATGGCCTAGCCCATTTCCAACAATCTCGTAAAGTCGCATTGTCTATGCTTTTTTATTCCTACGAAGTAACTTACATGGTTTCCTCCTGGCGGCTCCTGCAATTCGCGCCTTCGCCTTTTCAGGTCTTGCCCTATGTCCCCCGAAGTCGCTCCTTCTTCGCATACTATTTTACTGCCCCCATTTCCACGTTCATGGCTCCTGCCTTCCCGTTTCGTGCCCATCGCAACTCCCCCTATCCTCGCGTCCATCTGCTTGCTGAGCAGTCTTGACCAACTCCACTTGCTCCTTCCTTTTGGGCGAACCATTTTCCCCAGCTGAATAATGAACTAAAAGTTTTTGTCATTCATGTTCTCGTCCACTTTAACGGTCTGCGCTCCAGTTGTCGCCATTGTCCACTGTGCATTCCAGGTGTGCCTTTATTTGGCCTCATCTTGTTCGTGCCGTGCCCCTTTCACATTTGAATTATCGCCTTTAAGTCCGTCCTCACTCGGACACTTTTGTCCAGCACGATACAAACAGAAGGACATCTTGGGGCAACGGGAAAGACCAGCAGTCGAGTTGTTTGCTCCTTCTGAATTGCTCTCACACTTCCTTCCTCTTCTTTCCTATCACGCCTCAGTCGTTCTTGCCAATATAAATACTGGTGACCACGTCCTGCCTTCTTTGTCGTCCCCTTTTCTTGCCTCTCCGATACCCTCCCTCACCACTTTTCTTCTCCTTTCGAATCATCCCCAAAATACGACGTATATCTCCTGATATTCCCAATCGACAAAACTCACAACGGCAGAGCATTTCCATACACGACTCAGTCCTCTCACTGGATTCTGTCCATTTAGAACTGTTTGACATATTTGCCTCCGCTCGCCACTGTCTAGTACCAATGACACTTGGTGCCCCTTTGGCAAACCCCGAAATACCAGCGGATCCATCGCTGAAGTATCCGTCTAGCGCTCGCTGTTATTTGTGACGTATCTCCGTCTAAAGCCAGGACGCTTTTTTGGGGGGACGTCACTGCGTCACTATCGTTCATCTCGCCGTTACGCTCGGATATTCGGTTGTTGTCTTGATATCAAAAGCTTGCGACGCACGTTTTCTTCTGCGTTGCTTGGTTTTCTTCTCTAGGTTCCCATTTTCCTTCTTCTCCTCATCTCCTCTCTCGACAACTTCAATCCACAATCAATTCCTCAGCATGGAGAAAGATATGGAAAAAGCCTTCGAGAGCGACCACGGCGCACAACGGCTGCCCGGTGAGGCGGACCAGCAACCGCGTCACAGCATAGCGAACGACCTTGAGAAGGGCTGCGACAGTCCAGCAGACGGCCAGCCAAGGTTAGGTGACTCGTCAGCATCAGACACGGTCACACTCGACGAACACGAAGCCCAACGCGGCCCAGAAGTACAGCCGGTACTTGTCCGAAGCCGGAGCCGAAGTGTAACCCGAGACAGCAAGCCACCCGTGCCAAGCCCCGAACCAAGTTCCGGTGCAGTCGCGGAGAAGGATCCATTCGAGGTCACTTGGGACGGCGGCGATGCCGATCCCATGTGCCCGCGCAGCATGCCCACGGCACGCAAGTGGCTCCTTGTCGTCGTCACCTCTTTCGGCTCGGCCTGCGTCACCTGCGCCAGCTCCATCTACACCTCCAGCTACGCCGGCATGAACGCCGAGTTTGGCTCCTCCAATATTGTGGCCACACTGGGTCTGTCCACATTTGTCTTGGGCATCGCCATGGGCCCTGTCTGGAGTCCGCTCAGCGAGTTCTACGGCCGGCGCCCCGTCTACCTGGCATCGTTTTTGCTCTTCGTCATCTGGATCATTCCCTCGGCCCTCGCCCAGAACATTCAGACCATGATCATTGCGCGCTATTTCCAGGGCTTCACCGGCGCCGCGTTTTTGTCCGTGTCCGGCGGCACGGTCGGCGATCTCTTTTCGCGCGAGGCCATGCAGGGCCCCATGGCCTTCTTCTCCGTCGCGCCCTTCATCGGCCCGTCCATCGGCCCCTTGGTTGGCGGCTTCATCAACAGCTACGCCGACTGGCGCTG